CTTATCAGATTCTTACATCTCGCGCAAAGCATAGGCCTATACAAAGTACCTGTAGGTTATTATATGAAAAGCGAGAAAATGAGTGAAACGAATCGGTGAACGTTTGAGAAAAATCTGACAAAGAATTTAAAAAAAGTTATTAATTCTCAAATATTACGTTGAAATCGATTAAACACAACATTGCAGTGTTGTGACGTCCTTTTGGAGCACCTCTCCAATTTGAATTGTAGTGAAAATGTCATAAATTTCCATTTTCATTGTTGACGACGGAGAAATTGATTTTCTTTACAAAGGAAAGATCTAGAAATAAGTGTTCAATGACTATTTGGACACAGGCTCAATAAAATATTTTGTTCTGAAATTAAAAATTAAATGTTTGAAACCAAAAAGTATGATATTACGGGAAAAAATATAATGGAGAGGGGCTACAAAGCCCGTGAAAGGGGGGGGGGGGGGGTTACTTAGATTTGGTTTGGACGAGGGTGTGCTGCTCAAGTCTCGAAACCCCTTAACATTTTAAAGGGCCATTTGGGGGATTTCTCTCGAAGGCCCATTTGTCAAAATTGCCCGAAGAAAATAAAAAATGAATAAAAAAAAAAAACATTTTTGATAGTATTGTTGTTAAAAATGGAACCCACATTCAGGGATTTTTGTGAAAAAGTGAATGTCTTACTTTGTGAGTACACCCCCCCCCCCCCTGCTTAAGGCACGCCTAATTTGTTGCCGAATTGCGCTCCATCGAATGCAAGTTTTACAAGCATGCATGACTTCCCTATCCTTGATCGAATTTCCCTCAAACTTCAATGACCTGCTTCTCCAATTTTGAAAGTGAGGGTGGATTTTTCCTTCAACGGAATATTGGAGGTTATTGTAAAGCACTACGAGCAACATTCAAGCTGTGAAGGATTCTAAGTTGCTCTTTCTCTCTTTTAAGGCAGTATAATCCATATAAAGCATTATTAGAGTCCATTTAAAGTACTAAATATAATTTTTGTACAAGCTCTGGACATAATAAAATTTCCCTAAGGAGCACGTAAGTAACTAAATATAGATACCCTGTAAACAAACATAAGCAACTTATTTCCTGAATGAAAAGCATCAGCTATCTATTTGTAACCTGTGTCTTTTGTATAGCACCATGGGCATTGCTTTCATGATGGGCAGCTTTGAAATGGTAAAGAAATGCTCTCCTCTCGTGGCCTTTCATGCATGTGCAAATATAACTTTTCCCAGTAGAGCATTTTAAGTCTTTTTGTGTTAAACATTAAATGTATTTTTTAGACAGTACTGTAAGTATCACCTAAAAGGTACATTAAGTGTGTTAAGTAGCAAATATATCCTGTACTAAAGAATTGTGAGCCGCCGTATCCTATACTAAAAGCATGATTGTGTAAGTACACGATGATCTGCTTTTAACCTTCAAAGTACAGATATAGTTCTCTCATGAGAAGCACTAGGTATATCATCTTGAGCATTGTAAGTATCTTTGTAAAACAATTAAGTTATTATTATCATTACTATTAAATGTACAGCATTAAATGTATACCTTATAAAATAATGTAATTATCTCCTGTAAAGCACGTACAGGTAGAACATTTATCATGCACGTAAAGAACTGTAAACACCTGTCTCATGTACTTAAAGCATGTGTAAATACACCACGAGCAGCTTTCACCTTCAGAGAACAGACACAGTTGTCTTCTGTGAAGCAATGAATGTATCATGTCGAGCATTGTAATTATTCTTGTACATCACTTAAATTATCTTTCATGAAGCGATATTTAAGCATCCCATGAGAAACACATGCATGTAACAAATCTATCCTCAATGTTAATAACGATAATCACTTCCTTTAATTCGATCATGTTCACATTGAACACGGTGTCTTCTGCGAACCACTAGCTGTCTTTTGTAAACCATTATAATATAACCTTCCCTTAGTCACAGTCACTCGTTATACACGCGTGCCTATAGGCATCTATTAGCAGGAAGGCTTTCTGCAACACAAAACCGTTGTAAAATGCCCTTTTCTGGTCTTAACTAGCTACACAACCGACACACTTTATATTTTAATATTACACTGGAAACATTTGAATTTATATAATCTTGAATCCGTTGGAAATATCCCCTATTAAATCAAACGCAATGTGGCAGAGGGAGAATATTTCCATGGCTATAAAGAGATGAATAACTATAATTAGCAAGTGTTAATAATTAGTTAATTGTTAGTAAAGAAGTGTAGTAACTAATTTCTGAAAAATTCTAGAAACCTCTGTTCCGTAGACTGATCCCCTGATAAAAGTGCGTACTACAGAAAATAAGTATCCGTCTAAACGTCTACTTTAAAGCACTAGAAATAAGATTGCAAAACAAGAAATAATCTCAAAGGCAAATCTAATTTCCCATTTTATTACCAGTAGCAAAATATCTTGTTCGAGTTACGTAATACGTGTTGCACAAGGCTATAGTTGAAATTACCCTGTGCTGATTTTTCGAAAGTAATCAATACTGTATCTGTTCTGTAAAGCATCCATATTTGAAATATATAGAAGATTGTATCAATTACATCGAAGGCAAGATTTATTTTTTCTTTTTACATTTGTTTTTGACATATTATACATATTTTTGTGGAGACTCAGCTGCACTTTGTTATTTAGTGTCATGCTCTGTAACGTGCATGTATGCACAATGAATGAATTTAACTGGAACAATTGTGGTTATTTGCTGACAAGTCCACTGGCTCGAAAACAGACATTTAAAGTCACTATTCTGTATAACTCAGAAGTGTGAGATGTGCAAAGAGTGATGCCAAGACATCTACTTCATGCCATACCTAAACGTTCAGATATCGATTTTAAAAACAACTGGACCGTTAGCCGTTTTCTAGACTACGAAAAAAAAAGAAAACGCGAATCAATGCGCTTGACTAGTTAAGGGCAACAGATACAAGGGTGTATGATTCCTTTTTTCAATCAGCATGGAGAAACGAAAGTTCAAGCTGCCATTTTTCTTTGACAAGCCCATCGATCTTATAATCTATCCACAAGGCTTTAAAAGTAATCAATTCTCCGCAATGATACTCCTCTGACATGCTCCTTTCGTACATGCAACATCAAGGATGTACGCAAGCATGAAGAGAAGGAGATGAAGGCTAATTTGGTTTGCAATTCTCAGAATCTAAATTGCGACTATCCCGACATAACCATGATAAAACAAGACAGTGACGTTGCTGAGCATGAAGAAGATTCGACTAAAGTTCGGTGACACTGGTCCCTTCTCCCCTGAAATTCAAGTTTAGACCTTTATATTCAAAATTTGCATTTTCATTTGATATTCACAATACTGTCACTTACCTGCTTAATTTTGCTTGACTTACTGCTTGAAAAGAGATGTTGTTGAGCTTGTGGGTTCGTGTCATTTTGTCGACACAAAATTTGGAAAGGAGAGGGAGGAGGAGTGATTAAAAAGTCTAAACCCATACAATTTACATGTGCCATTTGTATTACTCAGTGGTCGACACTTTGATCTATAGTTCATGCTTTGTTAGACGGAGACGCTTTCAAACGAATGATATACAGAAAAAAATATGGCATCCCTAAATGTATGTACAACTAAATCAGAATACCCATTTCCTTCGTATCAGCAGACTATGCGCAACAGGTTGAATCTCTTTCAAATAGAATATTCATATAATATTGGATGCCCTTAATCGGTGTATCGGATATATTGCATTCAACTCGCTAATATTGCACGAGTCAAAAACGAATGCAATATTCATGCTAGCATGATATATTACGGAATAAAGCCATTATTATTATTATTATCATACATAAAACATCGAACTACAGTGAATTTTAAATGACTGAAAAGATCAATATACTTATCAAAATACAATGACGATGCACTACATAAAACAAATAAGGTTCAAGGCAATTTTCCAATCTTACGGGTCAAAACGAAGGATGATCCAAATTTTGAATATAAATTGGTACTTAAAAGCAATACAATACTAACAAAGCATTTTAAATTTTTACATATTTATGTAATATTGGATCTCTTGAGTAGTATATCAGATATATTGCTTTCAGCTCGCTAATAATACACTCGTCTGAATATTACACGAGTCGAAAACGATTGCAATATTCATGCTAGCCGAATTAAATGTGTCTTCTATACCACGAAAGGAAGCCAATATTATTATTATGAATATATAATTATGAATTGGATCATCTTTCATTTGACTTGCCTAATGTTGCTTTAAGACTGGTCGAGACACTGTCGGACTGGAAATTTGCCAGGGAACTTCTTGTTTTATGAAGTATCATCATTGAAATTTTTGGTGACTGAATTTGATCTTTTCAATCCTTTGAATATTACTGCAAGGGCAGCCAATGATAAATAGATATTCAACAAAAAGCCACACTCACACACTAATTGAATTTTTCTTCACCACTGTCAATTTGATTTCAATTCATGTCCTTGCAAATATCAATGCGTTATTCATTAATTTTCTTGCCTTACCTCGCTTGTTCTCATCTGTTATTGTTCACAACTATAATTTCTTCTCCACTCTCTCGTTTTACTTCCTATAGGTTCCTCCCATATCTCTGTCTATCTGTCTCTCTCTCTCTCTCTGCCCCCCTCTCTCTCTCTCTCTCTCTGTCCCTCTATCAGTCTCTCTCTGTGAGCACGTGTGGCTGATGCGTGAGGGTTTGTGTGTGTGTGGGTATGTTGGTGGGACGCGTGTGCGTACAACATGTGGGTTTATGTGAGTATGTGTGAGTGTAGCAGGATTCAATTTACGACAGCCGTACCTGAACCATGGACCTACTAAAATTGGCTGAACTCACTTTTGTTTCAAGAATTAACAAAATACATCTCTGGTACCTCTTGAACACATAAATCAGCTCACATAATTATGACCGGATGGGGACACAAAAGAGCCAGATTGGTCATTGAGATATGATGCAGAGTAGCTTTATTACTATTCATTTTATTTGTAGTAGTCTACATGCATAAATAATTCATAATTTGTCTAGAATGTACTGGAACCAATATCAATTACATTGTTAGACACCGATTCATATAGTTAATAGACGTTATCATTATCGTATAGAGTTGGGAAATAATGAGGAAAGGTCAGAGAGACAAGCCTTGGTGTTTTTTCTGAACTAAATGTCAGGAAATACAAGGTACTTCAGAAATGAATACTGTTGTAAGATAAATTGATTGGCCTATTAAGAGTTTGCGTCATTCATCTAGATAAGGCGGAAGGAAGTATTCTCATAACATTGGAAATATCTTCTTGAGAATAATAATAATCCAAGTAATTAATAAAATCATTGCCCAAAGGACAGTTTTATGCCTTGAACAGATTTCGAATACTTCTCCAAAACAGTACTGAGGGAGGAAGGGGGATCAGGGGCAATTGTTTGTGCTGACTAGTAACAGTGATGCAGCTTCCTAAAAAAATAGGTGATGGATAGCTTGTAGAGAGGAAGAGGGCATATATTTTTCAGAAAGATAGTTTGTCCTTCATCATAAACACTTTTCCCTTGTAGTAAAACGTCAATATTTCATGTAGCATGGGGAAGTAGCCATAACTTAATATAATCGCTCTAAAATTTTACAATAAATATATCTGCATTCAAGGGCCAGCGGATACATGAAATGGTGTTAATATCATGTTTTCATTAATCAATGATTATTTCCGGGTTCTATCTAAATTGTGGACGCCTTAATCAGTTTAAGAAATCCCCCCCCCCCTCTCGGGGTTGGGGTGAAAAATATTTTTCCTTAATCTGTAAGTTTTAGATAATTTGAGGACATGGTGCTGTATAAGTAAAACCTATTTGTGATCTTGACAATATACTACACACGAATTGTAGATAATGAAGTAGCTAATTCATCGAAAAAATTAAATGGCAGTAATTAGGTGATTGGGAAGATGGAACATATAGAAATCTGCATGAGTTTATAATTATAGATAGAAACAAAAACATGCAGATAGAATTAAATCTTAATTAATTGATCCAAACTCAGCTATTGTAATCTTGGATCTCTCATTGTTCATAATAATAAATACTCAGAGCAAATCATGTTTAATTCACTGAGAATTACCATTGCTCATGATTACAGTTTCTCTAAATGGAATTCAATTCGAAAATTTGAACATAATGTTCCAGTCTAAATCTATACGCGCGCGATAAATGTTGTCATTGGTATAACTAGAGATGAAGCATCCTAGGGTTTGGGTTGATGAAAAGCTGAGTTCTGAACATTCAGCAGGAGGTTGGTCTCATCACCGGCCGGCAAACCGCTCAGTTTGTTCTTGATAGCCGTGTTACGGATCACATCCTTGACTTCGTAGATATCATAACCGTTGCTTAGCAACACAGCTGCTGCACCTGTGGGTTGCGATGGAAATAATATTAACATTATATTGCTTGTTTTGCTGTTTACTATTAATTTATCATGTAAAGTGCATTTGGCAATGTTTTATTGTATGATGCGCTATAACCAAAATACATATCAAAACCAATAACTATTGCATATACATGAACGTCTCCAATACTGAATGAACGCCATTAAACTATTACCAACAACAACAACAACATGTACGTCTCCAAGTTTTGCTACGATAATGAGGAGGATGGCGAAGATGATGATAATGATGAGGAGGTTGATGATGGAGTGGAAGAGGAGAGGAAGGTTGTGATTCTGACGAAGGTTATGATAATGAGGATGGTCAGGAGAGGGATGTGCAGAGGGAAAATGAACAGGAGGTATAGGAGAAGAAACAGAAGAAGTAGGAGGAGCAGGGAAAGGAGGATCATGAAGAAAATGAAGATGATGGTGACTATGTGGTAGTAATGATAGTGATCATGAGGCTATGGTCGTGGGGGTGATGATGAGGATCAAAAGGGTTATCTTGTTGACGTTGATGATTATGATGATGATGATGACCATTTGTTATTGATAATGTCATAGTGATAATGCTAGACGCCAACGAACAAACGAAACAACAAGAAATGCCCTTGGGAACAAACCTGCCACAGCTGGAGCAGAAAAGGATGTGCCACTGCTGGTGACGACGCCATCAACGCTCACACTCGAAGCTACCGTGACCTTGTGGCCAGGAGCGTACAGAGTGAGACACGACCCAGAACAGGAGAAGCCTGCTTTGTCGTCGACTGTGGCGCCCTGTCGAAGACGAGCAGCTCCAACGGTGATCGCCTGTTAGGATATGATAATGATCCGTATTTTTACCATTCTTACTTGTTGATCACTATCTTCTCCTTCTTCGTTTTCTTCTTCTTTGTATTATTATAATCATTATCATTATCATTATTATCATCATCATCTTCATTATTATGATTGTTCTTAGCATTGTTGTTATCATTATCAAGAACAAACAACATCATCAGGAACATCATCCTCATCATTATGTTCAAATACTGGGTATGATATAATTATGCTCTGAACAGGGCTACCTCTAATTTCAACTTTGACCTAGGTCCCCAACAATGTTATAGAAAACGGGCCACACAGTATTGGACTTCACTGTCAATAGGACTAAGAATGAGAAAATATAGCTCTCCCTGGATCTCTAATGGTGTAAATTTATTACAAATGTAGGTATCCGGTATCTTAAAATATGTGATCCTGCTGTATATTACGGAATTTTTTAAAAATTACTGACAATAGCGCACAATCATGGCTTGGGAAAAGAAACCATTTGCGTTGCAGCGTGCCAAGTTTTTCTGACAAAATTCCTCCAAGGCTCCAAGCGCTGGCATTTGCAATTGCAGCCTGAGGTAGGCCCTATATTATTTTTAATTAACAAATGTGCTAACTGCTTGAGTACTTAAAACAAAAATTGTCGAGCAAGATTAAGAATTGCAATAATGAATTATAAGCATTTCGTAGTATAATAGCAGAATTCGAATACTTGTTTTTGAATCACCGGGGGTTAGCTTGTTTGCAAAATCGCCGAGGAATCGGCGGCATAATGTATTGTTGGAATGTATATTGCAATATGCGGTAGCAAGAATAATATTGTGCGATTTGCATTTCTGCATGTTTTTGTCTGGAGAATTGACGCGGTTGGAGATTCTTGCCCATGACACAGGCACACAATAATGTTTATTCACCTCTGGAGCTCTCCCGGGCGAGTATTTACAGGCATCAGCAGTCTCGGGGTCCTGCCCGTAGTTGCCAGCGCTGATGACCACGACGCACTTCTGGGAGAGTTTCGCGACGGCGGTGTCGAGACTCGTAGAGATACCGTGCGACGACAGGGAATATGATACCACGCACTTGGCACCCGGGTTGGCAATCGTCCACTTCTCGACCTCCTCGAAACCTAAAGGGTCGCAGGATAAACAACAGCGTATTTGAAGAAATGGCAAGGTTGGAGGGATAAAAAAAAATGTCACCACATTTGAGATAGTAATATTTAATGATAATTGATAATGATATTATTGGGTCTATATTGCTTTATATCTAACTTGCTTTGTAAATATATATGTTGATATTCCAAAAATCGTTAATAATGGTGTTTTTATTTTAAAGTTTTAATGATACAAAATAATGGTCAAACTTAAGTATAAGGAAAACAATGGTTCATTGAATAATTGATATTAGTTGGTCCGTATTCGTTAAACCTGTCCCTCGATATAGATTCGCGTTTAAGAATGAACACCTTAAACCTCGGACTAACTTCTCTAGTCTGGTTTAAAATGTAGGGAAACACGTGACTATCTTTCTATATCAGATTTACAACTTGAGCTCCCCTTTCATGTCCTTACCTAAGAGAGACTGCTCAATCGATCCTGATCCGGTCGGTCCGGCAACTCGGATGCTTTTCACATTTGCTTTGGTAGCAACGCCGATGGTTGCGCCGATGGCAGCGCCAGCGCAACGTGTGCCGTGGCCGTTCGGGTCGCCCGTCTCAGGGTTCTATTTTCGGCGTAAAGATAAAGGGATGGAAAACAAAACAAGACAAAAAACTATTTAAAAAAAAATAACACACATACATATAATAAAAAACAAAAAACAACGACAAAGGTTAGACAATTAAATAATAATCACAAAGTGCAGTTTCGAGCGAATAACCAGAGCACTAAAATAAAGTGCTTTCATATTTCATCTCGTTTTATATACATGCATGGCCCCTCAATCATGTTGACATACCAGCAAAATACTTTCTTTGTTGAAAGGGCACCATGATAAAATATTGTTGAAATAAATGAAATTAGTAATTGAATAAATCAATAAAATAATAACTTAATGCCCTCGTGGAGGCATGATTTAATGATTCAAAGCAAGCGGAATGCTTTTCTAAAATTTGTAACAATAGACGTATATAGGTCAGAGATGGAATAACGACAATTATAACATGAAACAGCAAACCACAGGAATTGGAAACAAACCAAACATGCGATATTCGAACAATTGTTATTCATATTCAGTATTCGGGCAGCTAGATGGTCTCTTTTTAATGTTTATATCTTACACAGTATATTTTAGAAACCAAATTACAAAACAGGATGACAATGCACAAACTCAAAGGGAATGTGGACACTATGATCAAGTGTAAAAAATACGTCTTACTCTCTTGCATGCTCATATAAACTGGAAAGAAAATAATTGAGGTAAGAAACGCCCACCCCTTTTTTGTATTCACCATTGGTGAAATGACACCTTTACGGTTTTATTTTTTCCTACAAATAATCTGGAAAGTAACATATTTGTTGATTATCAAAAGAAAAATAGAAATATTAATATAAAAGAAGCAATCATAAAACGTGATTAAAAAATAGGTTACACATTGAGAAATGAATTTCTCCATATACGCACAGTCGGGTCAGAAGCAAGCATATCTCTGTAATATTCAGCTCGTCCATTGAATTCTGTGTGGTCAACGCGAACGCCGGTGTCCATTATGAAAATGGTAGTTCCTTCTCCACCACCTATATTTAGAGGGAGAGAGACAGACAGAGGGAGATGGAGAGGAAGATGCTAGACTGTAATGAATATAAAAGACGCTTGCTTACATGCAATATCACCTGACGAAGTGTAGCAGCGGCACACGAAACGTCGTGATCTTTTAGATCCCTTGTTGACCATACATTGCGAGACAAACGAATGTAACTAGCGATATTATTTTCGATACTATATCCACAATGAGTAATATATTTAGCAATGTAGGCTTTATTTCTTAGATTTAGTTTTAGAGCCTATACATCCCATAAATAGTATATATGATTCCTCATTATTAGATTTGTAGTGTGTGATATCTGTAAAGAAGGAGAAATTTCACAGTTTCACTTAAGTTGTATATGACATTGCTTTATAATACGGGGTGTATCATATTTTTAAAATAGTTTTAATTATACAAACACGTTATCTGAAAAAAGGAGGAGAACGGGGAACAAGTCAGAAAATTTGGTGACAAGCCAAAAAAAAAAAAAAAAAATAAATCACCAGGCTCTTAATGTGCCGTTTTCGTTGCAAAATGTGTATAAGCCCTCCGACAAGTAGGGGGGGGGGGGGGTAGACCGTTAGCCCATTATGCTTCTTCTTTCTCCCCTTTTCATTTATTGATTATTATAATTATCATTTCGGGGAGAGGTTGTGGGGATGTGGGAAGGGGCAAGAAGAAGGAAGACATATCCTGCAATATAGACCCACAGACCAAACTTCAAATGTCCCAAATGCCCCCTTCCCCCTTCCCCCTTCCACCCCCCCCCCCCCCCGGATACGCCACTGTCCTTACTGGTTTCAAAATGTTGCATGTCGAGGGGAAGATCTACTTGGTCAATTCGATCACGATTCCAGGGCTCGTCAAACTCGTCGGTGAACTGGACAGCGTTCGGCTCGATGACATAGCCCCAGTCATTCACCTCGAATCAAAAGTAAAAATCAAGATAAGCATGAAAGAATTTTTTTTTGTCGGTCAAGGTGTTTGATGGCCCAATTGAATCATTTATCACTTTTCATGTGTGGTGTTTGATAATTTTCTGTCAATTACGCATGGCAGATTATGATTAGGTTATTTTAAAATTCCATGAGATGTTGTAGTCATTACCGTTTATAAAAAAATTGCAGTTATAGGACTAAATTGACAATATTAATGCTTATTAGCAACCCTATGAATGGTCACACACCGAGAGACTCTCTTTTATTGCCAAATGTTATTAATTTCGTTATAGAGAGCTTAATATGTCAAAATTAAACTAAAATACATCATTCATTAGCAACATTTACATCAGAAAACAACATGAATGCACGAATTGGGGCGAGCTGATGGGGCTGCACCCCTCCCCCATTTTTGTTTGTATTGCCAATATATGAGAAGAGAGATGATATCTTTTTTATTTGTTATGTTATGTTATTGATGTATTTGATGAATTACCAATATAATAGTTAGTATTCGGGCAAAAGACGTAAGTCTCTTGAGACGAACCTTGGCCGGTGGGGCAGTACTTCATGGACTAAATTATTGATCATAATAGTAACAGTCAAACTTGCTTTAGTGATCACCTGTCTTCAAAGACCACCTGACTACAAAGACCACTTTTTCGTTTACCTTTGATGGTCTTTATAGACAGGTTTCATTGTATCAGTCTTATAAGGCTTGACGAGCCCCCCCCCTTCCCCGTACGCATATGGTTAACTATACGATTCAACCAATAACCAGACAGTAAACTCATTGAACCAAAGATGCAATTATTTCATCAATCAATCAATCTATCAATGAATCACTCACTCAATCAATTGATCACTGACTTAAAACAAAAACAATCCAAGTATATAACAATCCAACACTCATTCTATCATTTTTTTTACTCTTCCCCTTTACCTCCTCGGCACAATCAGGGCTCATCCGAACTGTGGCAGCGAACATCAGACTGCTTATTTCGGACTTAATCGTAGCATCTTCACAGTCCTTCTTCTTCCCAATCTTTTTGATAAGTTTTTTCAAGTCCTTCTCGTCCTGGAATCAAAAGGCAAAACACAAGAAAATTAAAACATTCTTTTATCACAGTCACACCGCAAAAACCGCATTCACATAAACTACAAACGAACCGGTTTCTGGCCATTTGGAGTACTGTAGCAATATGATTTTTTGTTTCGTCTGTAGTCGGGTTGATATTGGTCTCATTGGTGTGATTTTGGTATTAGCTTTATTTTTGATTATATTATAATTATGTACTTAATCTAAACCGAAATGGCCTACGTGGAAACCAGCTGTGCATTACTGACAATGATACCCCGTGAAAATAAAACATCACATATATAAATAAAATAAAGTTAGGATCGTTTGATACAACTGCCAGTGCCTTGCATAAAAACTCATGCAAAAACTCAAATGAATATTCACGTGAAATCACAGCATATTGTTTCGATGCTCTGCATGGAGTACAGTCATATCAAAATAAAGAAGAAGCGAGTCGTTTTAATGATTTAACAACACTTAATAAGAAGTTCACTGTGGTTAGCCTTTCGGTGGACATTACTGTAATCATTAGAACATGGTTCACTAAAACAGATGCGTATGTTTAGTATTATTGAATACAGCAACTAGTGCATTCATTTGATAAAGAAACCTAATAAATTGAAAGGTGATTACTTTATACTAAATATATCATATACTGATTATAACGATTCTCGAAGTTTAATATGAGTCCCCTTTCTTGAATCTCACTGTTTATTTAATATGATCGAGGGGAGCAGACAAGTACCCTACACCTATAACGTACGATCGGCACACCTCTGTATTAGGTGGAGACTCCGTCGATAGAACAGCATGAACGCAAAGCTTTATTATTTCGATGTTTTTATTCTCATCACAACACTTGATTGGTTTACCTTTGCAGTGATGATGTAGACATTGGTTATTTGATCCTCTATTTCATCTTCACAGCTACAGGAACCAGAACCAGAATCAGAACTAGACTTGGAACCGGCATGACTGCAGACGGAATGGAAGGGAAGGAGGGTGGTGAAATATGGAAAGAATTTATGTGAAACTGCATCAAATTTTGATGAATTAGTGTCTGTATAAGGAACAGGTCGAAGCATAAGTACATTTTCAAAAGAAACATATTTCTGAACAGTTTCGAGAGCCCACACTTTTTAAAATAAATTATCATCATCATATTCAGGCATTTTTCAACTAGAAGTATCTTTTATTAAAAAAAAACGGAGGGGTGGGGGGGGGGGGATAATGATTTCTTAATTAAATCCATATACAAGCACAACGTTACCAAAAAGAATGTTGGTGGGTTTATTATTTCTCTTCCAAGTAAACAACTGTAAAAAACAAATTAATACAAGAATATGATGCGAATGAAATGGATCCCTAAATGATCGAAGTCCTTGAATTTCTAACTGCAAGATTAATATTTTTATAACAAAAATATATTCTCTCTCTTTCAAACCACATTTGAGGGACGGTGAAATCCGATTAAGGAATCAAATATAACATATCACTACTCACATGCAGGAAGATGAAAGGAAGGCTTAGAAAAGGAAGATCAGCAAACACAACCTCCAAATTAAAGATAATTATTATAATAAAACTATATTCATTACCAACGACAGCAATAACTGAATATGATTGAGATTAAAGACTTACCTGGTAGATAATGCTGCAACCAGGCACACAAAAAGAAGAAGGAGCTTCATCTCGGAAAAATGTATCCGAAGTAACTAAGTGACTTAAAATGTATAAAGATCTACACTATGAAAGTTGCAGCTTGTAAATAGTATCTGTGGAATTTTGAACAGCTCTTTCCAGCTTCCGCTCCTGTAATCTTCGGTACTCTAAGAGCAGGATGACCAATATTTCAATCATGATAAAATATCCAGTATTTATACTTTTTGCCGAATCGGTTCCTTGATGTGGAGAATTTCATCTTCTCCATCTGTTCTTACTTTCTCTAATGACAGTTTTGCACGTGACAAGAACAATGGAGAAAGTTCGGTTGCATTTTAGAGATACATTTCATCTGCAAAGTATTCCTTTTTATCTGCCTGTACGACTGTCACGCACCGTTTGTTTAAACAGTCCAAGTTCAACCGTTTAACTGGTATTTGTCTTGGAATATGTCGTTAATGACATTTCGATACACGTTTTTGCCGAAACTGTTGTAAGGTGTATTTGAGGAAACGATTTAATTTTCAAATTCTCTTTAAACAATCATAATGTACCATATTATTGCTCTGGAGTGTTTAATTAAAAAGGAGTTGTGCGAGTGTCAGTTTCATCATCTACAAAGGGCAGGGATGGCACGGCAGTAGACCGAAGTTTAATGTCATGATCCACATAAAATGAATAAAAACTTCTCATACGTTTCCTTTTTCCATGCACAGGCGGCGCCCCCCCCCCACATGTTCAAGTACCCCCGAAATGCCCCGTTTCACATAAAAGTGCCCCCTTTTCCGTCCAAACTCTTACAAGTGCCCCTTACCACCTCTGATGAGTGCCCCTAATCAAATCTGAGTGATGTTCGTTTTACTTTTACACATTCCCCTTTTCCCTTGTAGTAACAGCCCCTTCCCCCATTCTCATAAACGCCCTTTACCAACTCTGACCAGTGCCCCTTATATTTTGCACGTGCCCCTTTACCCTTTCAAATAAGTATCCTTTTCCCCTTCTGATAACTGCCCCTTTTCACCTCTGATGAATGCCTCTTCTAAATATGATAGGTGCCCCTTTTCATTCGTCAAATGCCCCTTTTTTATTTCTCATTAGCCCTATTTTCACCATGAAAAGAAAGCAATAGATATTGAAATGATCCCAGATTTCAATATCTATGTAAACAAAATGTAGGGTTAAGTGTACAACCCGATGTCTACAAATTGTATATCTCTCTTTAATGTTTCCCTTTTAAGGTGCCCTTTTTGTTGGTCCCCCCCCCCCCCCTCACTGCGGAAGACAATCCGTCCCCTGTCTCCATGCTCCCCAGTCTATTTCTCCATCTGAAAAAGTGAATCCAGGCAGTCGATTAGGTTGTTTCGTCTTTCATTATCAACTAATGGAAAGTCACTGCTTGACAAATTTACCGCTTGCAGCCTGTTTTCACCATTTCTAGGCCAACTTATTTATTTCTTCTGAAAAGTCGTTATAAGTATCATTTTAAGATAGGGTTAAGTACAGTATTATATGTTTGTATCTTGTTTTCCACTGCCTTCAGCAAGCTAGCAAGGATGGTGGTGGGGGTGGGGTGTTCACTGTATAATGTCACCACTGTGACGCAGCATATGATAAATAAAGATGACTACTACCTGCTTGTTTTTAGATTTATAAATAAAATGAAATCTTAATAACAAACTTTCCATTTTGAAATAAATCATTTAACACGTATTTTTGCAATTGTATGCCGAAAGGTAATGGAGATAACGCACGTCCCTCGTGTAAACGATACGAATCTGATAATGTTGTTTTACCTTGCGATTCTCATGTCTCCGGCAGTAAAAATAAAGAAACGACACTCCAAAATGAAAATGATTTAAAGAAGTCAATATTGGCCTATTGTAATATAATAACTGTCTTTTTTGTCTAATAACTCGAAAACAAATACTTGAGTATCAGCTAGCTTGGGTGCCAAGGTTAAAAGAAAGAATAATGCTTTTATCCCAGTCTGTATGCTTGTTGTTCCAAATCTAGCTTAAAGTCAACAAGCTTTTCTTCTTGAGGTTGTCGGTGTAGTATGCATTCTTTTATATTCTAAGTATTGACAACTTTGTTTAAGGTTTTGAATTTCCGATATTTCAAAGAAAGAAGTTATCGCATGTTTGGAGAGGATGAGAACGTAAATCTAAATGTGGATTTGCCATCATGATTAAAGGTCGGGTGAAATCCAAATTTCAGTTGATTCCTATTAATGTGGAGGGCTGCATACAACTCATATTTTTTTATTCAAACACCTAAATATATTTCATATATTTTAAATATTTGTTATTATATTTTTCTCAGACCTGTTAAGCTCCACCCTAAGAAATGCTCCAGATCTCATTCTCGTAATGACATCATCTGTCAATCATTAGTGAGCCAACACAGTATATATCCGGACACCTACCCCCTGGGCAACCAATCCCCGGATAAACTCCCCTAGGACAACTACCCCCTATGACAACTAACCCTCAGAACAACTACCCTCTAGGACTAGGACAAGTACCCCCAGACAAGTACCCCTAGGGCAACCGCCCTATAGGACATGTACCTCCTTGATATCTACCAACTAAGGTAACTACCACCAAACTATCCCCGGACAATAACCACATAATTATGGAAATTATCCATCGGGGGTAGTTGTCCTAGAGGGTGGTTGTCCTAGGGGGTAGTTGTCTGAGAGTAGTTATCCGGGGTAGTTGTCCTAGTGGGTAGTTAGCTCGGGGGCAATCATCCTAGAGGGTAATTGTCCCGGGGGTAGTTGTCCTAGCGGGTGGTTATCCTAGGGGAGGTTATTCGGAGGGTGGTTGTCCAATGGGTAGGTGTCCTAGAACCAACACAGTGGTATGGAACTCCCCCAGCTCAGCACATTCAATATTACAGAAATACATGTATCTTTTGCATTTCTTTAGCCAATCACTTTTATTGTTGTTGGCGTTTCGATTTGTAAAGAAACAGTTTTATCTCATGTACATAATGGAAAACTTATGCTTTATATCTTTTCCTTTTCCCTCTTTTATATAATATCCAAATGCATTAATTTCATGGACTGGTTTTTACTTCAAATAACAGGTACCAGTTTTACCATTTTATTTTATTGAGTAATTTGTCTGATTAATCAATTCTAATAGGTATTCAATGTTTGTTTTTTTCAGATGTTTTTTTGATAAATTTCATCTGTATCATTACATTGATAATTGCTGTTAGACCACATTTATTACAAATACGTATATATTGCTTTGTAATTTGAACTTTAATGTTAATTTAATAATGTTGTCTAATGTTCCCCCTTTTTAACTGAATTGAATTTCGAAAGACATCGGGTGCACATTTTGATGGCGAGTATAAAAACGCCGTAATTCTGCTCTTATCCGATATTTTCATTACCGGTATTCACGTACTCGTCTTCACCTATATTGTGTTCAATGATTAATTAACTCTGTTCACTTTGATGTGTATTCCATATGTATTGTAATTTGTAGGTTTATTTTCATTTTTAGTTTTGTTTAAGATGTAATTGTATATCAGTCTATTGTGTGTGTTATAGCGCTTAGAGACTTCGGTGGTAAGCGCTTTATAAGTAACGTGTTTATTATTATTATTATTATTATTATACAACCACTGTATCACCTGCATCATGCTACAAACATAAACACGAATTCCATTCTTGTCCATCATCACACAAACAATCATGATCAAATGATTGATATTGCTAGTAAAATATCTTCACTTCGTTTGGCATGGATATCTCGTTTATTTAATAATAATGGTTATAATTAGAAAAATATGTTTAGATACTGATCAGATGAAGTAGAGGGTTTGCCACTTTTTTTGTACTTCAATTCAAATATCAAATGATCCTATTGGTTGTTATTTACCCGCATGCTTAAAAAAAATTCAAGTCGTTGTTAAGATTGTGATAAATGTGTTAGCAAAAAAATAATACTAAGCTGGAAGAATTGTTGATAAACTTTCGTTTTTAGCCAATGTTATTTTTCATGAAATCATTGAAGAATTAATTTAGACATACAGTATTGCAATTATGGAAATAGGAAAAGAGAGAAAAAATATCAGAATTGTTGGTAAACTTTCGTTTCTAGCCAATGTTATTTTACATGAAATCATTGAAGAATTAATTTAGACATACAGTATTGCAATTATGGAAATAGGAAAAGAGAGAAAAAATATCAGAATTAGCTTTGTGATGAATCGAGCCTCATCATTGTCATGTTAGCAATTTAATCTAACATGGCAAATATTGGCCTCCAACATCCTAAATTGTTTTTAAATAATTAATACACATCAAAAGGATTTCATTATTATTTGCCTGCGCTCTCGTTGATCCGTTCATGATCACCTACTTATCCTAATCATATTATAATTGAATTTGGTTGTCAACAATATACTAATGGAGGTGTTCATACCATGGCTCATTGAATAGATGTTGATGGTATGTCATGCATGATGCATTGCATTGCATTTCATGTCGCCATCCTCATCTCTTTTCAATTTGTTACCAATATAATGCCGAGATAATATTTCATTTGGCAGGTTTGTAGTGTAGTGAACAACTCGTGTTTTTTTTTCTTCTTTGGGGTAGCTATTAATTTTAAAAAATGGGAAAAAACAACAACAATATAATTACTCGATTATGTATAAAATATTCAGAAACATACCACTTATACCGCAACTGAAAACTCATTAGGTATGTCTTCATCAGCTCGAGATTGCCAAATAGCCCGCTTTATTTCCGATTTGGGAAATAAGCCCGAAGTTTTAAATCGCGACCTCATCTGCTCGAAACTCGAGCTCGAGATATTTTGCTCATTGTTCGCGCATAGTGCGAGTCTTCGGGTTGGCGAAGAGGCACCATAGACAAACAGTGGGATATTTTGCAAACTAGCCCAAGATATCTTGGGATGATTATCTAGATCAAATTTCCCGCTAATTGCAACTGCGGGCTGATGAGGACGCAAATTAGCTGGATAATTTGCGATCGGGATAACTAAAATAGCGAGTTATTTGGCAATCTCGAGCTGATGAAAACAGGCCTATTCATTCTTCAAAACACTCTTGTTCATACTTTTCTCTAATAATATTCCCTATTATCATGAATATCACACACCAAACAAAATAATATTTCGATGGATGCATACTTTTGGTTTCACGCCTCAACGGCATTTACTTGCTTAATTATGAAATGTTCTGAAATGGAGTACAACAAAACAAGATCAACAGATGTAAACATGTCTTCTAACTTCCATTATATACAACATAATATGCAACTCTAATTTACAATGTAAGATTCCTTAAAAAATGAGAAACTGTTAACATTCTTCAAAACTTTTGCTGCACCACATTCAACAAATTTGATTTAAAAACGATTAAAAATGTGGTGCTAGCATTCAAACTCATCAAAATATTTCTGATTCTTTTAAGCTGGCAAGCAACTCTATGTAACACTCTATGAATCAGAATCAACACCTATGGTAAAACTGACAATGTGATTATTGAATTGATTACCTCACGATCTGGAAAAATGGTAGGAAAATGCATTTCCCCCTCAATTTCATTTCATTTTGGCCTTTACTGCTAATTATTTGTAATTACTGAATTCTCGATAGCCTCTAAAAAATTGTGCTATTTAGCCACAATGATGCATAACATTATCAAATACAAATCAGAACTTCATATAAAAAGGCATAACCGGAATACAATCTAACTTGAATCTGAAGTAAATGTAGATATATATCATATAATTCTGAATACTGGACCATTCAATTCATTTCGAGAATACGTTTAGTACCAGGGGAATACATCAAATTGAATACGGTTAAGATTTCATGTTTTGATCACTGCTAAGAGGAGATGTTATACAAGATTATGATAAAAATCTGAAAATAAATTCATGAATGATGGGTAATGACAATCAACGTACATGTATTAAAAGTGCAATATTTATATAAAGCGATCAAGCAAGGCATTTTGTCTGTTAGATGTCAGAAGGGCGTCGACTCTTTCTCAAAATGATACGAGTGTAAACGACCTTTTGGCTCCAAACAGATAAGACATTAAAAAACTGTAGCTTGTCAAACAGACTTGCATTGTTTTTCATATACCAGCCAAGATCAATGGCATCAACATCAAAATAAATGAGTAAATTTAAGTGGATATTATTTACAGACATGTATATTAAACTGCAGACTTGATAAGGGTGCGAGTGAGGAAAAGAAGGGAAACAAATAGTAGATAAATAAATTCTAAATATATATATTCATCACTTTGAGAAGATGATAGAAGTGAGCAGAGCATCTGAAGGCATCAGGTGAACAAAATGTCACAAGGTACCAAAAGAAAAAGAAAAGAAGACAAAAAAGCAGTTTATTTGGATGGCTAATATTTGAATATGTACACGCAAAACAAATGCAAACCGTATGTACATGCGTTTTAGAACACTGCTGAACAGAATTAAAAGTTTGAAGAAATTTACTACTTTAAAGAACCTTACTACTTTACACTTTCTTTCATCCCTTTGCTTAAATCAGCTTGAACAGACACATATCAGTGTTAAATGAAAATAGAACTATGTTTTTTTTTCTTCATATATTACAAAAATCAAACATGTATTTACATGGAAATTTATTGTACTTCCATACTAGCAAGAATTTTCACAAATTGATATAACTTAATTTCCTAGGAGAGTTAAAAAACAAAAAAATAGTTAATCATAATTATTGAAATCTACACAAGAATTCATTATTATCATATTTCAAGGTAGAAATCCTTGTTTGGAAGCATAAATGTTACAAGTACATGTATATTCACAACTAAACTCAAATAATAAAAGATAAATAATAGTAATAAACATAATAAAAATAAACATTTCCCCTCCAAAAATGTACAAGAGACATAATACAATGGCTCGTGGAAAGGTAGGAATACCTAATTTTCTACTGTTTTGTAAACATAAAAACTACAAGGTTCCCCTTTTTATCATTCAAATTAATACCTCTAGACGATGTGAGTTTGAATCAACAAACGGTAATGATCAGCTTGAGGATAAATGAAATACAATGAATAGTAAACACAATATTTCTCTAGACATTGGTGTTAGTAACATTTCCATTGAAATAAAAAAAAATGCACACTGAACTTAATGTATCCTCCCACCCAAAATGATTATGAAGAAGAAAAAAGTGTACCACACTCTAATGGTTAAAACACAGCACTGTATACATGTACTCAATGCAATGATTACCAGCACCACATACATTTATACCCATTGAAAAATAAAGATATTGATATATACGATTTCCAACTTTTACCTCAATAAATGTATATATATTTGAAATGCCCATTTGAGGAAACATTATTTCATTCAATTTTTTTTCTGCAGGAATAACAGAAAATAGTTAAATAAGAATTAAACTTACCACCGTTCTAGAGAGATTTAATGTATACACAGTACCAGTATAAATAGAATCAGATAGTGGCAGAGAGGTTTTGATTCCTATAAGCCATGTTAAGAAATGTGTTACTATTGCAGTTACAGCGTTGATGTATGGACAACAACAAAAGCAAAATAATATTAACAATTGATAAGATAGTTAAACTTTGTACAGCACCCTTGAAAATCATACAATGCACGATGTACATGTATATTCTTTAAAACAAAGAAGAAAGAAGAAACAAAAGGAAAGGAAAAGGGAAAAGAAAGAAAGAAAGAAAGGAGAAGAAAAAGAGAAAAGAAAAGGAGAAGAAAAAGAGAAAAGAAAAAGAGAAGAAAAAGAGAAAAGTAAAGGAGAAGAAAAAGAGAAAAGAAACATCTGTAAGCATAAAACAAAAAGACATGTACAGGTTCCTATTTTCCTACATTGTACATCAATTACTGGATAACATAGCTTGTTTTAAGACATTGTGTAAAGTGCAGAGACAGGCGTACAAACCTATGAATAAGAACAGCAACAAATGTTTATTGGAACAAAATGTGGGAACTGGAGGCCTGACAGCTAAAATACAGTAGAACTTCATTACCGAGACGTCAGAAACTACCAGTGACAATGCAATCTTGTTATGTCAGGGCTAAAAACCAATAGACTACAGAGAGATAGGACCTGCAATATCAGCTTGTTATACCAGTGTTCATTAAATAATGTTGGGGGAACATATGTTCATGTAACAACTAGATGAGACTAGATGAGACAGAGTTTCTAATGAAAGAAATATGAATTATGAATTATTTAAAAACAAAAGGAAAATACTTGGCCCAAATTGATGCCTCCATTTTAAAAACTTGGTGTAGACTTCATCAGCAATGCCGTTGGCATAAACTCACAACAATCATTAATTTAAGGGTATCAGGCAGTCTGCCAATAGCAAAAACAATACACAACAAAACAAAACCACAAGAATTTCTGCAACGTAATTTACGATAGTACAATGGCTGCAACAAAAGAAAACAAGAAATAAAAATGGGTTTTTTTTTAAAACTACAAGTATGCTAACTATGTAGAAAAGGTGCCTGTAATACGTATAATGCAATTTCTGTTATTTCTAAAAAGATATATTTAACTATGAAATTAAAAATTCAATTTTTCCTTTTTGAAAATGTTTAAAAGACCAACATAACTCCTGACAAACTTATTGTTATATATTTACACCTGTATCTATAGGAGGAAACAGGAGAGATTATAAAATATGCATTACTTTCTATATAAACATCACACGTATGATTAGCAATCAAAAGGTCTTAGTTTTAATAAAACTTCAAAAAAAGGGAGTAGCACTAAAATATTTAATAACAGGTTCAATTATTTAGCATTCCTAAAAGTTGGGCTTGAAATTTGTTTCCACTTTTCAGCACTCCTCCTGTGGTTGGGTATTTACAGCAGAGTATTTTTTTTAATAATCACATGAGACACACATGCTCTCAGGTTTAGACAACTGCTGCTTTTGCATAGGTTTAATGTCATTGATGATCATGCAACAGTGCCCATTCTCTTGGAAAGTTCAGCATAGCCGAATGAATTGGGTCATGTTCAATGATTCCAGTCTGTTCCGCATTATTATGGGGTGTGAAGGTTAGGGTTCATTGCGATGAACTCCCGTTCCCACTTGGAGGTTCTTGGTTTTGAGTCTGGAGTGGATTCAGAGAAGAGTTTCATCTTATCCCTGAAGGACATGTTCCTCATGTCTGGTGTGGTGGCCTTAGGCTGCAGTTGCTGCTTGGCTAATCTCTTGTCTCTTGGGTCATTGTAAACCTCTTGAGCGCCAATCACCCCTGGGGTGTTTCCGGTGCGATAGACAGGTGGCGGACCATTCTGTGGTGGGGTACTGTATCCTAGGTCATTGCTATCAGTAGCAGGTGGTGGTGGTGGAGGAGGTGTTGGATTATGGTTATGCATGTAGTTGCCCACAGGAGCTGTGTGGAAGTTATTGGTGTAGCCATTACCAAAGCTGGATGGTTGGGGCTGTGGCGCTGGTGCACCACCTGAATTATTGGAACCGACGCTCTGTTGAGAACTGATGGATCCTCTGTCACCTGCTGATCCTAGGTTGTTAAGGGGATCTACAGATGTGCTTGAGCGCTGGCCTGGTCGGAAGGTCACACGCTTTGGAGCCACAGGAGGAGGACCCTTCCTGAATGGTTTTGGTTTGTTAATAGATGCTGCATCCACATTACTGTATCCATCCGTTGGTGGCCTTTCTGGTGGTGCTGCTTGCACGTAAGGTCTGTTCGGTCCTGGGACATAACCTGCACTTACAGTCGCATGGACCATGTTGGTCTGACCTGGTCGTGTCATGGAGGAATTCATATCATTCATCTGGCCTTGTTGGCCACTAAACGATATCTGCTCTAAGCGCCTTCTCTCCTGCTCCAATTCAGCTTCCCGTTTCTCAAACTCCAATCGCTGCTGATGATGCCTTCTCTGCATCTCTTCCTCTTGCTCACGTAATCTCTTCATTTCTTCATATTTTCTACGTTCCTCATCTGCTTGACGCCTTAGTTCTTCCTGTTCTTTCATCCACTTTGCTCGTTCCTCTTGTAGTTTCTTCAACTCCATCTGAGCGCTCATTTCTACCTGCTGCTGTGACCTCCTTTCAACCTCTTGCTGTCTTTGTCTCTCTTCCTCCTGTCGCTGCAACTCTTGCTGCCTTTGCTCTTCTTGTTGTCTCTGCATTTCATCCTGCCTTCGCATTTCCTCCTGTTTTCGCATTTCCTCTTTTCTTCGCATTTCCTCCTTTCTTCGCATTTCCTCTTGTCTTCGCATTTCCTCTTGTCTTCGCATGTCCTCTTGCCTCTGCATTTCCTGTTGTCTTTGTAATTCTTGTTGTCTTTGAGCTTCCTTCTGTCTGTTCATTTCTTGTTGCCTCAATTCTTGCTGCCTTTGCACTTCTTGCTGACGCTGCATCTCTTGCTTTCTTTGAAATTCTTGTTGTGTACGAAGCTCCTGTTGCCTCTGCGACTCCATTTCTCTCTGACGTTCCTGTTGCCTCTGCATTTGAAGTTCCTGAACTCTCATCTCCTGCTTTTTCCTCATGTCATTATCTATTTCTTCCTGTCTCTCTCTTTCAAGCTGCTGCTCCCTTGTCTTTTGTGCTGCGATCTCTGCACTTCGATTTGCCATCGCCATTTGATTCTGAAATTCTGGGTTCTTGGATATATCTTCATCTTCATCATCATCATCTTCGTTGTCCCTCATGGACTCTTCAAGGCGCTGCTGGAATTGCTGGTCAAGTTTCATCTTGTTCAATCTCTCTTGTTGAGCAGGATTAAGAGAAGGCAAAGAAGACATATAATCAACTTCATCATCTCTCATCTGCCTAACCTGTTCCTCAAGTCGCTTCTCTTGACGTTCTTTCTCCTCTCTATCCCAAGGAGAGCTCTTTGATGAGAGAGATGCTGATCCAGCAGAATTAATGCCTGGAATGGAGCGGGTCGACTGATCAAGATTTGCTCTTGGAGGTTCATATCTCTCATTTGAAGGGTTAGGAGCTCTCCTGTCTAAGGATCCTCGGGCAGCTTCTGCTGAGGCATTGGTCCTTTCTGGAGGCATAGGTGGAGGAACAGGTTTGGGTCCTAGGGGTGGCTTCTGCTGGGGAGGAATTGGCTGGCTTTCACTTCCCACTGGAAGCGTATCACGGGTGAGGGAGGATGATCTGTTGATACGCCCTTGACGAGGTAGAGAAGCAAAACCGGAATTCGGTGACTGTCTTGATGGATCCTCTCCCATCCTATTGGCTCTCCTCTCCTGCCAACGACGGTATTCCTCCTCGTCATCCATTTGCTGAGGTGGTGGGGGAGGGAGTTCATCATTTCCTGGCCCTTGGGAAGCTGAATGATCTGGTGGTGGAGGCGGTAGTGGTAAGTCAGCCCTTTGTGGACCCTTAGGAGCATATTGCCTTTGTTGATCCACCATTCTTGGGGCTGCCTGGGGTCCATTTGTTTGGTTTTCATATCGCTTGTCCATTGGATGCTCAGGACCCCTCAATACATTTCCTTCACTGTAAACCCTCGCTCTTGGCTCTGGCACATCATCAATCATATCACCTTGGCTGTGATTCCTCTGACGTGGTGGCATGCCATAATTATCCCTTGAGTCTTGTGGTGGAGCTTGCCTCTGTATTTCTCCTTGAGGTCCTACTCTGAACCCACCGGGTGGAGGACCATACCTGTTAGGAGGGGGCTGTTGCATAGCTCCATCTGGCATGCGCTGTTGGGGTGGCGGTCCTCTAGGCCCCATGCCAGGGTGTTGACCTGGAGGATATTGTGACTGAGGCATCGGCATCCTCTGCATAGGACCTCTAGGACCCATTGGACCTTGAGGAAACTGTCCAGGATGCTGGGGTGATGGTCCTCTGTGACGCTGCTGCAGGTGCTGCATCTGCTGTTGCACTTGGCGAGGCTGAGGGGAAGGCTTTATCTGATTGGGACCAGATCTCTGCTGAGGGATAGGCCCTCGGGGATCTGGAGACTCCCTCCTAGGATCACTTGGTCTAGATCCTGGCTGCCTCCTGTACGGTTCCTGGTCAAAACTCTCTAGTGATTTCTCAGGCGTTCCAGGGCGCATGCGTGGGTCTTCCTCCCTCCTGAAGGGTGGTTCCTCTCTAGGAGCATGGCCTCTGTATGGCTGCTCATCTCTCTTTTGAGACAGGTCCACTGTGGACTTGACTGGTCTCTGTTGCTCATGCTCCATGGGTTCTGGGTCCAGGTGGGAAACCGACTTGGACCTTTGTGAGATTGGTGGAGTAGGAGTTGCCTCCATGCGACTGCAAAAAATAAAATAAAATACACATCATCAATATGTTTATGTTATTTATAAAGAATACACTATGAAGGACTTTAGAGAAATGCACTTAAGGAGATACTTGTATTTGCAATGCCAAGATGACATGCACTTTATTTTACAAAAATAATATTGTTTCAATGTGATTGGATGCCTGGCACTCTTAAGCATTATTAAATCCATCATCACAAAAACTGAAGTGAGTGTATTCTTTTCAAGAATTGAAGAAAATGTATACATTTTAGATAAAGTTATCTGGATGCAGACTCACATTTAAGGATGTGATTCCTGAAATATTTACATATGTTCATTTGCCCTGTCACTACCCTACACATATTTCTGATTGGTTGGAAATGTTTCAGGCTAGAGAGTTAATACAGTCAAACCTGTCTATAGCCACCACCCTAGTGAAACACATAAAGGGGTCTTTGTAGACAGGTTCCTTCAGTGCATGTATCAATGAGAAACCATTATCAAGGGAACAAAAAAATGTGGTCTGTGTAGACAGGTGGTTACTAATGCAGGTTTGACTGTTTAAGGAACATAGTCCAGTCTTTGTGATAAATACATTTATTCCACACAAAAAAAGTAAGATCATACTAGATAAATCAATCTTTACAGGTTTTTCTTGTGTGGGCTGCCTGTTTGAATGCACATGGGATCAATGACACATGCTCCAGCCAGCAAACTATATGTACACGTACCCTAAACAAATTCCTAACTTCAACTCTGGACCAAACTCTAAATCAAACACTAACGCTCTTCCTAAACCTATCCTAAAATTAAACTGCAACTCGAACCTTATTTAAACCTTATATCATAGACGGGATAAAAGACGTAAAAATTGTCATCTATGCAAACGACTGTAAAAAATTTCATCTAAGCAAGACAACCCTGATTGCACTCAACCTACCTCCTGGGTTCTGGCCTCATACTGACAGAGCCATGGCGGGGATAGTCATCCCTACCGTTGCTGCTCGTCATCGGCATGTAGTTCCCTCGTTCTGGAGGTCTCTCCTCGGCTGGTGAAGGAAGAAAAAAGGAAACAGAAAATGGTAAAAGAGAGAACTCTCGGCGCATCATTTTTCTTGACTATTCAGACTTTTGCCATGTTTATTTATGGTAATTAAAAAAGAATTATTTTGAATTGATCGAATTGAGTCTTAAGAAATGGAGAACGATATTAAAGGTATCCCATTGCCCTGTATCTATTTGAACCAGACTTACTTTAACAGGCCATTGTTAAACAAAGGACAGAGTCTCATTTCTTTCTTGATAAACATTATATTAAGAACAACTTTACAACTTTACAGTCTGTCCCTTTTGCAGGCTGAAAATGTATAATTATGTAAATCTGATGGTAAACAAGAGATAATACCAACTAAAAACTCCTCTTAAAAGATTAGAACTGGTAATTGCCTCTATGTGGAAATCGACTTTTAGGAATTTTCAAAACATGTTGAGAAAATTATGCCTAGTAGATTTTCAGACCCTTGTATCGCATAGTTGTACATATTGTGCTGAGTAAAGACTTAATGAGTTTTATTTTGTTCATTATAAGAAGCGGGTCATTGATGTGTACAAATGATAATGTACCCTTTACAGCTAATTTTATCTATGTTATTAACAAAATTTTAAAAAGTCAGTCAGTCACTCATCAGTGTCTGACAGAGAAGTCTAGAGAGTAGATGGTTTCCCCTGCATAACTAGGTCACTGCTAACCGTTAAACGTTTAAATTTCACAGATAGGATATACTGTACGAGACATACTCATGATTCCTGCAAAGTTCTACAGAATATGATGTTGGCTGCAAAAGGGATACCTTTAACAAAATACTTGATAACTTGCTATTAGTATTATTGACAAATTTCAGTGAAAAATAATGGACTTTGAGAGTATATAGTTTATTGTGAGACAGAAGATGAATAATAAACATTAAAGCCCCTCTAAAGTGTTGGGAGCCCCAAAACTTTGATGGCAAAATTTCATGTTAGTTGTATCATAATGTATTAAAAGAGGAAGTCATTTCAGACACATTTCTGCAAGGCTTTTCAAAACAAAAGTGTTTGAACTCAAATATTGATGAAAGAATACAAAATTTAGGTTTTCTGCATACAACAAAAAACCCAAATTATGCATTCTTTTATCACTATTCGTCTTCAAACACTTTTTAGGGCGGAAATCTATGCAGAAGTGTGTCTTCAATGACATTCTCTTACACATTATGATACAATTTAAGTGAAATGTTGTCAACAAATTTCTGGTAAATTTGAGGCTCCCAACACTTTACATGGGCTTAAACTAATATCATCACAAAGAATAGTGAAACTTCAACATAGGTAACAGAAATCACAAAGTGCAAGAACAACTACAACAGTGAAACAATGTGCACACAGGAGTAAGGAAATCACAAACTTGAAATGGATTACTAAAGAGTTATGTTTAAAAAAAATATATTTATCATGCTCAGATTCAAAGTGTACATGTAAATGTAGTATGCTGATACGGATAGACATAGGAGTTAGATGTACATGTACATGCATAAAACAAGCTTTAAACAACAGAAGATAAAAGAGCTTCGCTCACAACAGAACGAAAGGCAATATTTCAAGTAGGAAAAATGCATTACGCACAAAGAGTCCTTACAAATTGCAGAAATGAGGCTCAAACATAGGTCAGAGTGGAAATCACTTGCGATGAAACAGTAAGAAAAATGACAGATCATGCAGCATTTGCAATACACAGAGACTTCATTTCGAGACAGCAAAACGAGATATAAAGGATTTCATGCAAGAAAAAGGGACAATAATCAGCAACTTGAAACACTTGGTGCAATTACGTGTGTGATAGTGAGACAGAAGCACAAAGAAAGGAAAAGAGAGAGAGAGAGAGAGAAAGAGAGAGAGAGAGAGATAGAAATAGAGAGAAACAAAATAAAAAATGAGACATACTGTTAAAGGGAAAGTCCACCCCCAAAATAAGTTTGTTTCGATAGAGGCAGAATAATAAGAAAATCAGGTGAGTGAAAGTTTGAGCAAATTCTGAATGAAAATAAGAAAGTTATGAATTATTGAAGTTGTGATCAATCAAATACAAATTGGCAACTCTGTGACTTATTATACGAGCTCTCCTTCATTTGCTTTGTGCATAATATTCCATAAAATCATGTTTTCTTCGTTATTGATGAGGGAATATATATTTGTTCCTTGCAGGGGGAGTATAGAAACATATTTGCAATTATTATATTTAGGGTGCATGTATGGTTGAAATTTTTCTTGAGGGAAAATGAAAATTTTAGATTTTTTTAGTACTGAGCAAATGGAAGTTGAGCTCGCATGATACGTCATAGAGTTGCCAATTTGTGTTTGATTGATCACAACTTCAAAAATCCTAACTTCCTTATTTTTAATCGGAATTTGCTCAAACTTTCACTGACTTGTTTCTCTCATTTTTCTACTCCTATTAAAGCTAACTTTATTTCAGGGTGGACTTCCCCTTTAAGGATGTGAAAAGGGAATGTGCATTTTCACGTAAGAGAAGAAAGAGAGGATTTAAATGAAGAGATAAATAGACAAACAGATATGAAGACAAGACGGTTGGGTTTGAAAATAGCAAGACATCTAATGATAGTTGACACGTTTACAAAATAGTCAGGCATGCAAAGGGTGAGAGAGTGAGTAAGAAATAGGTAGACGAGGAAGGGTATATTCACTGCATGAGGTGCTTTGAAAATGTTTGATTGAATAGGAATACCAATAACAAACAAGAGGAACACAGTGGACAGCAAACCACGAGGTGAAAGATCAACTCTGGACATATATTCTTCTCACCAAGATTGGGGGAGGACCGGGCCTTATCGGCTTCTCTCAGGCCAACAAGGGGCACGCCAATCATCCCCCTGGGCATGGTGGCGGTCCCCCTAGGTTCCATGGACTCCCTAGGGGCACCCATGCCAGGGGGGAGGGTACCGGAACGCCCTGATAAATCTTCACTGACAGGGCGGGGCTGACGTTCTCCTTTGTAAGCTGGTGGGTGGGTGGAGGGAGGGGTATAAATTGGAGGAGGGCAAGGACACATTCCACAGAAGGGAACGAGGGTGGGGTAGATAAGGGGATGAAAAAAATCGGAATCAAAGTCATATCCAAACTGAAGGAAAAAAATATCAACAAAGAAACTGTGAACTAAACTAGGATTTTTAAAAATCAGAATGCCCAGAGCTAATACTGACTCATACATTAATTTTCTTTATGTAAAATCATAAAAATCATTCTGTCGAAACTCAACTAAAATGGTAGATTGAAATAATTGTACACCTCAAAGAAATATGATACAATTGTTTGGGATTTTACCCAAAACATGTGTATAACTCCCTAGTGATAGTTTGAATTGGAACATCTATTCAAATTTACAGTGACCGATTACAGATGTAAGGTGATTTTGTGTATAGGGAAACCAGAATAAATTTTCACAAATCATATTCCTTTTGAAACGGAAACTTTAAGTGCATGTACCGCTCTTTTTATCAATATATCATTTTTGCTCTTTGTTGTATCCCCCCTAATTCCCCTTGTCATTTTATTTTTCTCTCATTACCTCTTTGTTGTGGTGGTGTTGACTGGCTGAGGATCTGAGCCAAACCATGGAATATGGCTCCTTGCTTGGCAATGGTCATCTCCACAATCTGACCAGACTTGACCAGAAACTGGGCAGCCCTGCATACCAACAGAGAAAGGAAAGAGAATTAAAACGTGAGACATTTTTCTCACTTGTATGACAGCTGCTTCGGAATCAATTGCTCACTGGTCACCATCCTACATTAACCAAATTATCATTTCAACCCTGGACAAAAATTGTCATCAAACTACAGTATTTACACAAAATGGCAGAGTTTAATTTTTATTTTTATGAATCGATTTATTTGAAACTTCAAATACACACAGCTAAATTATATATTCAAGTGGGAGGAAAAGAAACAAGCCATTATTAACCAAACCAAAATTAATGTTACATATACTTCATTGTTCAACAAATGGAACAATATTTTGGTTATCTTATGTTCTTGTTAATCATGCCTGAACCTTTAATTTGTTCATGAGCAAAATGAAATGAAATATTGCAGTTTATGTCGTTCAGTATACCATGTATATTTCAGAATAACTGAATCAATAAAGAAAAGGGTTCAATTTTTTTTTATAAGAGCTATCTTTGTACTGAATGAATGGAATTACATGGGGGAAGAAAGCACATACATCCGTTACAGTAAATAAGAATGGTAAACTATCTTACGCGTCCTGATCCAACCCCAGTAAGCTGTTGCCATCTACAGCGAGGATCTGATCACCAGCCTTCACTCTACCATCCTGTGGAGAAAAAAATGACATTAAAGGGTATTCCATGTTCCAGTTTCAGTTTTATTTTTCATTTCCAACAGAACAGCAATTTTGACAAGAAATCAGATATGCAATTCAACATTCAATAATATAATATATTTTACATGGTTTAAAGTTGTGAAATAGAAAGTATACATAATTATCCAGTATAATGGGTTTAAAAATTTTTTTTTTTAAAGATAAACCTGTGCCTTTTCAAAGTAACTTGTACTTACCACATCAGCAGCTGATCCGGGCACAACAGCCTTCACATAGATACCAATCTTTTCCTGACCAGCTCCCTGTCGTAAAACAAAATAAAACAAAGTTGTAAAATTGAATCGAGGCAAGGGTAGAATTTATTCTGAATCTGATTTTGGCTCTCAATACATAAATAAATGAATCATGTTTGTATTTCCTTGCTGATGAATTCAATTTTTGGTAAATTGTTGAATGGAAATTGGATTTCAGTTTCACAAAGGATACAATCTGCAATATCTTTCAGGTAATAACAAACACACACAAAGAGGAAAAAAAAGAAACATAGAGAGTCAGATAGAGATAGATGAAGAGAGAGGGAGGGAGAGAGAGAGAGAGAGAGAGAGAGAGAAAGAGAAAGAGAAAGAGAGAGACTTACAGTGGCTGCTATGATGCTCAGCCCCATGCCTGGCTTTCCATGTTTGTTGAGCTGTATTGTGTAGACCTCCGGCTCATTGCCGGCTGGCTTAGCATCAGCTTTCACTTGAGGCTGTGCAAAAGAAAAGGAAAGCTCGAGGTTAAACATAACATTTACATGTAGTTTGGGGGCCCTGTCTTATAAAAAATTTACATCAATCACTAGTTATTTGCGATTGATATCAATCGCAACTATGTAAATAAGAGATAAGAGACCGTCAACTTGTGATTGATTTGGATCAATCCCACCCCTTTATAAGATGGGGCCAAGTATCACAAAGTGAAATAGGAATGAAACCCACTAAATTGTGCCACTCATAAAACAGCATTTACAGGGTATGTGCCAACTATCTATCTTATTTTGAGGCTCCACTCATGACGGAAAGAAACTCTAAATCAATGCCAACAAATCAGCTTTTTATACAAAATTTCACCGCACTACAATCTCAGTGAGATTTGTAAATATTTGTGTAAATACAGTTGTCTGTTTCTAATACACACATCTTTTGCACTTGAATAAAGAAATTTATATTCTGTTTAGAACCTTATTTGCTGAACAATATTTTTCACCTCTTATCTAAATTTTTTGTTAGAGAGAACAGTAATTCTTATCCTGTTTGTGAAATCCAATTATAGGGGAGGAGGGGGTGGCGGTAATAATCAGAATCAAAGAAACAAAATTTCAATTTTCATGTAATTGCACGACATAAAGTAACACCAAGAAGTGCATTAAGGGAGCCACAGCACTTTCAAGGAATACTTAATGTGGTCAAAAAGATTGAAAACCAAGCATCTAGATAGAAATAAATGCTTTTGGTTACCTCAAGATGTGGCGCGGACCCTGGTTGTTGGGAGGTAGGGGGCTGCGGAGTCTGAGGGGAGGAGGGAGCAGGCGAATCCAGGATGGATGGCTGGTTGCCATTCATGTGAACAGTCCATGTACCATTGGCCTTCGGGTGAGGGGTCAGACGCACTTGAGCTATGAAAGGAAGAAAAGTACATACACATGAAGAAGAACAAAATCCCATATTAGAATTTGAATGTGTCATTTAACATTTTGAAGCACACAAAAAAAGGAACAAATGAAAGTTAAATATGAAATAGTCACATTATACACAAATCTATTCAGAAATGAATTATTATCTATATAATGTACACGTAAGGCTTTTAAGTAGTACAATGAATCAGTGTATTCAATATCTTTAGCGCAGTACCCGGATGACTCAGTCATCTTTGCTCAGTCATTTGGGAACTTCAACTATCGATATCGATATCACACAAAAACAAAGCCATCTTTACAGAGGCAAGTGAAATTTTGATATTTCGCTAGTCAGACTAATCATAAATATTAGACTCGTCTTCGACTAATCCAATATTGTCATAGCTCGAGCAATATATCCTTGTTTCACACTCAAAGCCTTCCAATTTTATATGAGTATTCTGTTTAGTACATCAAGGATCTGAAAGTTAAAATAATGAAAAGACTATGTCTCACCAGCTTGGATGAGTGGGTTGAAGAACTCGCCCAGGCCGTTGGGGACCCCCTTGATGATGTCACTGGAGTAGCCGTCGTCGGGTAGGAAGGCCGGTACCCTCAGCTCTCTCTCCTCCTCTATCAGGATGGGATGACCCTCACGCTGGGCCTGTAGCTCCTCCTCGGAGGCTGCCATGGAGGTGGCCTGGAAGAGGGGCAAGGGATAGGGGTGGAAAAGGATGGAGAGAATGGAGAGACACAGAGAGAGATTGTATTAAAGGCATCGTTTAACAATGTTACGTCTGAGATGCATGACCATACGTGTTATCAGTGTCTGTGATATGATGTAATATTGAAGCCCTAAACAAATTGCGCTTCAAAATGATCAAGAAGTGCCATCAAAAAGTAAAAATCTTTGAGTGACCGGTTTTACTATACTCATTTTCCCCAAAAAACTGTAGTGTTATGAAAACCATTAGGAAATCAAATTTTTAAATTTTGATTTCCAACCATAAATATTTTGATAATTAGACAGGCGAATCAGCTTGAAAAAGTCATGGGGTTCCTAACTGACCTAAAGGTTTATAATTATGATTGCAGCATGAGCTAAATCCAGGATTTCGTTTCAGAATCTGAGACAAAGTCACCCAATCCCTTTAATAGATACCTTAGCAATGGCTTCAGGCGGAATCTGGATGGAGCCCTTAGGAGGGATGTAGTTATCCAGGATAGCTTTCATCTGACGAGAGTTGAGCATCCAGCCGTTATGAATGGCAGCATTGAGCTGGTTAGAATTCTCCTTGGATGAGGTCAGCAACTCTAGGGCCTGGTGGAGAAGAAAATAAACGGTTAATTGGATGCAAGAATTAATTAATTGAACAAAGTGAACTGAACAAATGGTACATTTATAAAGATGATACTTTCAATTCAACAATCTTGCATGAAGAACTATAGGATAAAGTACACAAAAAATGCATAATGAATCTGCCCGAAGGCGTTGCAAAAGTTAAAGTGCTTTACAGCTGTTTTTTAATATGGATACGCTCGGTTCCATAGACGGAAAGAAAGAAAATCAGGAAGATGAATTGTTTAAATCAAACTAACTTATCATTTTACTGAACAACAAAATGTGATGACACAGAATAGTCTAACCGACATGGTAGTCACTGTAATAAATGCTCTCATTCATTGTAGCTTGGAAAAATTATAACAAAAATAGGTGATAGAAAATAATGGAAATACATCAAGAACAGCATTTGGCAGGAAAAGATCTTCAGATGATATACTATAGTTTAGAAAAATCTTCATGAACTTCTTTTTCTTCTTAAAATCAATCTGCCTCCTTCAATACTGAAGATTCTTGCAGATGCCGTGTATACTCGACCTGATTGGGGTGTGCAGGTGGACCACTACACCGGAGTTTTCCCCTGCAGAGGGTTCTTAACGTGCAAGGGTGGTGACTCTCCTGTACACTGGGCCCTTCATTTAACGTCCTATTGGAGGGACGGAGTGTTTTCCCACTCCATGTAGCACTCACCTGCTTGAGCTTCTGGAAGTGGGTTTCTGCTGCCACCTCCAGCCCTTGCTTCTCAGCCCAGGCGACCACCCTGGAGAGACGCCTCACCAGCCTGTGGCCCCACTCCTGGGTGCAGAGGTTAGCGTGGCGCGGGGAGGAGACCAGGCGGTTGAAGAGCCCCGCCCCAATGAAGTGGAAGAGCTGCGAGAAGAGCTGGATGGTTAGGGCAGCATTGACGCGGCACACGCGCAGGAGGGTCATGGCCGAGGAGAGGATCTGAAGAACGTCGCCTGGTAAAGAGAGAAAGATGAGGAGATGCAGAGAAAGACAAATATTTTATGTGAATGTAATCATACTGAAACAAAAAGACATAGGAACTGAGAAGAAAGAGTGTGAGAAGAAAGATAAAAAGTAAATAGAAAGAGGCCGACAGAGAAAAAGAAGGAGGAAAGTGGAAAAGGGATACAAGAGAAATAAAAGAGAGAGAGAGAAAGATACTTAAAATATAAATGAATAGTACTAGTAGTTATGGTTAAATAAGGAATGCTCTAAAAAACAAAAAAAGAGGAAAGGAGAACGAAGTACAGTAGTTATAAAGATAATTAGAAAAACAGACAGGAAGGTAAATAGATAAAGCATTAATGAATGAAATAGTAACAAATAGAAATTAATAGCAGAATTTAGGAAAAGAGAAGAAAACAAAAAAGAGAAAGGCCCGCCTCTTCACTGCTTATGTTCTTCTACATTCTTTAAAGCTTTTTTAAATATAATTTTTACTACTTTGCCTTGAGACCAATTTTCTTTTAAATAATAATGAATCTATAACATCATTTTACTTTGCCAGATTACTGGAAAATGTTGCATGCTCTGTTTGGATTTGGTGAGAAGAAAAATAGCTTTATGAAGTATCGCAACATTCAATGCAAGCCAACTTCGCAATATTCTTAATCTAAAAAGCTTACCAGTTTTTTGCTCAAAATTTTAATTGGTTTTAGATTTCACTATTATTGAGATTTACAAAGTACATATAAATACAAATACAATTAAAAAAAGGTCAACGTTTTTTTAAAAACACATTCCTGGAGTTTTAACACAACATCTATATTAAAAGATGTTTGATATTACAAGACACTTAAAAATCACAAGTAGGCAATAGCACTGCTGAATATAGGTTTTCCCGCCCAACTTCGTAAACTTAGCATCCGAATTAACGTTACGTTCATTCAAGTTCGTGCGAAATTGAATGACTATGTAGATCAACATTCAAAAAGCTAATTGCGTCGTTCAATTTGATTTAGTAGCATGCGATTTCATACTCTTGTCACGGAGAAGTGCAAAACCAGCATTCAATTTAGAAAAGCGTGCAAAGAGCATTCAAATTCGCGCCGGACAGACGGTGGTATGTATTCGAGCATTCAATTTCGTGATTAGGCATCCATATGTGACATTTGTGCATTGCTTTTCATTTGATGTTAATTTGTCACTTAATATACTTCTGTTTGAATAATTTACTGCTAAGTTTACTAGTAGGAATGATTATGCGTATTCGTTAGCAGATATATGTCATTACACAGGTAACTGTCCCCAGAGAAGGCGCACAATTTGTGACTTCTCTTCTTCTTCTAAGAACAAGCTATATAATTATACACAGATCCTGGACAGCGGTAGAGTTGAGCTTTAGACATGGCCATGATGGAAACAAAATACAATGATGAATAAAGAAAAATATGTGAAATGAAAGGAAAGAAAGATTACCCACTCAATCCAGATTGATAAAAAAAAAACATTTAAAAAATAACCTCATTTATAATGAAAGATATGAAGACATGACTGTATAAAGAAATGTTCATCAAAAATAAAGATCGACAGAAAGAGAAAATATTGAATGCAATATAAATATATCAGACAAATAAGAAGATTGTATAATGTGAAATCATGTCAGAAAAGATCGTAGAGAAAAATAATAAACAAATGAACATGAAACAGTGAATATCCGAATAAACATCGAGCCTCGTACAATAATTATAAGGTCTAGTTTTAATTTGAATGACCCGATTGCAAAAGAGGTTGCCCATAGACGAAAATGAAACCGCAATTCGACAAAGAATTGTCCTCCCACTCAACTTTGGCGAAATTGAATGACGCTAACGCATTTCCAAATTGGTTGAACCAAACGTTAATTTGAATGTGCTTGTTTCGAAAATTCGGTGACTCGAAACGAAATTGAATGCAAAAAGTTTAAAAATGAAACAGGGAAGCAACGAGTGGAGAAAATTTGCTCGAACATGAATGCACGTTAGTGAAATTGATCGCTGCTTTGACGAAATTGGCCGGGAAAACCTATACTATTGCCATAACGAGTCTTGCTACATTCAGGATGTTTTGAAAACAGAGTCAAGAGGTATGCATAACATTATTATCAGTGAGATTAGACATGCTCTGAAACTAATAGAGATAATAACATGTGAGTAATTGACACTGTACATGTCCAACACATTCCAGACTATTATTTGTGAAACAACAGCTGAAATTTAACTCCCCATGAATCATGCAACAGTATATTTACCTAATATTGTGTTGCATGTTTACTCAAATGAATATTGGCAAACAGACTTTGCCCATGCAATCCATTAATACTTATCACAGTCACAATCAATAAGCTTTCTTCTATCTTGTTTCTTATTAAAGTTAAGGCCTAAAAGCAGTACAAACAATTCATGTGCTGTCTCACACTAAACCCCAAAGATGTGATTCATCAAATCTTAATCAAAGAAAACATTTTGAGTGCTGTAATGTGAACTATGATCTGAAACATAAAGACTGTTATTTGTTTTAAGACTGCTGTGAGTGAGTGGCTATACATGAAGGAAAATATTTGATCATCATTAACATGCTTGAACCACACATTATCATAAGATTCAAATTTCCTAATGGAAAATGGTTTCAATTTTGAATGCATCAGACATTTGAGGTTTACCATGCTATGGATAAATGATAATGGATGATCAATTATTATGGTAGAGATGCTAAGTGGTACCTTGCCATCCTAACTATTGTTATATCTATAATTGTTTGTTTGTGTTTTTTATGAATTTTCTATGCTCATGTCAAATATTTATGTATCATCATCATCATCATCAACAACAATAACAAATAAGTGTGATCACTAAGGCAGTCTGCACTTCAAAAAATAAAACCTAAACAAAGCTTTATGCTATAACAACTTGTTTTTCTGTTCTTCTACTGCTACAAATATATGTTTCATTCAAAACAACAATGCACTACAAACATTCACAGTCTGTGATAAATAAAATGAAATCCATGAAGAGGCAATTTAGGAAAATAAAATCAATCATGGGCACATACGTAAACATAAAATGACGAACAGTGAAACTATTGGGTGACATTTAAAGCGACTACATGCATGCAATGAAAGGATAAAACTTATGACACAAGCATATGGGTGAAAAGTAAAAGGGCTTGATAAAAATATTTTGAGGCTGGTAAGTGAACAGATGGTTTATACCACTTGTTCTACATGACATATTGCATATCATGTTCACAAAAACTAAATATCAAATTGATCACAAAGTTGATTAGTGAGTTTTTTTCTTCATATACTGGCTGTGGGAAACCATGGAGACAGAAAAAACAGCATTGATTATGAAAATGTGTATACAAAATTAAAAAAAATATGTAAAAGAAATACAACTAAAAAAGGTAATGATAAAACTGAGGAATAATGATCTTCATGTATAATTGGATGGCAAAGATGATGGAAATGATAAAGATAGGGTACTGCAGACATGTATCGATACCAAGACTGAAATATTAATTCTGCTGATTATGAATAAGGGGAAGTGAACAAGGAGAAACTACATTCTATGTTGGCCTACATGTACATTCAGGTTTACAGTCTAGCATACTTCTTAAATGAATAGTTATTTTTCAAATGAATAGTTTACATGAGCCAAACTAGATTTCCATGTACAATGTACTACTGAGGTTTAGTATTAAATCCAATCATACATGAGGACTAAAGACAAGAAACCCATGCACAGTAATAAAGAAGAAAATATTCCTGATGAAAATGTGCTAAAAACCAACAACAAAACTCAATACAAAGTAACCCATGCACAAAACTGATTTTTTTCTTTTCTTTTTTCAAAATGAAAAGTGATTAATGTAAAAGAATAGGAAGACAATCTAAATGCCAAAGTTAGCTTGCTCAGGAATGTCTGTATCTTCTATCTAACCTCTCACTTTTAAGGAAATTAAAGCAATCAAAATAAAAACATGCAGGGAACTAGTTTGAGCACTACATGCAAATCACATATAAAAACATAGCATGCACATTAAAACCCCACAAGGTCATGGAAAAATGTGTAACTGCAATTTTGTGAAGAAAATAGTGATTATTTCTTGCTGGTTGTTTTTGCAAGGATTTAGTTTAAGTTATCATCCTACCTATTGTTGGGCGGCCACTCATTGGGCTTCGTGAAGGGGGCCTCATCCAGCGCCCGTTCTCAACGCTCTTTCCATCCTCGTCTGGGAGAGGAACATTCAGGACAAAATTGTTTTTGAGTTTCTAATAGTGTAACTCTATTATCAAATAGACATTTACTTTTATACTTGAACATGTATTAAAGAGAACTGTTGCTGAGCTAGCACCATGAGCGTCCCTGGATGGTGTGTGTGCTCTATAAGTTCACACTATTATTATTGTTATTTTCAAATAGGTTTAATTTCCAGGGCAAACTTTTTCTCGCCTGTGTATACATACCAGTTTAAAGTTTTACCATACTAGTAGTTCTAGTTGTCCTCAAAGTTACTTCCAACATTTCCCACACTTCCCAGACATGATATTTTTAGCATAACGGTGGCTTATAATCCAGGCTAATTTTCTCGTCCTTACTCATTTAGGGGCGTGATATGTGATCCAAGTACAGGAATATACAAATCGCACTCATAGTGCAAAAGGCACAGTTTTTGTTAAAAAGCACAGAAGCAAAACAATGAGATAATTTACTGATGGTAGATGATCATATAACCCTGCTACAAATGTACCTCAATCAGGCTAAATCATGTCATTGAAGTATTTAGGATTACCGTAAATGGTTAAATGCATCTAGACCACCCTAAAAATGCCTTTTGCATTACAGGCACTGCACTCTGAATGCTACCAAAGGGGCTTTATAGTTCTGTAAGTACGAACATATTCTCACATGTACTCATATGCACTTTTTTATTTTTTTTTATTTTTTTTTAAAGAACTATTAACTTCTAATGGACCCAGACAAATAAACAGTCTAAACAATTTTGGGAAAGAAGATATCAATCATACTGAAGAAATTTATTCCTCATGAATTTTTTTGTTTATAGAAGAACTATTTATTAGCTGTAGGGTTACATGTATGTTCTTCATGTTTTGCAAACAGGACATACAGGACAGAAAACAGGCAAAACTGTCCTCTATCATAATGCCATACATCTTTTCTTGAAAATTTGCTAGGCGAGAACTGTTCAGTATTGCACTATTGAGTACAAAGCACTTTCGAATCAAGAGAACGGACCATCAGCTGGTATTTGGGACACTGACCAGTGTCCGAGACTCTCCCTAACCTTTGGAAAGGGGGGGGGGGGAGGACCAAAGAGCCCCTGATCCCCATTTATTTTTTAGCACTGGTGAAGTACACATAGGATCCAGCCTTTTATTTCCCCAGCACCTAAGCAGGCTTGATGAACCCATGCTCTGAGTGTCTTCAATTGACCTACATTCCAGATTACATGTATGTTATGAAAACAAGACCATGGTTCCCATGATATGAAGAGGCAAAATACATTGAAACAATTTAAGAAATACTTAATCTACAGGCAAGAAAACATTCTGAAATTCAAAATTCCACATTCCAAACAAAGTCCCATGCACAGAAATGTTAAAATGTATGAGTATCACAACCAAGCCATGGATATGAATGCATGGAGAAATGGGAATATTTTCGTAACACTCATCGTTTGTGTCTTTTTAGTTATTTTCATAGGACCTACATGTACCAGCATACAAGTGAAGTTAGCAGCCAGGTCCACATTTGTTAGTATAGCCGATCTGTAAGTTTTAGACTTTCTAGTGAAAATTTGCAAATAACCTCCAATTTTCAAACCTATCTTTATCAAAAGAATAATGCCTCTCATACTGCCTCTCAGAAGGTGATGAGGACATAAAAGGACCAGAAAATGATCTATTGGTTTCAAAATTATATATTTCAACACTACTGAATTAATTACCTGAAAGCAGAATGTGAACTACATGGTTTGGGGCTACATGTGTATGTCCTTTGACAAAAAAGGGAGGTGTTTGTGTGTTAAAAGAAAGCTGATCTAAACAAGATATTAATTTTGAAGGAAAAATGTGTAAGGTCAACCAGATAAAGTGGTGGACATTAAAACCAGGAATTCTTGACATGCCCTACAAGTATTGCTGCATATTTATGGCAAGCCATTTTAACATTTTTACCTATTTTTTGATATCAAGAATTACCATTGCTTTACAACAGAAAATCATTTCTTGATAACAAGAATTCATCACTTGATATCAAGAAATAGGAATAAATGTTAAAACGGCTTGCCATAAATACGCAGCAATATGCAAAGGTGTGACTGAGGCATTACTGCCATGTACAGTGTCCGTTCTACATGCTAGGGACCCCTCCCCCCCCCCCCCCTTACATCACGGTAAGATGATAGAAAGATTAGAGGAATGAAAGAGAAGTGGCATCTTCTTACCAGCAATGAGGTCCTTCTCAACGTCGGCTTCGTCGCTGGGGTCGAGGAATGCAGAGAGGTTCTTGTTGAGCTCAAGCTGCATGGCTCTCACAAGATGCCTGGAAAACGAAGAGGAGGATGATATTAAATGGTTGGTAAAATTATCATTACCTTTTTCATTGCGTCACTTTGACCATCCTCTTTGAGTAACGAATCACAAATGCTCATGACATACTTCAGATATAGGAAGTGCTACAGTTTCAATGAGTGAAATTGAACTTTGAATGCGATTCCATACACCTTACAAGTAAAATCCACAGTAATATCAAAGCATTGCATCAAAACTTTTAAGATGGTGTATTGCACAAATGCGTGGAAGATTGCTGATATGAATATATTGTGCAAATGGCTCATAACATGGAGATCTGTCTTGGTGAATTGTCCTGGGACTCACCCTAAACATATTCAGCAAATCTGTGTGACAAGAAATCCTTGAAGCCTATCCACACTAGTTTGGCCAGGAGGGATTAGACCTCCCTGCGTGGTCACTAGTATGTGGTTATCTCATCAAATCAGCACTCAATTAACATAAGAAAAAGGGGACCAAGGAGGAAAAATAGTCATCGATCAGGCATTGTTTGCTATATAGAGGGCGCAAGTAGCTATAAGTAGTGCAGTGGGGCTGAAATTATATCATTGTAAGCTGTTATGCAAGGATTGGTCTTGGAGGGGTGGTCATAACACTTACCTGAAGGTGTTCTGGACACACGTATGAAGGATGTCCTGAGCGTCATGTGAGATGCCACCGATGTCCCGGTCAGCTTGGATGAAGTGAAGGAGCTCAGAGACATTGGCCAACCAGAAGGTCAAGGCTCCTGCCACCTGAGATTCCTCCTGTACAAAGATAGGAGTAGGGAGAGAGCTACTAGATGACCACTAACATACTGACATACACCATACAGCATTGAAGGTACATGAACATGGATGACTCTGTTTTAAAATTTTTGGAGCCAGATATAAATCAAACCTTCCAAATTTGCTATATCTTGTATAATTAGTTACGACAAAAAGAGGTCTTCTTCCTAAAAATTGATTAGATATACAGTACACCAATACAATGGATTGAATCAGTCTAACCACATTTTTAAGTGCAATGAATATCCTCTAACTTTTATTTTTACTCTGTATCTATGTGCCTGTGGAAATGAGTGTTTTAACAAAAGCAATCACTTCTCATTCCATCTAAATAGGGCAACTCTGTCTCATTTAGTTGGGAATTTGATGACAACAGAAAAAAAAATTTTAATGTTGCTTGACCAAATAATCATAATACTGATAGCAGAGTAAAACCTGCAGATAAAGACCATTCAAAGGAGACAAGAAAGAGTGTTTTCACTATGGAGAGGGTCTCTTTGGACAGCTTCCTTTAATACATGATTTAATGAGAAGCAAAAATTGGGATTTCTATACAGGCGGTCATCTTTAAACTCAAGTTCACTTGTTTGCCTTTCCCTACCTCGACGGTCCTGTCAATGATGTCTGCCATTTTGTTGAGGAAGGCCGAGAGTCGCTGGGCCCTCTCTGTGGGACCCATCTCTGGCCGGTAGAGCTTGGAGAGACGGTAACGACATGCAAGATAGAGGGCATACGTCGGGGCAAGCTTGAAGTAGATCTGGGCTCCATTCACCTGTCGCACTACCACGTCAAAGAAGGTGTCTTCACCTGAACAATAAAAGTTTTTAAACAAATGTATGGTCAAAATTGTCAACTTGAGATATTTAAAATTTCAAAGTGTTACTATTACATAAGATAACAAGTTAAAAAAAAGAGATATATGGCACCGTTGAAACCATGACTTTGAAGATTGATTCCTGCTCTTTAGTCAAAATGAGAGTCTGATACTTCTAAGGATCTCATAATAAAAAGATATCACAGAAAGTTCTTGTGGTAGCTACATAAAGGCATATCTTGCGTGTTTCAAAACGTGAAACCAACTTTGGATATTGTGAAATTTATCCAGAGACGCAATTCCATCACTTTCTGTATAACTCAATAAAGAATGTCAAAATAGAGTAAACACTCACTACTCACTAATAGTCTTGTTTTCACCTCGTTTTATTGTCTTTTTTAGAATTGTTATCAAAAGGTCAGAGTTCATGAACACCCACCTGTATCTCTGAACTCCAAGCTCAGCGGCAGCACTTCAGTGTTTGGATCACGAGCCTGTACGACAGAGAGAAAACATTTGATGAGTACAAAAGTTGTATCAAAACGAAAAAATCTTAACAAGCAATAGGACATTATTAATAAACGTAACTATAGACAGCAAGGAAGAACCCTTGTTTACCCACAGGAACAAATATAAACAGAGCTTTGTGTAAATTAAGTACATTGTTGCTCTTTACAATTGTCTCTTTAGAAATATTTTTAAAACTTTGAATTATTTATATACATTAATATTTGTCATCCATTCTTCATGTATAAAAGGCAATTCTTTAGAAATTTAATTCCATTCTAATCAAATTATCATAAGATTGTATTCACTACAAGGCTTCTTTTTTTGCAGATGAAGAGTGTATGAAAAAAAATATGAGAGGAATGTGGGAAATGGAGTATATTGTATTCCTTATGGGCTAAACGTGTAAAAATGCATGTGAATGGGATCATTATAACATAAATATATAAGCATGTTTCATCAATAAAAGAATAGTGATAAAGTTCACTGTTACATTACACAGGATCTTGTACATACAAAATGCTTTCTTCTTTATATGGATAATAACAAATATGGAAGGGAGGGGAAAGGAAAGGAAGAATCAAACATTAAAAAAACATTCATTGCAAGGATGCACACAAAGAAAATGAAAAAAGAAGACAACTATGAAGAGAAAGATTAAATTAAAACAAACAAATATTGGGATGAACAGATTGACATACAAGACAAGTAGATGTAACTTGAAATATAAAACAAGACTACATACGACAAATAACAAATGATAGTTACAAGTAACAAATTATAATTTCATGAATCATAACAGATTGCAAATGATGAGGACAATGAATTACAAACGAAAATGAAATGAAATGAATTCTAATCAATCAATTATAAACATACACAGCATGGGAGTAATTAATTACAAATGATGAGCGAGTTAGCATTTGCAAATTATACCATTATTATTATCATCATTAATAATTTAATGAGTTGGCAAATGAAATAAATGTTACATTAGGACAGTTGACAGTAATTGTTTTTGATATACATCTAGTAATTAATGACACATTTCTGCACTATACTAAAAATAAAAACTGTTCAATAAAAAGTGTTTTATGTCAAGGCTATGAAAAAAAAAAATTGAAAGTGTGTTGATGTGTGCTCTCTATCTCTATTACAAACCATTGATTTAAGTTAAGGAAAACAATTCAATGATCAATGATGAATGAACATATTGATGAATTAACCATAACTGATGGATAACTTTCTGCTCTTGAACTCACTACATGCCACCACATACCTGTGGGTGCCGCCCTGTATGGGTGGCTACGTGGCCAGCTGAGTCGAATGTGGTCTCATAACTCTGTGCATGGTTGCGTGTGATGATCTGTAGATCGGTCATACAGTATGCGTATGTGAGGGTTAGCAGTTAGTCTAGCGACTAGAAAAGGGGTGCACGATGGATCACTATACAACAAATAGGTGCACTTATTTGGACTGGACAGGGGAGGGGGTGGGAGAGGGTTGGAAGGGGGTGTGGCAATACACAATGTGACTTGACTTTGTGCCATGCCATTCACAATAAAGGGCATATTTAGTCTAACATACTGAGAAGAGAGGGATTCAGAAATAGCAAGCCATATATGCATTGCATGTTACCAAAAAGGTTTATTTTCATTTCTCTGAAAAACTTTCAAAAAAGGTGGAATGAAGACCCAATTTGCAAGTCAGAATAAAAAGTTGGATGCATATTTTACTGGACAAAATGTAGTGTATAATATTATTATAATTTATAATGAAACCCCTAGACATTCAACCAAGTAAGAGGGAAAACAATTAGAAGCATGAGCACCATGGTTTAAAGCCAGTAATATTATCATTATGAAGTGCACATGTTATGTCATGCTTTAGGATTTAATATTCAAAACCTTAGTCACATGTGCACCTTAAACCTCAGTCACACGAACGGGAACCACTCAAGACCAACTCCAGACAGACTACTGACCTACAAAAAAAATTGTAGATATACACAGGGGTCTTGTTAATTATTTTTGAAGGAGGTAATTTGAATTTTATTGGAGGTACCATCACTGCGAGGGAGCGAAGCGACCGAGTGGGGGAGGGGTTGGGAAGGGGGTTTGTCCCCCCTCCCACGGCAGGGACCTTTTGAGATTTTCCACTTGAAATCGTGCAATCTGGTGCATACCTAAGAACAAAATTTGTAGTTATCTTTCCTACCTTGTATTACACATATATTGTAATAAACACACATATTGTTCATGTTTAATATTACATGAACAATCATAACTCATAAGAAAAGTTATTAAGTTGATAATTATTTATCACTTTGTACCAATACTTTGTAAATTTTAATTAAACTGAGATGATGCACCATACTCAATCTTTCTACATCATGATTTGTTGAATACATGTACAGTATTTAAATAATGGGCAGCAGAGGCTAGATTTTGATTTTTTTTTTTACTTGTGACTTTTATTTGGCTCCCCATATGAATTCTCATTTAATTTTTTTTTTTTGACATGAAATTATTGAATACATGCCGGGGAGCGTTATTTTTTTATGCGGCCGGGGACGGCCGTGGCCGGCCTAAACTCAGCCGAGTTCAAAACTCTGTTGCCGATTTGCGCATCTCAGAATCTAAAGTACGTTGTCTCTAGACATTGCACGCACGTGTATAGGCCCCGGTTTCCGTGATCTTCAAATATCAAATCGGCAACGGATAGTTTGGTTACAGCGAGCTAGCTTCAGTTTTGTTATGATCAGTGTGTATTATATTTTGTGCAGTGCATCGTCTTCTCGCGTGCACATCGGGATCGCAATGGGGTAGGGACGGGCGGGCTTGGCCGCCGCGCTGTGGGGGAGAACTGCGATGTAACGTTAGATAGATAGGTCTAGGTAAGTACGGACGACGTCGCGTTCGTGATCGTAAGGGATTTCGTCGACTGCGGCCGTGTATGTGCGGCACTAATTATATCTTGGACGAAATTAAGGAAATTTTGGATTAGCATTGATTTAGATCTACTTTCTGTGATTTTTGCAAGGTTTATTATAGACCTCTAGGAATTATAGCCGGTAAGAAACGAGTGAATAGGCGGCAAGTTTTACCGGTTACCGGCTTTAAACGACAGCCCTGTATACATATATTTCACAATAGCCAAGTGGTCGATTTGGAGTCAGATGGAGTTTGTTTCACAGTGTGACTGAGGTAATAACAGAAAGCATGCAAGCTACTAATATACCACTGCTTAGAATTTGATACAGATATATTTAACAGTCATGCAAATATTAAGTGCACAGGAATTAATATCAATAGAAGGACAAATTAATAGCAAGTTAGCTTCACAGCCTCTAGATTAATAGCATCAGTGGTGAATAAATTAGTAATGGCATGTGTAAACGGAATGGTTAAACACATACCTTTTCCTGCTTGCTTCCGTATGTCTCGATGCTACCATCAGCATCAAAGGTCGTCTCAACGTGCGATTTATTTCTATCCTCCCAGTCCTGGAGAGGTGGAGAGAGGGAGGGAGAAAGTGAGAAAATGAGAGAAAAGAAGAGTAGGAGGACAAGGGGATGAAAGAGAGACAGAGAGAGAGAGACAGACAGAGAGAGCATGATAAGGAGAGGGGAGATTGAGAGATGAAACAGAGAACATAAAAATACATTAAATAGAGAATGAAAGAAAAAAGGGTAAGATTCAGAGAGAAACAATCTAACAGCATAGGAAACATATCAAAACTTTATCAGAACTTGTTTATTTTCACTTTTGTACATATTTGATACTTCATTTTCTGAATCACCATGCATACCAAGTGCTCAAGCCTATTATGCGTATGCCAGTGCATGAAAGAAGTCACGATTCAATTGTTCAACCATCCTGAATAGTGGTTTAACTTCAACACCCTGGATACAATTTCATTTTGATATATCACATATTTTCCAATTACCCCCGCTTCCAGTAGTCTCAAGCTTTAAAGGGATCGTTTAACAATGTTAAATCTGACTAACCTAAAAGTTTATAATTATCATTGCAGCATGAGCTAAATCAAGGATTATTTTTAAAGGGTCTAAGACAAAGTTACCGGATCCCTTTAACAGAATTCAACAGGTTAAATCCTTACCGGGTCTTCCACTTGTGGATCACAGAATCGGAAGGTGTACTGCCGTCCGAACTGCACTAGTGCCCCGTGCTGCAGGATGGTGGTCTCGTAGATCGGTTCACCGACCACGTAGATCTCGGCTTCAGCACAGGAGGGCGTGACCGTGACCACGCCTTCCATCTTGGCCATGACGCAGTGGCGGGGCAGGATGTCTGGCGCTACAAACTGGTCCAAGGAATGCAATTAGAAAAGGGAGGGAGTGGTTAAGGGGCTTTCAAGCAGTTAGGAGCTTGTTTGCTTGCTTGCTCAATGTAGCTCTTGTGAATAAAGCAACAGTTTCCCAATTACAAGTTCCTACATATTCAAGCACTGGGGTTTTTAATTATAAAATATACCATAAGTGTAGTTAATAGAAAAAAGGTTTAAAGGAGCATTGATGGTTTAATATTTTAGACAGGCTCTCTTTAAAACAATTATTAAAAAAGTAATAGTGTTACAGCACAAGCTGGTAACATATGTTTATACATGCATTTAGTCATTAGGCTTTCTGGTTAATTTACATTATTTTTACAAGATTCTGGGAGCAAAATGTCATAGCAAAAATTTAAACATGGTCTCCTGAACCTGACGTCTCTATATGTTGTGTCTGATGTCGTACATCCATGCAAGCAAAATTACCTGTGGCAATCCACTGTTTTCTCTACTATACTACAACAAAGGTGTAAATCCTTGTTTGTTGAGGGGGAGGAGAGAGAGGGAGAGAGGGGGGGGGGGTGTATGGACTCACCTGTAGGTATGGTCCAGAGCCTGGGGGATCACGCTGACTGCCCACCTCCGTGACATCACTCTGGAGCCTGTAGTGTTTGGGCTTGTAGTCGATGATATCTGTACCATCTAAGAGGTAAACAACGAGTCATAAATAGAAGTGGGTTCTGTGACACATCCAACAGCAATTTACATGTGTGACAATTTCAGAGTCTAGAGAAAATTGGCCCAACCTCTGTTTTGACTTCTAATCAATGCCCTTTGCTATTTTTGATACAAAAGAATACAGATACAGATAATTGACAAAATAAAGACAAGAGCAAATTATGTCATATCTAATACTCAGTCACCTCTGTTAATTCAGAAATACTCTCCTTTATCTTGAAAGTGGTGACTTAATACCGTTGTTGAGCTCTAGGAAGTATGGCAGTCTCTCAAGACTGAAGAGGTATATCGTTGGGATCTTGGAAGCCTTTTTCCACCATGTTCTAACCCAAACCCTTAACCTAACCATAAGTCCCAAACCCTGACTGTAACCTTACCCTAGCCCCATACATTTGACAAAATAAAAACAAGAGCAAATGATGTCATACATGTATCTAATACTTAGTCACCTCCTGTTATTTTACCTTACTTTAAAGACACTCAGTAGTTAGCTCTCATGGGGAATTCAACACCGTTCGGGTGTTTACCCAATAAGAGGTGCTGTCAATCACCAGAGTTAGCCTTTAGTTTTATGACCACCAGGCCTTATGTAACGTACTGCATTTTCCACCCATTCCCCCCATGGTAAAGTCATTATCTCACTTTTCCGACACCCAAAGACTCTCGATAGACGAGGGGGTATTTCTCTATTGGCCAACCGGTTCGCTGTGTGCAGGCCTAATACATGTACACACGTTAATGATTTTTATTATCCACCAAGTCTGGTGTCAGCGAATTATGGCCTTCTGCACATGGAAACTGACGAGTAACTCCCCTTCCCTTGAAGTGGTGACTTACCGTTATTAAGTTCTAGGAAGTATGGCAGTCTTTCTGGGGGGATGTTGTTGGGATCCTGGAAACTGTCATCCATCCTGTTCTTCCCAGGTCTCTTGAGACGAGGAATGTGGTCTGCAGGCTTTCTTTTCAACTCAAACGCAAGCTCACCTGTAAGGATAGAAGACAGAACAAATAGTATACCAACCTGGCTTATACAGGTTACGTTGAAGGTGGACTAAAACTAATCGCTGGTATGCAAAATGGTAGTGCCTTTCAGTAAATGTCCAGTACTACATGGCCATCAGTAGATATCAGCTGCACACCTGATAGGACAATATGCAGGGCCCCACGCCTACTGTTTTGGAGCGGGTCCAGAATGAGATTCGGGGTGCCCATGTGTCCTGGTCACCCCTGGTTAAAGTGTCACGCCCTGCAAACACAGGTAACTTACTGTATTTTGCGGGAAATTTTTATCTAGCCAACAGAATGTTGCAAATAATCAATACTCTGAAGGACTGGTTTTGTTCTCATCTCAACACCAAATATCATGGAGCATGAAGGTCCTGGGGGTTGTTTTTACAAAGATCCTAAGTCGAACTTAACTCTAAGTTGGACTTAAACATTATGGAGAGCCATTTGTAGCATTAAAATAAAATATATTCAAAAGCAAAAATTCAAGTATTTTAGATTTTTCATTAATTTCACATCAAGAACATGAAATCTCCATGACAATAGAAAATATGAATGATTTGAATCAACATTTTATGCCTTTCAAAATAACTTTTACAAAATATTTTCATAGATGCCAACGGCTTTCCATAATTGTTAAGTCCAACTTAAAAGATAAATTGAACTTAGGATCTTTGTAAAACACTCCCCAGGACTTACCTCTACTCTCAGGCCATCTCAGGACGGCGTCCATTGGGTATTCATCCTCATCCAAGACGGCTTCCTGGAAATTTTCTGTGCTGTAATCATCAATGCTACGACCCGGTGGTACGACAACCTGATGGAGGAGAAGAAGATAAAGATAAAGTGAGCGATGGAAAGTTTGAGAGCAGAATATGATCATCACTATAAAAGCAACAAGCTATATTTAAGAGAAAGTCGTAAGCAGTATAAGATATATATAAATATGTATGTAAAGGTTAAAAAAAAACAGTGAAAACTGGATAGACAAAACTATGAAGAAATAATGAGCACTGTGACCTTTGACTTTTGACCTAGTGACCCCAATATCTCATCAGTTCATTGGCTCTGCAAGATACATACATGACCCAAGTTTGGCGGGAATCCATCAATTGGTTCTTGAGATAACGGGATCACTTTGTAGCAGAGGCATAAAAAGATAAGGGCAGGCTGCCAATTATTTGTTTTTATTACTCACAATTATCTATTCAAATAATAAACATGAACAGTGATGTAAATATTTTACCTTACAGTCTTTTCATATACTAATTTGTTACTTGTTTGAAAAAGCTATTTAACCCAAGGTGTAATTCCTCCCTGGTATACAGTAGGTTAATCCTGACCAAGCTTCCATCGAGCATCTTGTGAAACTTTATCCTCTCGAAAAGTAAAACACAGGCCTTAGATGTACCTCCCATTCATTTTCCTATTAAAGTTTACTTGAAACCATGCATATCTTAACCCCTCCCCTCCTATTGTTCTTATACAGTCAAACCTGCTTTAGTGACCACCTGTTTAGAAAGACCACCTGCCTATCGAGACCACTTTTCTTGTCCCCTTGGTTGGTCATTCTAGACAGGTTTCACTGTATGAAATTTACCTTTGCAAGACAGTAGTCAGCAGGATTGGCCTTCTGGGCTCCAAACTTTTCCAGGGACTCCCTGACGATCTCTGCTGCATTGGTGTTTATGGAGATGAGCAGAGTCTTGTAAGGAACCTCTGGAAAGGTTGTGTGGGCGAACACCTTAAAGGCTCCACCTGCAATATATGAAAGTTCAAGACGGTAAAGAACATCTTCAAGGCATGTGTTGTGTTGGAGACAATGATTTTAAAAGATTCACCATTCTTTCCACTTAGGGAGACCAAATGGACAGGGTGCAAAAAAAACTAATCTACAAGTACAACAGTAACAATCTGGAACAATCACGTAGGAAGAGAACAACCAAAGCTGATAAAAACTTCTTTGAAAGTGCTTGCCACTTTGGGATAAGGCACCACTGCTCATTTAATCCAGAAAGAAAAAAATAACAAAGAAACAGGATGTTTTAGAACTATTTCTTTCACAGCACTTATACAATGGTTCTACCTGCGCTGAATGGCTTTGATGTACTATTAAAGCCATCAACCAAGACAGTGGGTACAGAAATCTCCCCCTATCTTTGCCTTGTCCTCAATTAGTTCAACATCTAGACAAGACACAAAATCTCACTGCTCTTTCTCTTATTTTTTCCCCCAAAACCCCAACAGATTCGCTTACCCGATTCAGGTCTGTGCTTAAACTTCTCCAGCTGATCCTGTTTCTGTTGACGCTTGCGTTTGAGCACGTTCTCTGGGTTTGAGATAGTCCTGGTGAAGTTGGAAGAACTGACTTTATCGTAAGCTCTGTCCTCGCCCTGAAAAGAAAAAAAATCAAGAGCATAGAATTACATACACCTGTACATGCAGCGTGTTGAAGTTCAATACCACGCAATTCAAAGTTGTACTTTTTAAAGCAAGTATATTCACCTTTCAATTAAATATACCAATACTGGTATTAAATATCTACATGTATTTGTCTAGAAGTAGAAGTAAAAAGAATATTATTTACGTTGCATAAAAATAAAACGTCATGGTGAAAACGAAAATTGTAATCTTCTCCACACATGCCCGTATGTAAAACAATAAATAATATGATATAAAAAAAACCTTAAATACACTGCAGTACAATTTATTTCAAAGCAAGATAACATTACCACAATGGTTTTGTTTGAAAAGTCATTTGGTCAGGAAGCTAGCAATATGCTTACCCTTAGTTGGGCTTTTTTTCTCTCTTTCTTCAGTTCCTTTTTCTCTCTCTTGGACAGGCGTTTGGATGAATTCTTCTCAAAGTTCTGACCCTTGCCATCTTCTTTGAAGTAGTCAAGCTGCAATGAGGGAATGAAAAATAAAATCATGAAAAGGGGGGAAATGCAAAAAAATCCAAGAAGAATAGCTTGTAATTAGAAATAAAATTATAGAATTACGGAATTATAGTTTACTACAGGTAGTACTGTAATAATGGAATGAAAATAAAATCCAAGAAATGCGAGAAAAATACAGAAAACAAGGAAAATTGCTAGAATCAAGTCTACAGGTACTTTAATTTTATAAAATTATTTGGTATGCATTGCAAATCATACAAGCTACCGGTAATCATTAAGTAACAACATGTATTACATGCATACATGTACATGTACATGCATACATGTACAACCATACAATGTACAGTTACACTTGGGAAACAACAATTATAAAGACACTATGGATTCAGTGAAATTTAGTAAACTGGACTATCAAAAATATACCAATACTTTATAGTGGTACAAGTGTAAAATATCCATGGACATGTAGGGGAAGTAGGCTGCATGTACATGTACATGCACATGTAGGGCCTACTTTTAATAAGGCCAAATAAAAAAAAAAAACATGTTTAGCATCCTGTTTTTTGAAAAATAGGTTTTTTTTAAATCAGAAATAGAGCCATTTTAGCAATGTTTTTCATGTTTTTTTTTCTTTCAAAAAAAAAAAAATTAAAAATTTCAAAAAAAAAAAAATAGGAGCCGGCCCCAAGAAGGAAGCGGGAGGGGACGCTAAACATGTATATTTTTTTAAATGGCCCAACAGTTTCAAAAGCAGAACTCAACTTATGCAGGATAAATATTATGAAGAGTTTACATGAACATGTACACTGTACATAAAGTTAAAGGGATCCAGTAACTTTGTCTCAGATTCTGAAACAAAATTCTGGATTTAGCTCATGATGCAATGATAATTATAAACCTTTAGGTCAGTCAGGAACCCCATGACTTTTACAAGCCGATGGCCTGTCTGATTATCAAGATATTTATGATTGGAATTACAAATTTTGAAAACCGTTCGCCTGACGGTTTTCATAACACTACAGTCTATCGGGGAAAACGAGTATGGTAAAACCGGTCACTCAAAGATTTTTACTTTTTTGAGGCACTTCTTGATCATTTTTAATCGCAATTTTTTTAGGGCTTCAATATTACACCATATCACAGACACTGATAACAAGTAGGGCCATGTATCTCAGGTTTAACATTGTTAAACGATCCCTTTAATACTGCACATCATTTTTTTTTTTTTTTTTTTTTTTACATGACTGCTATTAGAGAAAGTAGTATGCTTGTATTAAAGTATTCACAACCAGGGATCTGGCTTGAAGTTGTCTCCGAGGGTTATATGTTTGCTCTTTAGTACATGTGCATGGTGTTGTATTCAATAAAATTTCATAAAATGCACATATTTCAACTTCATAGAGGAGGGAAAAAAAGAACACACACCAGCCAGCATCCCAACCCACCTGTGGCTGTATGGCACTTTGATCTACATTGTATACAAAAGACAGTCTGTTAAGCCACTTGTCATTCAATGGTGACCCTTGTGCACTCTCCTTCACAGACCTACATTTGTACATATCATGTCAACAACAGACCTTGTGTACCGATGTTTAGAAGTAGGGAATCAGCTGAATAGAATAAATGCACTACTATACTACACCCTTTGTACTTTGGTCATAGAAAATCAATTTTCTTCACACTGCTACCGGCTACATGTACATGTACAGATCGGAGCAAAGTTCATAAACAGCTTTTTGAAAAAGCTGAGACTGATTTACCGCTTGAGTGCACAATGTGTTCATTTGAATGCTGACTGTGTACAATATGACATGCTATCTGAGTCGAAAAGCAGAGTATGACTAATGTACAATGTGTAGCGTAGAAGAGGAACAAATGGTAATAAATGAGAATGGCAAGGTATAATGTACTGTATGCACAGGTGTGCAAGAACATTAAAACTTTTCCAGCTTGTACGTACGATGTATTATTTACAGTTGTGGCCTACACAATCTGAAAAAAACATGCACATGTACAGCTTGTTAGAAAATTTCTACCTATCTTCATCACCTTTATAATTTATGCAGGCATGTAAAAATATCAATAAATCAAATCTAAAACAAATCCAAGCTACATGTACATGTACAGTATGCGTATATATTTATCTTTTGAGTGTTGCAAAATAGCACTAGCAGAGTAATATTTACCCAAATGCGGGGTCTACTGAATTGTATGAGCAACAAATGCAGGTATTGTGTGGGAGTGATAGCATCTTTCTGGTCCTGAGTCATGCTACAAATTTGTTTGTGATATTTTTTGGAATGGCTATAGACCTAATAATGCCTAGATAGTAGATACTACTGTACACATTGTTGTAGGCCCTACAGGTACAACAACACCAAAAAGGAGAAACATCTCTCCAATATCTTGAAGTGGATTTTGGCCAGTAGCCAGCGCTCGGCACTTACTTACCGGTACACATGAGGGCGCAAATCTTACTTCCAGACCCCCAAATTTGCATATTTTTAAACATCGGGCTCATACAAAGTACAAACTCTAAAGAGTGCATTCTGGAACCCCTTGTGAGAAAGTTATTGTGGAACCCTGATGTACAGTATCATTGTTTTATTTCCTCACACAGTGACTAAGGCAAGGGTTCTCGTCTCATGATCAAGCAAGTTCAAGGATCGGTACTGGGAGTGGGAGGTGGAGGATGTGAGGTATATTCAATGATGGGCGGATAGTAGTTCACACCTGTCAAATAGTTACCCTCTATTTCATTAAGAATGCCACGGAGAGGAAGAGGGGGATCATTCTATCATTTGGACTAAATTCCAACAGTTGAGAACCAGCTCAGGTCCGTAAGAACATTTAATTAAGGTCTTAACGTGCTGGTGGCAGGATGCATACAGTTGAGTTGCATCTCTATTCATTTAATGAATAATTTATAAATATGCCAAACAGATGCTATTCAAACACTTTATAAAAATTGTATTATCATAATTCAATCATGATTCAGAATGACAGATGTTACAATGAACTCTTGTGCCCTTTGCCCAGGTGCTACATGAATTGTAAAACCACAAAGTTTTTTGCATGCAGATGAAATGTTTGTGAATTTCGCGAGTGGTTCAAACTTGCAAAGTTTCATGCATCGAATACATGTACATGAATAAAAACCAAAACAATACTGATTTTTTTTTTTGCAATTTCACAAAAGTCACTTGCGATGAAAATTGTAAAAATGAAAAGAGTTTGACTGCAAACGTTTCTAGTTTTATACAAAATACATGTACATGTAACTATGTAAGTACTGTAGTATCATGGTCCTACATGAACATGTACATGTACATGTACTGTACAGTACATGTAGGTTAGCATTTTTGTGAAGATATGTTGTTTCCAACATGTGTAGTACTTACTGGATATAGAATAATATTTATCCGAATCAAACTTGTTGATTTGTATTTTTTAAACAATAACAAAGAATTTTAAATAGGCCTTATTTATACCTCATTACCAATACTTATTTGCAAACAATAAACAAACTGTGGTATTTCTCCCACATACCATCACAGTGTAAAAACCAAGTGGTGCAGGACTATGATGTTTGCATAATTACTAACAAACTCATCCTATGTTTCTCCGTCATACAATTTTGGTTTGTTTGCTCGAGTTGGCGGTTGCCTAATGCAAACAGAGGAAGTTGTAAAAACTGGACAGTCCTGTCTATTTTGGTACACAGTACAATTGATTCACTCTGAGTCTACAAATGTAAATGGGATTGATGGGGTATACTCATACAACTTGTTTGGGTATCATGCACCGGTACCATGCGATTATGTTAACTTTACAGTGGGCGTGATGTGCAATGTTTGCCACCCGGATACAAAATACAAAACGCAGGCGTACAGAACAGAAACTGAATACAAAGAATACACAAAATATGTTGATACAAAAACTGTTAGGTGATACATGTAGATGTATACAATACACATGCACATGTGTTAGGCTTATGAATACAGTACAGTTGTACATGTAGTTGTACATGTACATGTACATGTAGGTGATTTACTATTAGTGTATTAAAGCCGTAAGGATCCTCCGAAGACAGGGGCATGGTTGGTACATGAACATGTACATGTACACCCTGTACATGTACATGTAGTATTTGTACCGACCTATAGAAAAATAGAGTCTCTTTCCCAAATTTCTAAGCAAGCACAACAAATGATTGTCGTCTCTGTGCTCCACTTTGCAACTATTGTACATCATGTACAGGGGTACATAATATCAGAAAGTCTCTTTGAAAAACTTACAAAATTAAAGAAAAGAAGAAAAAAAGGAGAAAAACCAAACAGGCCAAAAAGGAAAAAGAAAGGCCTTCATTATTTGATTTTTTATTTTCAATCAGTAAAATCAATCTTTAAACAAATAATGACCAGAGAAGGGACTCTATTGAAAAAGAGATTTAGTTTTAATTAAATTAAATGTGTTGAGGTTTACCTTAGTGGGGTCATTGAGCTGTTTGAGCAGAAAGCGTCCTTCCTTGAGATCTTTGGTCCAGTTGAGCTGCACGTACAGTGGTCTCTCCTCCTCCTGTAGCTGACGATCATCTAAACAAATTATAAGAAAAGAACAAAAGATATTCATTTTCAAATTTCTTTTTTGTTTTTTTTGTTTTTTTGTTTCTATTTGTTACATGTATTTTTCTCTAAGTGCCATGAGCACCGAAAGGTGGACCTGTGCACTATACAAACTTGTACATGTCATGTAGCCACTAGTATTATTATTATTCACATGTACACTGTACATTGATGAGGAACTGCCATTCATTATTGTCTTGACTTTGCTGACAAAAATAAAACCTACATGTATGAAGTATGAAAGTGACACAAACAAATAAACTTCAAACATGACCACCAGCTCAAGCGGTAGTGTTATTTTCGGAAAATGCAGATCATGTAATAAATGTAAAAATTACATTGTACATTAGGTCGTGAGTTAGTTATCCAGATTTTATTTATCCTCTTTAATTGCTGTCTGTCACCAATTATCCCATTAAAAATCCTCTAACGAAGCAAGAAAATTCTCCCTTGAAAGGATTTTTCAAGGGATTTTTTTTAGGGATTTTTCTGTGTGACACCGCCTTGTGTGCATGTTTAGTAGAGTAGAGGACTTGCAGCTGATATATACATTTAGCCTATAAAACGTAAAGTAATGCATGTATGCTTTTTTATGTACATTACAAACTGTTTCCTTTCTATAGATACAATTAAATAAATGTACACCTGTAATTCTGTGATGAAATATTTCCTATATAACTTATCTTTCTTTAATTTTCCACAAATAGATGGCACAAAAACATAAAGACACATTGTCTGTTGCAGTAACTTTTGCCATACATAAAAGTATGTGTACAGTGTTCAGTGTACTCACACATTTATGCCCTACAGTACCGGTAGTATTATTTTTAAGAGCATGTTCCCCTAGAGGAGTACTTTAGTGCCCCAACTGAATCTGAAACTGATCAGAAACATACCACCCGTGTCACATACTTCACCTTTGCCGTGGTCACAAAGGTGTATCTATTATCATGAGGCATCCATCATCGGACTGAAATACTACACCCCACCAATCATTCTCTTGATACCCAGGATTTGTATCTTGATTAGAGTCCATATTACATGTAGGCTTTAATGTATCATGGACATGTACATGTATTCTACAGTCAAGTAGGAGTAATTCTGTTGTCATCGATGATGATGGTTCAGTTGTGTTCCGTTCAGTTTATAGGCAGGTAGTCATCCAATGTACAGTTTCCTTTCGTACAGTTTTTTAATGAGAAACCATATTCAAAGGAAACAAAAGATGTGGCCCATTTAGGTGGTTGCTAAAGCAGGTACAACGTATAACTGTCCATGTACTACTGTACATTGTTGTACTAGCAGGCTTCCTTGTTCAATGATGTTGGTAGCTTACATTTCTTAAATTTGCTCAAGAATCACAAGTGTTTGATCTTAAATGGAGCTTTGCAATAAAAAATGATGAATCATATATCAGCATCGTACATGTATGTACCGTAGTCCATGGACAGTAAATGTTCATGTAGATATGTACACTGTACCTGTACATGTTGTACCATACAACCTCTAATTGGATTTTTGTATTGAATGTAAATCATAGCCTGGTGATTTACAACCTGAAGACAGGTCTAGTACAACTCCCAGCGTGGGAAAGTTCTTGCTCTCTTTCTCTGATCTATTTACAAATACCAGAATGCAACCTGAGCACTGTTAACCCCTAGGATAATATGAGAATCCTAAATCAAACCATGGTCCATGATCAGACCCTCCATAGACCCAGTTCACACTTCATTGCTTGACCATGGATAAACTACATGTTTATAACTCACGCCAGCAAGGGTCATCATCATGTTTTTAATTCTCATCATCATGCTACTTTACTCTAAATATTTTGATGTTTATATGTAGACGTACATGCACACCGTCTACACATTTAGTTTTGTATATTGTATTATATTATATGTATGGAATGTATTAAAGCCAACCTCCCAAAGTCAACTCAAATTATTCACATTTTAAATGGCACTACATCTCTACATCATGTACACTGTAGTATAATACTGTACAACAAGACTTCTATACAATGATATGTACATTTGAGAACCTTAATTTGTTTTCCTTCACTGAATAGAAATAAAGTTACATGTTGGTGGCAGCAATACAATAGTTGTTTGTTGCTCTTCTGAAAGGAAAGGCCATATTGAAGGTTATGGTTGCTTGGAGACCAGTCTTCAAGAATAAAAGCACCTTCTTCCCACGCTAGACTCAGTGGTACTAGTATGCCTGCCCAATCACCCACTCTACCAGTGACCTGGAATTGACCTTGAGGTCATTATGAGGTCATGAGGTGGACCATGAGTAAACATCATGCATATCATTTTAATAATATAGTGCATGGATATTTTCATCTCATGTAAACAGGTGGATTTGATTTGGTATAGTACTACTACAGGGTTGTACATGTATCTTTTAAGTAGTACTGTACATGTACATCAGATGCATGCAGTTGGCTGCTGTTCAAAAACTTTAATAGGCCGCCGTGTAATTGTAGGCCCCAGTAACTACCTGTACATGTACATATGCGTTGACCTAATATACATGTACAGTACATACACATGTACAGTGTACATGTACTGTATGGAACTTGAGATTGAGTACATGTACATCATGTACAAACAATGTACATGTACATGTATATACAAAAAATGTACCAATACATGTACAATGTATGCCTACCATGAAGGGTGGGAGGGGAGAGGTTTGTCCCCTTGTATCTAGAGCAGATTCTGCCAGCTTCACCATTCCGAGCGATGGCTGTATGAAATTACAGGCCTGATCCATCCATCTCTCAGCGAGACCTCATTTCTTTGTCGGATCACATGTCATAATCACGTGACCAAACAAAAATATGAGCTGGACTGAGTACTGCATGAGGGCCTTGGCCTGACAACCCATCCCCAGTCTAAGAATGTGTTTTGGTAGAAATTGAGAACTGTGCAGACAAACAATTGTATGCTTGGATTGAAGACCTTGATTAAACATGTATGGGACTATGGGATGTCAAGATGTAAAAGAGAAATTGGCGCTGTTAACTGTTTCATAGTTCAATCAAAATTATCAAAGTAATGCTGTAAAGCCTTTTGTTTCAATTACCAAGATCAGGGAAGTATATCAAAATCAACTACTGTACATGTACAATGTAAGGTTATAAAAACCTAGAATTTTGTCACACCCATCCATAAATTGTATATTTACATTCCAAGACAAATTCAATGAATGTTATTTGAGCAGTGGAACTGATATTGGGAATGAGCTACATGTACAATGTAGGCTGCAAGATCAGACTCTAATTCAACACTTTATCACAATACCTGTCCTAAAGCCTTGAGCAGGGCCCAGATCTGTCAGTTTCTGGCTGTGCCAAATTGCAGCTTAAGTACATGAACGTACATGTAGCCTAGTGTAGTCTCACAGTGCAGACAATGTTACGCACACAGACTGACAGGGGTTTAATGCATGCAAACTACATGTACTGTATTAGTAAGAGCGAGCATGGAAAGTGTTGAAAACAGCAGGTCCATAATTGCATTGCAAATAGTTCATGAGAGCTGACCTCTAGTCCTCTACCAAACAGTCTAAATCATGGTATTGGATTGAAACTAGGTGTTGAAAACATTTAAAGGCAAAGTCTCCTCCAAAAATAATTTGCTTTTGATAGATGCCAAAAAACAAGAGAAACAGAGCCCCCAAAATTGAGTAAAATCTGATGTTTTCCATGACCAAAAGTTTTGCAATGGTTAAAGGTAGTGCTGTAGTCAAACGTATAACCGTCCGGTATCCGACCGCCCATGGCGGATTCCGTTTTCAATTGGACGGTTTTGTTTTCCCGTTTGTTTTTGTTGTTTTTTTAAATATTTTTCTTTTTGTTTTTTTTGTTTTTAAAGTTTCGATTTATGCCCCTCCACCTGGCACTATGCCTGGCAAAGTCTCCCAGCTCAGTAATCGGTGTGAAACTAGAACAACACTCCAATTTGTCTGTCATCTTGGTTTGAAAGTAATCTTTGTAATAGATCTCAATATATATTCATCCAAGTTTAACACATGGTGTACCACAAGGTTCTATCCTAGGTCCTCTACTGTTTTTAATTTACTTTAATGATCTTACACATTATTCTAAAATGACATTGTTACTATTATTTGTGACTAGTTCACAAGCACAAATCGGCGCCTTCAGTTAAATCACCTTCCTGCTTTTTCACACGGCCAAAAAAAAAAAAAAAAAAAAAAAAAAATTTTTTTTTTTAAATAAATCGTTTAACCGAAAACCGTCTGGTTTTGACAGGCGGTTAAACGGAATTGGAGATATCCGTGATGTTACAGCACTAGTTAAAGGATCGACCTAAAATAACGCACAAAACTCAAAGAAAGTTTGCAAGGATTATCCTAAGAATGGAGAGAGCATGAGTGACTTTACATGTACAGTATCTGAGGGCTCATCATCAGAGATAACTCTCAAGTGAGTCCAGTAACTGCATGTTTGTCTCAAGTACAGAGCTGAAGATGTTTGTAACAGATCTTTGAGAAAGTAATCAACTACACATCAAAGGAAAAAGGACAACTGGTTACGCCACTCTAACCTTCAACTCTGAGGCATAGGGGACCACCCTCCTATAGCTTCTCAGCATGATGCACTTGGCCATGATGCATGAAGTCATGCATAATTGGCTGCTTTTGAAAGTTTAGGACCAACGATCGCAATACTGGTCCGCAATATCCTACGGCCAATTAGGGTGCAGTGGGAAGGATCGTGTTCATTCCAAGCTAGCTCTAGGCTAACTTCATTTGTGTTTATGTGCTGGTAATTGGTACTAGAGGAGCACATACAGTGCAGGAAAAAACTGACTCCAATACTTCTGTACACTTGAATTATAGTCTGTGTATGTGAGTACCATAATGTAACTGTCAGTAGTATTGAAACATTTTATAACTGCCCATGTTACACAATACTTCTCACCCACAACACTACAACTATGTATACATTTTGTACATGGAGCGGGAAGAATTGCAATAGAAAGAGGAAAAGGGGAGGAAAACACCAATAGAAATATTTGTTTTTCTTCAGTTCTCTCAGGCGCAGCAACTGCCCTGATCTTGAACCTCAATAGCACATATGTACTGTATGTGATTTATGATTATTGCTTGTTTGCTTCATATTAAAATTCATCATTACAAGAAAGATAACACATGTACACGTATGGCATTGTAATTTCAACCCACAATACAATGTGTGAAGATGGAAATGAAGAATATCTGACAGAGGATTAAATGGATTGTGAAGTCATTGCCAGGTCATTTTTGTTGTGACGAAAAACAACTAGGCCAGTGTGTGCAGGCGTGGGGTTTACAAATACATGTACTGTGTCGATGACATTAAGCGGTGTCGCACAGAAAAATCCCTTAAAAAATCCCTTGGAAAATCCTTTCAAGGGAGAATTTTCTTGCTTCATTAGAGGATTTTTAATGGGATAATTGATGACAGACAGCAATTAAGAGGATAACTAAAATCCGGATAACTAAAATCTGGATTTTTGGCCTCTGTGTGACACCGCCTACTGTAAGTTTTTTTTTCCTACTTTCCAAAGCTCTTTATTAAACTCAGACTAACATCAATTACAATTTTTGATGACTGAATTGGCAACTACATGTACATGGCCATTTGCTTTTTAAAATACTAACCCATGTCCCTCTGCAGTTCAAACAAAGAATAGTCTGGGATGGACAGCATACGCATGTCAGGATGAAACTTCTCAATGAGCGTATTGACGACATCTCGGTTGGTAGCCGTGCTCGACACTCGTATGCACTTGGAGTTGGACTGTCTGTCGGTTCCATCTTGGAAAAAGAATCGCATCACTCCGTGAAATTCCAGATTCTAAAGTTGACAGAAAGAAATAAAGAATAAAGAAATAGTTAAAGATAAAGACCAGTTATGGTCATGCGATTGCATTGTGAAAGAAATGTTGTGGAATCGATCAGAAAAGGTTGATCATCTACATGCATATTATTGATGTGTACTGCAAGGTTCTGGAATCCTCAAAATGATAAGAAATTTTGTCCAGTCTTTGTAAAGATACACGCACTGTACACAGAAAGATGTATATGAGACTAGGCACACGTGCGTTATGTCTATCAGGTCCAAATAGATATATTTACCAAATATATCAATTACTAGGCGGTTTCTCGGCAAAATTTGTATGATCACGTATTAGTCAAAACATATTCTTTCACATTATTGGTAATAAGAGCTTCCATTTCATTTTTTGAGAGTGGGGCGTTTCCAATACTGGTCTTTACCTTTAATAATACAGATTGTCATAGTGTTGCCTTTCTAACAATCAAACAAAGTAAACACTAGATCAAGAAATCATTTGTGGCCAAATGGCCGAATTGCAGATTCTTTTACAACCAGAATAGATAACAAAGGAAACCCTCCCGGCGTTCTCGCCCGCATTACGCAATTTGATATGATGAAAAATATTTATAGGCAGGGTGGCCCATTAGCAGGCCCCCCCCCCCAAATGAAATCCTCTGAATATAATAATTTTGAAGTAAATATTGACTAAGAATCATCAGAAGAATTATTCACTATAATGTACCAAGATTGATAACTTTAATGGAATAATATGAACAAACAAAAATTGTTTTTATTAATTCTCGTATTAAGTTGCGAAAAATAATCCAAGTCTACTGACCTAAAATGACCTTTGACTTGACTTTGTGACCTAGAATTTTGAGCAATTGTGAAAAATTATTTCTGACAACTTTAGACCTAAAATCATGTCAATGAACATAAACTGGAGGCCCTACATGTTGATGTACACATTCTTTAGCATCAATAAACAGACTTTACAGGCCATTATTGATCTTTGAGAATATCAGACAACTTTAAATCTATAGACACAATTCTTTTCGCTTGTACAGTACATGTACATGTACATGTACATGTAGCTTGCATCATGTCTGATGAAATGTATCGAGCTGGGTTTTTTTCTTCTTAGCATCTTCAAGTAAACCATTGATTTGTTGTTGTCCCTCCTGCACTGACAAATGGCCCAGAGTGCAACACCTACTGGTGAAGCTCAGAAGCTCCCCTGGACACTACACCCTCAGGGTACAGATTATGAATTTGAAAGGGGATTAAGAGGGGATTAGTAGTCCTAAACAAAGGGAGATTACTAACAGTTGGGCTTAAAAACATCTCTCTATTGACCTGTTGGTCAAATAATCCTACTGATATTGCTCACTGAGTACATGTAAGTTGTCCAAAATCTCCATCAGAAAGAAACCTGCATGAAGGGGAGGTGTGTACATGTACATGTAGGTATTCACTAGTACAGTGTACAGTCCATGGTTCACTAATGTACACATGCACAGTGTGTATGTATTATGACACAAGTTGTTTTTTGTTGTTGCATTTTTTGCATTAATGCACACTTTTACAGTATGAGCAAGTGAGCATGTACAACATGTAAATGATGTGTACCAGTAATTTCAGAACCTACATGTACATGTACATTGTGCATGTAAGGAAAAAAGTTCATTTTTGTTCAACATTCATTTCCAATAGTGACAGTGATCATTTCAGTTCAAGTTTTACAGAATCACTCGACTGGTTCATAGAGTGATGACAGTGTGATGAATAAAATTTGTCACTCTTTGCCATATTTTATGATAAAAGTACTATGGACCTACATTGTACATGTACAGTATCCATCAAAATAAACTATACAATAGTAACCCAATAGTGCACCTCTACTGCACTACAAAAGTTAGTGCAGTAGAGGTGCCTACTGCACTAACTTTTGTAGTGCAGTAGAGGTGCACTATTGGGTTACTATTGTATAGTTTATTTTGATGGATATTGTACTCATCCACCCCCACCATGCATTGCACACGCCTTCGCCTCTCTCCATACATGTATGCTGGAACAGCACTTCTGACGTGACGTGACAGAACAAACTGCCCATTGTGCGTCCTGATGTTCATTGTTATTGACAATAAATACCTTTCTTTCTACCATGCATGACCTCTTCATAAAGAACTTCCCTGAACACCCACCATACCACAACAAATCATAGACTCATACACCAGCCAATAATTTACATGTACATTGTGTACATACATTGTAGGAATAAAAACAAATCCTCAAAGTTTAATCCAAAACTACACTGTAATAAAACATGTACAGAAAATGTATACCGTATTTGGGGTTGCAATGTATTTTGAGAACCCAACATCTTTTTTCATTTTTTTTTCTCTGGGTAGCAAACAATTACTTCATCTTTCAACTGTCACTGGCCCAAAACAGGCTGGTAGGTTGTACACTATTAAGCTGCACACTGCCTGACAACCCTCAACAAGTACTGTACAGTGTGTGTGTTACATGTACACCTGTACATGTTGGCCCATGTAGTATGAGAAATAACCTCTAATCAATAGGCCACTGATTAATCTCCAAAAATGGCAAAATACAAGTCTGGTCAGTGTGAGTCATGTGTGGTCATATGGAGACACACCTCTCTTTAATATTTGTGTACATGGAGGATGACTGATTTGTAGGGAGGAGGGAGGAGGAAGGATGAAGTGTTTGGTGAAACAGGTGTGATAATCAAGGAATTTATGAACTCGAAGCGGCTCGCCCGATTCAAGAATGAATGTTGGACTGGTTGGATCATCATGGGCTTTGTTGAATGTTGTAAACTGTTAGATGTACTGTACCTGTAAACTTTAATGTCACATTCTCAAGAAACATAAATTGGGATAAATCAGTTTTTCAAACACTTACAAACTTACAGAACTTGGGAGGGGAGGGGATGAATTTAATTAGGTTGTTAATTGTTTTTTTTTCTACATGTACAGTACATGTACAATTGTACATCATACATACCGTATTGCAAAAACTTGTACGAACATGTAGCCTTCGTAATAGGCTTTACATGCACATGTACATGTACATGATTCCAAGTGTTTTTATACTCTACTTTGTATGGCAGAGTTCCAACTTCAACTGTAGGCATCGTCAAGTATCAATAACAGGTCTGTGTAGACAAGCACTGAAAGCAAGATGGATGGGTGGTGTCACTTTCTCTAAACACTTGTTCCAGGCCAATCTCGGGTACCCCAATCCCCAGCAATAAAATACTGTAGCCCTACATGTACATGTACATGTGGTGCTACATTGCAATGTGTGTGTAGACAAGCACTGACATTACAAGATGGATGGGTGGTGGGACTGGTGTCACTTTCTCTAAACACTTGTTCCAGGCTAATCCCAGGTACCCCTGTCCCCAACAATAAAACAGTACATGTACTGTACATGATCATGATCATGTGTACAATAAAGGCTACATATACCCAGAGGTTGTGTGTCCGTACAATTTGTGTATGCTGACAGTTTACCGGTAATTAAAACAGTAATTTTAGTATTAGTTTGCCGCCAAAATTGTATAAATATTTTAAAACTACTGATGGACAATTTTATAAAAGACAAATATTTATAACCTTTTGTGCTAATTAATGCATACTAATCTATAAATACTGAGGCAAAAGCGAAAGCTTAATTTTTGTTTTAAAAGCGTTCCGACACAACCCCAGGGAATAATTTTCCTGGTATCGCATCGCAATTTGCTATGCATTTTTGCATGACTGCTATACAAAATATCTTTTGTGTAGCAGTTTTCTTCCATAGAAATGTACAGAATTTCATTTGAAATATTTATCCATCGGCTGAAATTGCTAATCAAAAAATTTGAGGAAAATTATTCCCTGCAACCCCCATCCTGTACATGGCCAAGGCAGGATTACTGTTACAAAATATACATGGATGCCTCATGCCTACCAGTACATTCCATTAGCCTACACTGATCATGGAGGTGGGAGCTTTAATCCACACTACCTGTATATTGCCATTTAACTTTGATTACAATAGCAAACAGTCACACCTGTACACTGTGCTACTTCAATCAGTGCTCTGATCGTATTACATGGTGTACATGGTGTAAAAATATTCTGCTGGTGGTACTCCTGGTTGTAATGAAAATAACAAAGACATACAGGTACAGGCCTTTCAAACGCCAGATGTACATTTGTACAGTGTAGTTTGTACAACTCGAGATGACCTGTCTCATCAAACTTGTTATCAATAACAAATTCTAAAATGACATTACAAATCAGCTATCAGCCAATCAAATGCCATGATTTCAGTAGCTAAACAGTTATTGTTCTTTTGTAACCTGTTTATTGATAACAAGTTTTATTAAACAGGGCCCAGATCAACTTTACTGTGAGTTCCAGCCAAACAGGGAGGAGGAGCCAACAAGCACATTTAGAAAGAAATAAGACAGAGCTACATGTACACTGTAATTGGGGTTGGCTTTTTTGACAATGATATAAACACCAGTAATCAAATGATACTGTCATCTGGCATTGTGGAGCTTGCATTCCTTTCCCTCATCTGTCCTCTGTAGAGTAATTACTGAACATGATGTGAGCAGAGATGGCTAGTTTCAAAACCAGATGTCTGTCACAAACTGACAGCTCTATTCAAACAAATGGATAAAGCAGTGCATGGGATATACAGTGTGTACATGTACAATGTATGCATTTAATACTGATGAGAGAAAGTTTAAAGCCACTATAAAGAATTTACTAAACACCAGAAATTCACAGGTTCTCTTAGTTTACAAAGTCGCATGTACTGTAGGCTGTACAGCCAACACAAATGCCTACAGCTCTAATGTACTGTACAGTACATACATGTATAGGCCTAGCTACATTACATGTATATCTGTACATGAATGTCAGATGAATTGTAGGATGGACCTACTGAGTAGTCAGTACTGTACATGTACGTGTACATGTGTATAGCAACCACTGAACAAATCCTCACTTTCAAGCTCACATTCAACTTTCATGTGAAGCTGCTCATCATACAGAGTAATTACCCTTGTAGACTTAATGATGCGCAAGACATGAACATGAAAGAGACGATTGCACAGATGCCACATCGTTTACTTGCCTCGCTTGACGAGTCTGACAAATCAGGCAGGGAAACAGCCCTGTTATCTGGCGGAAAGGAGTAGCGAAGAAGCTTCTTCTTCCCCCGACGACGATAGAAAGACTGCATCCCCATTATGGAACAATTTCAATGTACTGTAAATGTCTGTACATGTCCATGTACTGTAAATAGAACATGAACTGCACTACATTCAAGACATCAAGTACTTCAGCATCTTCCAAAAATCAGTGAGCAAACTGCAAATGTGCAGGTACAATATGTACTCTGCATTCCTACACTGGCACACTATTAGCCCAAGGAGCTAATGCAATCTACCGGTACTAACTTTGTATAACAAATGACTTTGTTGTGACCCAAACTGTGGAACCAGGAAAATACTGAGACCCTAGAGTGGAACTACATGTACATGTATGCAAAACTTTTAATTTTTGCATTATTCAGAGGCAAAAGGAGGAGGAAATACATTGTAAATCATGTTATTCATATAGGCTCCCTGCATTCCAAGTGTTTATCGCCCACAAATCCAGTGCCTCTATTTCCTCAAATTTACTCCAACTTCAAATCAGTTTCCTCCTCCTCCTCCTCCGCTTATTGCATTCCTATGGATTTACACACAGGAATGTTAAGGAGATTGTTCATGTTGATAAGGCTGCTTAAAATTCAGAATCCATGTACCGGTATGTACGCTAGATGCTATGGAAATGTTCCCTTGAATACTATATTGTGCAATTATGTGCATGTACAATGTACTTTTAATATAAAACAGACCTCCATTCTGTGGACCAGATTGCATTATTTGTATTAAAGTGAAATATCTGGTATTAACATCAGGGATGGGTACTTTTTGGACCTACATTTTTGTACATGTACATATCAATGGCAAAGAGGAGGCAGACAAATTCTTTTGAAAATGAGCAGGAACAAGAAAAAGGGATGCAATTTTACCTACACGTAGCCCAACCAGGATCTTGAAATGCACACTGAGATTCTTAAGCTAATCTCATTAGAATAGGACTGAACACTAATCCTCAGAAATATTTTCTATCGACTGCAACAATGCACAAATCATTTACAGTACATGACATACATGTACACCGTACTGAAAAGAAAAACTGATTGAGAAATACATAAAGGTTCCGCACTTTAAAAGTTTAAGCCTATTTTACAGAATGTTGTGCATTGGTCGTGGTCCCCAGATTTATAATTAGGGACTTTTAGATTTGCACATTCACTAGTGGACTACTACATGTACATGTATGCAGTCATTTTTAAGCAGGGTTCACGAGGCAAGCTGACTGATGTTCGTTACATTTTTATGTCACACGACGATGACAACGACGCTCGCCCAGTGACGCAATGCATATGTTTCACTCGCACACAATCTGATAAAAAATACAAAAGCTTTAAAAACTAATTTCATCCAATATGAGAAACCTTTCAAGTTTCGTCATCTTGTAGAAAACACTTCATACAAGCCGATGGACAACTCAATTTCCTCCCTGTGCGATCTGTCATCAAATCTTAAGCCAAGTGGCAATTCGGTGTGAATTTCCACTTTCCCTGATTTCCCATCAGGAAGTAGTTGAAAATGAATTGCTTCCTGACTTTCAGAAATGATCTTTAACTTAGTCGTTAGATAGTCGCTCAACAGTACGCAGCTAGAGAAAAGTAAGATTTTAAAAGTCAACATATTTAGAATCATGAGTTATATTCGACCAAGATATTCAGATATTATCATATACGTACATGTACATGTATGTTAAGTGCAGGTGGTTGTGTGCATACAGTACAATGTACATGTACAGTACATGTACATTAAATGTCAGCATTGTCATTTGTCATACATGTAGTTTATTTATCATCATCATTGTACATTAAATATTGAATATATCAGAACAGGTTCAACAGCAGTCATCAAGAGTTCCAGATGTTGTTCATACATGTACATGTACGTGTAAAAGAGTGCAATGACCTCTCCTTATTTGTCAGAAAGGTGTACATCATGTGCATAAAGTTCATGTGTACACGTACTGTATACATGTGCAGTTTGGTGAAATTTACATTCATTCAAAGTGGTTGCATGCTGCAATTGTATGGGAAAATTAAAAACAATTTCTTTAGATGAAATGTAATGTACTGTACATGTACATGTACATGTTTGTAGCATTTTTTGTTCGTTTTCTTGTTGTTTTGGTTTTATTTGTTTTGATTCTTACTAAATGCAAGGTTCTGTACCAACACTTTGGTAATTGGTATGCTGTTCATGTACAGATGGTCCATTTAAAAAATGGACTTCCCAATTTTTCTGATTTTCTTAAATATATTTCTAATTTTAGACCGCCAAATTTCCAAACATGGACCCAGACACATAAATAAATTGTTCCCAATCACAAATTGACACTGGCAGTGACTGCCTGTGTGAAATTAGGCTGAATAGTGGCAATCTTGCAAAAACAAAACCAAACAAATTACCCATCTTCAAAAGTACTACAAATTTGACTACATCAATAGATGACTTTAGAATTCTTCATGGACACAAAGAAGTAAGGTACAGGTACAAATCTCTAAATTTAGAGCCTTTCTATCTGACATTCGGCCTAACATTTCATAATTTTTCAGTAAGTAGGCCTACACCTGTACTGCACATCACATGTACATTGTATATCTAATTATAAAATTGAGTTTCACCCCACCCCCTGTATTTTTTGTAGGCTTAATTTTTGTAAATATTCATATACCGATAGACCTACATTATAGGCAAAGGTGTGGGTTATTGTTAGGAAGTCATTTAATATCTCCACCCTCTGACCTTCAATGTTCAAGTCTCTTCTTTTTCTTCTTCTTCAAGATAATCTGCCTCCTTCAATACTGAAGATTCTTGCAGATGCCATATACTCAGCCTGGTTGGGGTATGCAGGTGGACCATTACACTCTGTCATTAATCATGTCTTGTAAATACACCCCAGAATGTAGAACGAGATCTAGACTAGTCTAGATCAACATATAGGCCTACATGTACAGTGTATACATGTACCACAGACTAGAATTTTCTGTAGCCTCCTACTCCTAGACTAGGTCTATGTGTTTACTAGTCTAGATCTGCTGTACATGTAGATCTAGATTGTTAAAACAAAAAAGAAACCTATCCAGTAAGTTTCATTCAACAGCAAATAATACCTAGATCTAGATTCTAATGAATTCACCAAAACTAAAAGTTTTAGACATGTCACTCACAAGGTCACGGATAGATCTAGGTCTATGTTTTTTATTGCCTTAAATTTAATTAATATCATTGATTGTTTTTGTAAGGTCTTACACTTCTCTAAATCATGAAGCAAAAGACAAGCAAGATGAAGTAATGTCACTTGCGCTTTGCCAAGTTTGCAGCACGCAAGTTGCAACTTTACTTACATTTTACAAAATAACAAGCCATTCCATTTTTTCTTGAAATTTCAAATCCAAAAATCATTTCACGTTCAATCTGAGTGACATTCGTTCATGGTAAAACTTAACATTCACGAATTCAACTTAATACTAAACATGTAACTATAATTCTAGTTTAATAAACCGTTGGGTCGAAGTTTAGGTGATGCCTTTTCGGCCAAGGCAAGCATTAAGAGTAAGACCCCGGCCCAGCTCAGTGCCCAACCCACCACCGCCGCCCTGCTGCAGCGCTGCGTCGCTTCCGTTGGTATAACACGTACCATATCAGGATCCGAAATTTCAAACAGGTCCATCCGAGTAGCATTCCAATCTTGAATCGCCCCATGTAACCTCAATCTATCCTCTTCCCTACTCCGGGGTTCCATTTTAGATGTGTTGGTGGAACTCTCAGTGGTGTAAAATCCCTGTTTATATCCTTATATCAGCTGTCGTGGTCGGTTAATCCAATAAAACGAAAATTCATTCTCGGCCTTTGCCTCACACTTTGCGGATGATATTGATGTCGAATTGTCGATACACAATTATTAAACGGTCTTTATGTTTTTCGCATATACACAATGTACGTCGTACGTACGTACACGTTATACACACGGAACGGCAGCGTAGACGCGGTGTCGATGCGATCGTCTTCACTGTACATTTGTATTGCGCATGCGCACCTCAATTATTTGAATGGAATTTCTCCGGTAACTCATCGAAAGACGGCGCTCTTCAAACCAAAATGCCAAGAAGCAGAGCAGAAAACTACAATCTATGTATATAATTGTTAGGAATTCCCTCGTTAGTGGTGACGCATAGGCCAGTTATTTGTGGGAAGATGCATGCTACATACCTGCTGACTCAGTGGTAGATAACTGCACGTTGTTTGTGTTTCCGGTGATGACTGAATATCGGGAATTTTTTAAAAAACTAATCATTCCGTTTATTAAAACGGACCACACCCTAATTCCACCAACGCATTAATCAGAAAGATGCGGGGCAATATATCATTTCATTTCATCTTTATTGATCTCTAGTAAAACATAGAAATTCTGTTTCCATTGGCTTTGTTACGAGGTACAATGATTTTACAGTTACAATGCACATAGAAAATATAACGAATCACACTAACGTTTTACAAGTTGTTACTTGCCCACATCCATATGGTTATTTACTTACATATACGAAATGTACTAACTTACCATTATATATCCGTTTAAAAATATAGGCCTAAACACATTAAAATATGTTTTGAACATGACCGATTAACACAATAACATTTTATAACTATTAAATACATAAGTGATGTCCTTAAAGTCGAGATTGATATTGCTTTGCTGGAAATAAAATAAATATAGGTAATTCGAAATATTACAGAATTACAAAAAGGAAATAATGTCCGTTATAAAAGAATAAACAGAGAAAACTCAGAAGATCACTAATTTAAATGATTTCCATAATAATATAATAGAGTAAATAAAGCAAAACGATTAATGAAATAAAATATCAAATATCGCTTTGTACAAGAGAAAAAGTAAGCAAATATTTTGGTATCCGGAAAAATTGAGACAATTATTTAGCGTCGAATGGCGAAAATTGGCCCCCTTTTCATTGCTCAAATTTGTTTTGGTTTTACTGTAAAAACACTAATAAACGTTATTTGTACCGGGCAACTGTGAAGGCTTATTATTATTAGCAATACCCGATTTGATTGAATGTTATTAAATATTTGAAGTAGATTGTTTTGAGATTCAAGTCTTGATTCAATTTGGTCTTTTTTTAAATGTATTCTTTTTCTTCTTCTTTACGTGCCATGTCCTGAGACGTTGGCGCCTCGGAGAATGCCACAACTCTCTCTCCCATATTCTATGAAGTTCAGTTCAGTTCAGTTCAGTTCATTTTATTCAAAACCATACAAAGCATGATATAATCTGTTACATAAAAAAGAGACTGGTAATAGTACATCAATCAACATATTCTAACTTGATTACATCATAAACTGAATGGTTTTAGGACCCCTTTAGAAGCTAAGCTTGTGAGCGGGGCCCTATAACAAAATACATACATATACAGTAAAAAGAATGTTACGTATGATTATACAATGGATGAAAATACTAAGCTACAGAATATAGAACATACAAATACTCTCACACACACACACACACACACAGACACCACACACGCACATCACCATACACAGCAAACACACTGACGAGTAGGTCCTTAGTGGTCAAAAAGCATTTCAGAATGAGAAATTACTAAGATGCGAATAAAAACTATGTCAGTCTTTCAAGCAGGTACGTTTTAGATGAACTTCTAAACCTAGAAAGAGTTGTACTATTTTTTATATCATCAGGCAGACTGTTCCATTCTTTAATGCAAGAGATATGGAAAGAGGTCAGAGTGACATTTGTTCTTGCAAAAGGCTGTCGAATAAGACACCTTTGACGTGTATTATAATTATGAATTTGCGAGTTCTGACGGAATAAATCTTTTAACGTACATTCATGAGGCATAGACTTAAGATTAAACATGAACAATATGCAATTGAACGACACAAGTCCACTTAGTGGTAACGTTCTTAGTCGAAGGAACAATGGAGAACTTGGATGTCTATAATAAGAATTAGTAATAAGCCGTATTGCTTTCTTCTGCCATACTCTCAACTTATCAAGATATGACTTAAAGGTGTTTCCCCAAGCAACATTACAATATGTCAAATAAGGAAGAATAATACTATTATATAATGTTATCAGCACTCTTTCAGGTAAAATAAATTTTAATCTAAAAATGACACCTACACTACGGGACAACTTTGTGCATACAGCATCTAAATGATTTCTCCAAGATAAATGCTCATCCATGGTTAGCCCTAAGAACTGAACATTTTCACTAAGCGCAACATCATGGCCTCCAACATTAAGAAAAGTAATGCCATCTGGAAGCTTTTTACCCTTGGAGCGAAAAATAACACATTTGGTCTTTTGAACATTCAACAATAACTTATTACAACAATACCATGCATACAGTTTCTGAATCTCTTGATTCGCAATTAGTAATAAATCTTCAGCCTTCTTATCAGCCAACAGCAAGCTGGTATCATCAGCAAAAAGTGAGTATGAGAATAATGTTGATGAGTGTATTATATCATTTATATAGATCAGAAACAACAGGGGACCAAGAACAGAACCCTGAGGTACACCATATTTAATAGAAGCAAGTTGAGAATTAGTACCATTCACCACAACAAATTGTGTCCTGTCAAACAAATAGCTTTGGAACCAAGACAATGCTACACCACGTATTCCATAATGCTCAAGTTTCCTAAGGAGGATGCCATGGTCAATAGTATCAAACGCCTTAGATAGATCTAAGAATATCCCCAAACAATACTTGTCTCCATCAATAGCTTTTATGATATTACTTAATAAATTAAACACACCCATTTGTGTGGAGAAGTGCTTACGGAAACCACACTGCTGAGGAATCAAGATATTCTTTTTGGATAGAAACTCATTTAAGCGTTTATAAATTATTTTCTCAAGAATTTTAGAAAAGATTGGTAACAATGCTATTGGCCTGTAATTAATGACGTTTTTACGGTCAGATTTTTTATACACTGGTACTACTTTAGCTACCTTGAGTTTATCAGGAACAACTCCCTGAGATAAAGACATATTCATGATTTTACACAAGGGATCAATAAAAAGGTGAATGCACTCCTTTATAATTCTAGGTGAAATATCATCAGAACCACTAGATTTAGATGGTTTCAAAGACAACACAATATCGATGATCTCAGATTTTGAAGTTGGTTTTAGAAACATTGACGCATTATCATCACACTGTTTCATATAATCTTGAAAAGATTGTGGTACTTGAGGAATGTCTGCACTGATTTTCATGGGTAATCCAATGAAATATTTATTAAAACTTTCAGCCTTATCCTTGGCAGAAGAAAGAAGTACTCCATTAAAATCCATCTCTTGAGGGAGTGAATGCCTAGTTGACCGACCTAACAATTCATTGATATGAGACCAAGTTTTCCTAATATCACCTTTAACACTGTGGAACAAATCATTGTAATATTTTTGCTTGGCTATACGAAGAGTATTAACCAAGACATTCTTATAATCGATATATTTCTTTTTATTCACAGCTGTTGGTCTCTTGACATAACTACCATAAAGCTTATGTTTATGATTTATTGTTTTCAATAAACCACGAGTTACCCATGGCTTTTTACATTTACTTTTTATCGATACTTCAATTAATGGGAAACATAAATTATATAATTCCAGAAATATTTGTAGAAAATGTTCATATGACTCATTGACGCCTTCCAGTGAAGGCAGAGCCTGCCAATTAATTTCAGCTAAGTGTTGCTTGAACCTTGAGATTCTTTCATCATTTATTGACCGCCTCATAACTTGTCCATCTCTCTTGACAGAAGTTACCACAGAGCCATTTTTAACACAAAATATAGGCATATGATCTGAAATATCTGAACATATTATACCCGAGCTAAACTCATTTTGAATGCAGTTTGTGAAAATAGTGTCAATCAATGTTGCACTAATTTCAGTAATACGGGTAGGTTTAGTGATGAGAGAAAATAATCCAAATGAGTACATGAAATCTACAAAATCTTTAACACTACGATCAGTATCATAATTCATTAAATTGATGTTGAAGTCACCCATTAAATATACTTCCTTGTTTTCTCTACTCAATATCTGTAGCTGATGTTCTAAGTTTTCCACAAAGGATATACTATCATAGCTTGGAGCCCTATATACACATCCAACAACAATCTTTTTACTGAGGTTTGTTATTTCAACAAAAACAATTTCATACCCTGAATTGGATCCAGATAAATCAAAACGGAATTTAAATTCCAAATCATCTTTAATGTACAGACATGCCCCACCGCCATTTTTGTCTGCCCTACATATGTGAACAAAAGAATAGCCAGGTATCTGAAACATATTGACATCAGTTGAAGTTTTAAACCAAGTTTCAGAGACACCTATCACAGAAAAATCATGCTTTAAGCAAGACAACAATTGTAACATCTCATCATAATTCTTACATAAACTCCTGGCATTTACATGCAAAAGATCGAAATTTCCTTGTAGATTCTGGTCAAATGCACCACAATCAGCATATGCACAATCTCTAAGCATTATGTTTACATCTTCTTCAACAATGGTTTCCATTATTTACAATTAAGAAAATTAATGGCACAATAAACTCTAAACACATATAAGTCTTGGAAATGACTACCCAGGATGGCATACATACTTGCATACATAACAAAACACAAACAAACATTCACACACAAACACACACACACACACAATACATGATTATGAGTAAATATAAGAAATATACTACAAACATTAAAAGGTAATAAAAACACATATAGATACATGTAAAAACAACAACTGACTGCAGAACCCACTCCTTAATTACTTTACAGAAGAAAAGCTAACACGAATATTACAACAAAAATATCTAAGCTAGAATGAAAAGAAAAAAAGACCTATACATTTAATAGACCATAATTACATAACAGCTTTCACCAAACTTGAAGAAGAGAAAAATGGAAGAGTTCTAAGAAAGAGAAAGAGAGAGAGAGAGAGAGAGAGAGGGAAAAAGAGAGAGAGAGAGAGAGAGAGAGAGAGAGAATATCTTTGGCCAGAAACAAGGCCAGCAAGGCACTCAAAAAGATGTAAATAAATCATTCACGGTGACTAATCACAAACTTAAGATAAACAAATTGACCACAGCTATGCTGAGGACAATGCCACCCAGTCAAGAAGGTTTAAAGCTGCACTACGCAGTAAAGTATGGCACTCCTCCATTGCCTCTCCACTGTCCAGCGTAGAAGCGAAGTTTAGTACCTTTAGAATATAGATCTTGAACTTCCTTCCTATGTTTCCTTTTCTGCTCCAGATCACGCTTGGTTAGGTCATTGACAAAGTAAAAAGGATCCTCCTTCAAAGCTTCCCTTGCACTCTTCATGATGGCGACTTTCTCATCATACGAAGAAGTCTTCACAATGATATGACGGGGGTTATCTCCTTTCCTTCCTTCACGCAGGGCACGTTCCACCTTGACTTCCAATTTAAATTTGGTTTTTAAAATGTCCTCTACTATCTGAGCACAGTCTTCTAATCCAACATCCATGGATTCTTGTATTCCTATTACACGAAAGTTGTTCCTTCGTGAGGAGCGCTCAGCCTTGTTGACATCGCTGTCATGGCTTCCAACCCTCTGTGCTAAATCTGTAAAAGATTTCTCCATCCTGCCCAATCTGTACTCAAGCTCAGCATTCTTTTTCTCTAGTTCGTTGATACGCTGACCCTCAAACTCAAGGGCCCTTTCCACTTTCCGTACACTTTCAATCAAAGATTGTACAGCTTCATCCATTACCTTTTCAAAGTTGCTGGTTGCAGCTTTAAGATAATCTGCCAGCTCCACACCAGATGATGGGAGAGAGCCCAAGTTGTTAGCAGGATCTGCCTGATCATCTGTGCCAGTAGGGGTGGCAGCAGCATCGTGAAGCTCGTCGTTTAAGATGGAGTAACTTCCACGGGTATTCTTTGTGGTTTTTTTCACAATTTTCTTCTGGCTGCGGCCACTCATAATGATAACTTTTTTCAAAATCTGGTAGAGATGCAAATTATGAGTAGTTATCAACTTTGTTTTCGAAGAATGGTGATATCTAGGGTGTTGAAAAAAATATATCTTGAGGAGAGGTTCACTCGCACGTGTTACCTAGTCAGCTGCCATTAATTTTTTTCAAGTAATTCATGCTCCTCGAGATCAATTCCACTCTCAGAAATCCCACTCCATAAGCTACTCATCCACAGAATCCTCCTTATACCCCTACTCCTCCTCCTCTCGATTCTTGAAGTCAGTGCAAGATTTTCCAAACCATTCTTTTGAATAACATGACCCAAGAAGCTCAGCTGTCGACCTCTTTCGTCTTGTTCCTGCCATGGCAAATACCTCATTTATATTAGAAACTCTTTCTGTCCATGAAATTCCTAGCATCCTTCTCAGGAACCAAACTTCACAATTTTCCAGTCGCTTTCTTTGGTCTGAGCTTCACATCCATACATCAGAACTGGATACACGTAGCAATAATTGAGTACGCGGAGCTTGTCTTCATCTTCAGCTTCTTATTCTTCAAAGGCATCGTTTAACAATATGCACGGCCCAAAGCGACCAAGAAGTGCCTCAAAAAAATTAAACTCTTTTAATCACTGTTTTTTTGTTTTACCATACTCGTTTCCCCCAATGGACTGTAGTGTTATGAAAACCATTTGAAAAACGCAAAATATGAATTTCGATTTCCAATCATAAATATCTTGATAATCAGATAGGCGATTGGCTTGTACTAGTCATGGGGTTCCTGACTGACCTAAAGGTTTTTAATTATCATTGCAGCATGAGCTAAATCCAGGATTTTGTTTCAGAACCTGAGACAAAGTAACTCAATTCCGTTAAGATATTTTCTTACTTGGAGAAAGTTGATTTTGCAAGTGCAATCCTTCTCTTGAGTTCTTGCTCGCCTCTTGCATCGTATGTAATAGTCCCAAGATATTATAAATGATTAATAAAACATCAATTTAAAAAAATATAAAAAAACAGAGGTGGCGTGCTTTATTTGATTGTTGTTGATCTTAAGAGAGCATGGTATTCCTCCCTTCTTTGAAAATACCGTGCATTCCGTTTTCTTGTAATTTAATGATAATCCTCTCTTGTCACTTTCTCTGACGACAACATCCAAAAGTCGCCTTATGTCCTCTGATTCTGCGACATCTGCATACCGTATATGTTTGTGATATTGTGTATAGTTAGCTAATAAACAAAAAGATTAGAAAGCGCTGTGTAACATGTTGCATTCTCGTTCATCAAAGTGTCATAAATAGAGAGAGAGAGACAGAGAGAGGGAGAGAGAGAGAGAGAGAGAGTGTGTGAGAGAGAGAGAGAGAGAGAGAATGGAGAGAGAGAGAGAGAGAGAGAGAGAGAGAGAGAGAAAGAGAGAGAACATTAGCCTCGGGGATGGGGCTGACAGAGACAGATATTAAAAAATAGAAACACTCCTTGAATCTTTTAATAGTCTAGAAACTTGGTCACTCTTTTCTGAATGTGATCAGCAGAGGGCGCTGTGTAATATACTATTCTTCTTTATCAAAGTATCATCAACAAACATAGGGAGAGAGGGGAGAGAGAGTGAGAGAGAGAGACAAAAGAGATATAGAGAGAGGGAGGGGTGGGTGGGGCGAAAAGAGAACAGGAAAAGTGAGGGGGGGGGGTAAGGCAACGTGACAAAAAGATGATAGTATCATCTTTTATTACGATCCCATTCCCTCTCGAATCTGGAAACAAAATAACATACGGGTAGGCATACACATTATGTTAAGCTTCCAGATTACAGCTGGATTGAAATCAGTGGTCAGTCTAAAACAAAATGAGTATATACCAAACATGGCAGAGTGACGTCTCTTTCCACTGAGAAAGCGGATGCAAGCAATTTTGCAAATGATAATTGACCTGCTATTGTTTCCCGGTTCGTTGACTCAGAATTCGATTTCTACTCTGAAACCAATCATCGCTGGCAATGAACAGCAATCTATAAAGTGAAATCTCTTTTTTTTTTATTCTCGAAAAACAAACAAAACAAGTTACACCGTTGTAGTTTTCATTTCACCTTGACTTTCGAAACCCACGTCATTTATTTTTTACTGCGTTGAACAAGTATACAGTAGGCGGAAATCACGATCAACAAAAGGGAGAAGAGTTTAGTGTTGTATTTTGTGCTTTCCCGGGTTACAATCACACAAAAAGGAAGAACAGGCAGCCTCGGTTGTCCAAATTCACAGGACTGGACGTTAAGTGTATTAACCATACATCGAACGATTTCAGTTATTGGTTTGATTAACAAATCAAGAGACTCTTTAAATCGTTCTACTGTCGGTCCGTGATCATGGCATCACTTTCGAAGTCGCGATCCATGTCGAAGAGGCATGCTGCACCCGTGGTCACTGTCGTCGCCGACCTCGACTTGGATAGCTGGGATGACAGTTGGGGTGATAGTGACTTGGATGACCTGAGTAGTTTGGATGATGATTTTTTTAATCTGGAAGCCGACGAGGAGACGTCAACGCTCAGCAGGGCGAAGTCAGTCAAGAAGAAACAGAATCAGAAGAAATCTGTTGTACAGGTATGACACTGGGCAGTATGAGATCATTATGGTTGACCGGGGAACATTTTTCAGGCATCTATTGTGGGTGAAAGCTCAAGTCTATAAGAATGATAATAAAGACTACGATATTATACAAAATAATAAAAGGCTACATTGATTGATCGACTGATGACAGCTCAAGACTATATAGGTATATTATTACAAACAATGGGATTACAGGTTTATAATAAGTATCTAAATTCATTTATCGATTGATCTAAGAAAAAAATATCCACTGGTATTCATTGAAATATTATATTTGAATTTCAATACCTAAGCCCATGTGTCAATTGGGTCTCAAAGGGGGAGGGCTGTTTGTCTGAATATTTTACTCCGTGGTTTAAAATTCATGCGATGACGGAATTTATATAATTATAACTGTTAAACTCATCAGCACCAAGTAACTAAAAAGAGTTCAGAATTATGTTTATTAACCTTGAAATCATAACACAGTTTCTTTCGAAGTGACATTGTAAATAAATGTACTATAACTGTAGCAAAAACATTTTATCGATTTATAAAGGAGTGATATTCTACAATGTGTGAAATAGGCTCAATCAATCTCCACTTGCTCCAATTTGTGCAGTTTCAATCAAATGTGAACATTTTAGGCGGAAACTACACACTGTAGCTACAGCGGCCTTGGTCTACAGATGTGTTTGTTTCAAAGAGAAACAAGGAAACACTATCGAAACAAGGAAACACTATCACCAGAAAGACGAATACTTTGAACTTCGTAACTACACTATACAAAACATTTCCCAGAATAACCCAATTAAAACATAATTGCAATTTAAATTCAATTCAAAGTATAGAAGTTGCACTTTCCTATAATGATTATTTTGCTGTGTATGTTCAAATACGCAACTTGGTCTATACACACGTCTGGTATTAAAGTATTTACGTTTCCAAAGAAAACATTTCAGTTTTGATATTTGTCTAGTACATTGGGTCATGGTATATCTTATCTTTCAAATGTATAAAGAACCAAAAAGAAGATATCAAAGATATACCGGGGAGTGGATTTTTTGCTAGCAGTCTTATGTTAAAAGGTACTCTGTCTCATTTGCAAGCCAAAAAACAAGAAGAAAAGGTAAGATTCCAAATGTCTTAAAGTGGGAAAATAACGACCATTTGATGTCGAATAGACTTAAGTGGTTGCAATCAATTTCGAAATAGTCTGATTTTCTGACCCTTGTACAGAATGGTAGTACGTTTTTTACTGCGCAAAGATTCAATCAGTTTAATTTTGGCCATGACAAAAAATGGATTATTGATGTAGACTAAGGCTCACCCTTATATCAGCTCATTTTCTGTATGTTAGTGCCACACAAAAAAAGAAAAACAGTCAGTCAGTCAATAGTATAGTAATAATGTCTGACAGTGAAGTATAGAAAGTAAACGGGTCCCCTTACATAATTTGAATATCAGGACACTGCTAACGTTTAAATTTCACAGGTAGGACATACGTGACGTATTCATAATTCCTGCAAACTTCTACATAATTTCATGTTTGCTGCACACTGGACAAAGTACCTTTAAGCTTTACCATAATAATTCTAGCATAGTTTCTACAATTCAAAACTTGAACATCGTATTTTCCATGTTTTATGAACAGAAAAACGAAACCAAATATCATTGTTTACTATGGCGAAGAGAGGCATTCGCTTGTGGACAATGACAAAGAGAGGAATTTCCTTTTAACAAAGAACGAGGATACAACTCAACTATTGTGGGAAAGTCAGTGACTCGAATATAATGAATTGAGAATAAAAACATATCTCTTGTGCAGTCTCACGATATTGCCTTTTTACAATAGCAGTAAGGGGAAAGGTTTTGTAATAGCTCAATAGAAATTCAGTTATATCCATGGCTTAATATGACGTATACGCAGACCATGTCCATGTTTGCATAATTTCAAATTATCACTTTTTCTAATGAATTGAGAATAAAAAAATATATCTCGTGTGCTGTCTCACGATTTTGCCTTTTTACAATAGCTCGACTGAATTGCAATAGAATTGGAAGGGAAAGGGTATTGTAAAGAGAATCATGGTCTTAATATGACGTAGACGATTTACGCAGTCCCATGCCCATGTTTGCATAATTTCAAATGATTACTTTTTATGTTTTCTATGACCCTGTCTGGTTGCCATTATGTAGGTGATGGACGTGATCGCTGGGCTATCATAATGGAAAGGAATCAAGAAACATTGGATTTTGTTAGGGAATATTATGATTTTCAACAACATGAAGCAAATAGTAAGCTTCTAATAACTTCAGATATCTGTTTGATTAGGATTAAACTTTGAGTCATTTGAAGTAACAGAATAAGATCATTGTCATGGTAACGGCATGTTAAAGAAGTTTTCATTTTTAACCACGTCCCCTCCAAAAAATAAAACAAATTAACCTAATCAATACAAGGGAACACTATAATATATATATTAAAACAATACAAAAATAGGAAGCAGAAATAAGTAGAGAATACAATCATGACAGTAGACAATATGTCATAAAGTAATGTCTTTGAGTTCACCTTTATTTGCATCTGGCTCGAGCTTGGCTTGGGTATTGGGCACTGGATGATTAACATGGGCAAAATGCACTTGTTTACATGATCGCATTATCTCTTATTGTTTTATGACTTTTTTTAAAGACTGACAATATCATGTTTGTCTATCATAGATCTGTGTAGCTTGATGTCTCATTGTAATGTTTAGGGGAAAGAAAACTAAGCAACGATTGTTGAATTTTAGCGACAATCGTTCGCCATCGCTGCTCATTAATACTTCTATGACATGCAGTAATAAAGTGAAATTTCAGGACTCATGACAAATTCGTTTAATAGTTAATTGCGCTTGACTGAGTCTTGGTTGAGAGATGGAAGTGAAATTTCTCATCATCAAGGACGAAGCAGTATTATTATTATTATTATTATTATTATTATTATATTATTATTATTATTATTATTATTATTTCACCGCCTTTACAATGCTGTTTGAATGAACAAAAATAAAATGTAAGGCTTCCTGGGAGAAATGACCTGGTAATAGTGTTGAAGGTTGATGAACAAAATGCGTAATTTTTGTATCAAATATGACTTATTATATTCCTTCTACCGTACGAACCCTCTAACATGCAACAATCCTGACAAAATTCTCCAAACACAAAGATATTTATAGTTTTCTTTGAAGGCGTCAATGTGCATTACCCTCTAATAGTGAATTCTCCCCACCATTTTTTAATTTCCCCAACCGTTTTTCCATGACAATAAGTCATTAGACAGGCCTTTAAAAATCTTTCAATACTTGAATGTCTGGAACGGTGTGTAGAGTCAATTCATTGCTTTATAATAATAATAATAAATAATGTTCAATTCTTATATAGCGCATATTACAAAATTGTCTCTATGCGCTTAGATACGAGAGAGAGAGAGAGAGAGAGGAGGAGAGAAAAGACATGAAGAATATTGAGCTTTCACCGTTTAGCAATTACAATTATCAAATCAATTACAAAATTCACATGTTTACTATATCAATTTACATCCATTTAAAATGTAAATTGTAATAATCTATTTGGAAGAATTAAGGAACCGATCAGATCAGTTTTTCCCAATTTGTATCATTAATAGTGGTCTGTTTTCACTCAAACTTTCAGATTATCTTTAATTGTACATTTAGCATTGACGTCACTACCTTAGCACCATTTTTTCTCATCTGAACAATGTTACTAAGTCCCTTTAAATCATATGGGCCTAATACACGAATTAGGGCTAGCTTGACCTGAAAATGACTCAATTCTCGGAGCATGAGCAGTGAGTGCCCTGGGTCTACTTCTTACTCATATTTCTGACCCTTTTTTTTCTCCTTTTCCTTCCCTTTTCCTTCTCTTGTCCTTTCCTTCCCCCCCCCCCTTTTTTTTAAGGGGGGGGGGGGGCGCCGGGCCCCCGTCCACCCGCGCTTGCTTCTACTACCACCACCACTACTACTACTACTACTACTACTACTACTACTACTACTACTACTACTACTACTACTACTACTACTACTACTACTACTACTACTACTTCTACCACCATCCGCACAAATACTACTACCATCACCACTACTACTACTACTCCTTCTCTAATGTACTACCGCTGCTAGAGTACACCAATTTTTCTGCTACTTTTGGCAACCGCTATATTATTCTTTTTTTAATTTTCAAATTCTAAAATTAATCCTGTGTGCTATATTTTGGTACTATCTTGCTCAAGGTTCGCGACATTTTGTTCATATAAAATAATCAACTAGCGCATAGTCAACGTTGTATAATAATCTTTTATCTAGCTGAGGAAGATAACACTAGTTTTATATATTTTTCACATCTCAGGTCGCGAGGGCGGGCCAACTTGCGGAGCTTCAGGAGCTGCTGAATGGTATGGACCCGAGCGACAGAGCCGACTCAGTGTCGGAGCACGACGCCAAGAACTACAGCGCGCTCCACTACGCGGCCCACATCGACAACCTAGACATGGTGAAGCTCCTGGTTCAACATGGGGCAGGTAGGGGTGAATGATGCTTGAGGGTTGAAGTGGGAGGAATGGATGCAGGTGGCTGATGGAGATTGTTGATCGAGGGGTGTTGCAGGTGAAATGGAGGAAAGGTGTCTTTTGGGGGCATTGGTAGTGGTGGTGGGGGGGGGGGGGGGGGGGGGTAAATTCGGAGGTATGAGTGCAGGGATCGGGACGATGGCGAATGTTGGTGGAGGTGTGTAGTAGATGATGGAGGGGACGTATCGTTTGGTAATTGAAGGTGATCGATATCGGAAGTATGAGTGCAGGGAGTCGATGGTGTTTGGTGGCGGAGGTGTACGTGTTACAAATGGTGGAAGGGAGTTGTCATTTGTGGGTTCATGGTGGAGGAGCGATATCGAAGGTATGAGTGCAGAATGTCGATGGCGATTGGTGACCCAGGGTGTTGTGTTACAGATGGTGGAAGGAAGTTGTCATTTGTGGATTAATGATGGAGGGGCGATATCGAAGGTATGAGTGCAGGGAGTCGATGGTGTTTGGTGGTGGAGGTGTTTAGTTGATGATGGAAGGAAGGTGTCATTTGGGTTATTGATGGTGGATGGGTGAAATCAGAGGTATTCAGTGTAGAATGTCGATGGCGATTGGTGGTAGATGGTGGTAGGAAGGTGTCATTGCGGAATTGGTGGTGGAGGGATGAAATGCGAGCAGGGATCTGAGATGATGTGCTAGAGATGAAATTTCGACGCTAGATTGCTCTGGAGATGATGTGTCTGGTGAGGTGGTGGTGATGGTGGCTGCGGTAAGGTGACGATGGGTTAATGGTTTGAGAGATTAATGACGACACCTCAAGGAATAATGAAATGAATAACCGTCGTAGTTTTGAAACAGTGAGTGAATTTCTCTTTCTCTCTCTCTCTCTCTCTCTCTCTCTCTCTCTCTCTATACCCCTTTATCTCTTTATTCCCCCCCCCCCCACTTTCTGTCTTCCACCAATCGTCTGTGTATGTGTCACTGCAATGCACTGCATACTGCTGAAATATCTGGCAACCAATCATCTATCGTAACGTGCTATCCAGACGTCGACGATGTGGGTGAAGCTGATCGTCGTCCTCTTCATTTAGCGGCTGGTGCAAAGAAAGACCTAGCAAAAGTAAGGGACATTCATAAATTCATTATTATTGAATGTTTTTTTCGTAAGTAAATGATAAACAGGTACACCCAGAGCAAGAGTTTCCAGGATATAAAATGGCGAATGTTTCAATTTTCCAGTACACTGTGTTTTTGCATTAAGTAGGCCATTTTTAAAAGGGATATATAGCCTTTGTCAATTTAAAACGATTCCATTTTACGAAAGCCGATCAGTGTTTAACATTTTTTTAAATTAAAAAATGGAAAGAAAAACAAATCTTACCGATATCATCACTTGTGAATGAAATACTAAAATTTAGTAAAAATTATGTTTCTATCACTTTTATTTATCAGGTTGAAGCGGCCACAAGGATGTCGAAACTTCCCGATGAAGGCGTCGTGAAATTCTTGTTGTCGAAAAATGCCGATGTGAATGCTGAGGACAGCAGAGGGCGCACTCCACTTCACATCGCCACTTTACAAGGCAACACTGAAGCTGTGTTTCACCTTCTTTCTAAGAGTGATAACGAACTAAATGTAAATAACAAGTTGAGACTTTGGAAAATGCTTTGCTCCTATGGTATGTCCGGAATATAATCGGAGTTTTGAGAAATAGATTCAATGAGTTCAAAAATAACGATCATTGCCAGTGGCCTAGTTTTAGGGGGCACGTACGGGGCATCTACCTCCAAGTCAAGAGGTGAAAATATAAAAAGAAAGAAGAATCGAGAACAAGAGAAAGTGAAGGGGTAAAGGGTGAAAATAACGAAAAAAATGAGATGCCTGTTGACTATCTCTCGCACCGTTCTCAGAATCAGTAACCTTGTAAATTCGCATTTTATTTCCCATGCAAAACAGTCCCACCCGTCGTCCCAACGCCACCCACCTTCAATCGGTAGACTCACGCTACTCCACTTGTCATATATTATTAATAATAATAATAATAAAAATAATCTTTTTAAAGTCCACTCCAAATTTTATTAAACCGAAAATGGAAATTCTTTTTGCCCAATTGATCGTGAGCCCGGCAGCCAATGAGCAGCGCCAGATCGACGTTGCTATATCCCTTTAATGTTGAACGCCAAACAAGGTAGCAGCAACTCCCGTCTTTTAACGTCTTTTGGTATGACGCGGCCGGGGTTCGAACCCACGACCTCCCGGTAGTGAGGCGGACGCTCTACTGACTGAGCCAACACACCGGTTGAATTAATGTTACCTCGTAATCATAAGTCGACGAATGATATATTTCTAGAATAATAATAACAACAATAATGATAATAACAAGCCCTGCACAAATCGATTTAAATAATAAGTTTTACAGTATTTCTTGACATTCTTGTATAGCGCTCATAGTATAAAAAACGCCATTCCTAGCGCTCCATTATTATTACTCCGGCTTTACCACTGCTGTCATTGTAGAATGTGTCAGGTACCCATCAACCTCGTCAGAGTCGAGCGTCGCAAATGTAGATTAAAGGTTGCCCGGGCCATATCTTGGCAAAGGACATTAATGCCGCTGAAGGAATTCGAACCCCGCACCCTGTTGTTCACAGTCCAGAAACCTATCCAATAGACCAGAACACCACAGATTACAGACAGATTTCTAAAAACAAAGTCCATGGATAAATGTCTTTTTGATTTATAGAAAGCGGATAATCGCCATACGACCCCGTTATTGCTGGCATGTCTTTACGGGAAGATCGACATCGCCACCCTCCTCATCAACAAGGGAGCTGACCTGATGGTGTACGATGACAATCTCGACACTCCGCTCCACATAGCCTTCAACGAGGGCAACAAAAAGATCGCGAGGAAGATCATCGAAAAGGCAAAGGAGACCGATAAATTAAAAGAAGTAAGTTACTAAACTTTGACACTTTCTTATGATTATAATTATCATATTACTATTTCCCTTTCTTTCTTCGCTCTCATTATAAAAAAAAAAAAACAATATCTTAATTTGAGTTTTATAAAGAGGAGGACATTTCTGCACGCTATCTCATTAATATGACATGCATGTATAACTCATCTGCTATCTTTCCCTAGGTTCTAATCGAGACAAACAGTGACGGCGTTGCACCAATCCATCTAGCGGTGAGGGGAGGGCACAAAGAATTGGTACAGCTCTCCCTCGAACATGGTAAGAAATGATCATTATTATTATCGACTGATTTAATGAAATAATACAACATATGTACACACAGTTTTAAAAAAATAATAATTTGGAATAAGCAAGCCAGTGATGTAAATGGCATTCGCTGTCGGGTGGGGCTAGTAAGGAAGCGAGCGAAGGGGGAGGGTGAAAGCCCTTTTGCACGTTGATGTTTGAAATTGTGAAATGTTGTGCATAGGCCTATTATGGTAAGTTTTATTGACTTGCAAAGGTCTTCATGATTTAGAAAAGGTAGGGGTTTTGCTCTACCAAATATAATATGTAGATATTTTAACTCAATATAATTATTCAACAGTAAAATTCTCATCTCTTATTTGAAAAAGTAGCATATTTTAGGACAAACCATCGGCTAATTTTTGCGAAATATTTGACTGGCCTTGAATAAATTAAAACCATAAAGTGAGAGCACCTCGGATTGGCTATTGAATACTGCACTTAAAATTAGTTGTAATTTCCGATAATGATTCTGATAATTGCCCTGGGATAATGGTGCCAGGCAGTCAAATAGAAACAACTTATAAACAAGTAAAACAAAACCACAACCAATACTGTCAATAACAGCAACAACGACACATAAATAATCACAACCAATATGGATATCTCCCGTTTTCCAATATTACATTTGTGTTTCCCTGTCCGTTTATGAAAAATATTTCAAATATAGACTCCTGTCCCCTCACTACATTGCTATAGTCGTTTAGCTGAATATCATTACATGTGGGTTTTCCTATTGTAAAAATACAATGTATGCCACAGTGTTAATGGCAAACCAAACGGACAGTAAAGACGAGGCGGACGACGACAGCGATGATTATGATGAAGATGTGGTCAACTACGGGGGAGGAGAGAACGACGACACACCCCTGCATGAGGCTTGCTCTGCTGGCCATCTCGACATCGTGAAGATGCTGTTGGAAAAGGGCGCCAACATCAACGTCACAAATTGGGATAACGAAACCGCGCTCCATCATGCTTGCAAAGAGAACCATCAACTAGTGGCGGAGTTTTTGGTAGAAAAGTGAGAAATATTCTGAACACTTAAAATACATTTCTGTAGCTCAAAACCCCAATGTGTAGTTATATTAAGTCATATAGATGTAAGAAAATGGATTTAACGAGAGGTGACGAAAATTGATGTTTAGAAGCTTCATATCAAGGGGAAAGAAAATTAACGAATATGAAGAGACGATCAAAATAATATTAACGAAGAAGATTGACAAGAATGAACAGTAAAGAATGAGAGTAAGGTTTAAACAAGGGAAGGAAGATGAAGGGACAAAATAAAACTAACGAAGAGTCGAGGGACAGAATGAAAATGTTTAAGGCGATGTATGGATGAAGAACTGATGATAAAACATACCATAAGACATCAACGAACAAGGAATACTAAAGGAAAAGAATTGAGAAAAAGGGAAGCAAAGAAGATTAGTATCAACGTAACTTCTCCCAGCTCGGAGGTTTATTGTAACACTCTTCTACATATCTCTGCCTTCTAGTTTCCCTAGTTGTTCCTTGACCTTCATCTTTTAAGAAACTCTGATGCGTTTATAATGTATTTCGCATGTTTTTCTTTAACCATTCATAATTATCAAAATATTTTGTTTAACCCCTGTCATATGCAATAGTTCTTAAAGGTGCTCTTATCTTTCCACTATGGTTTAATACGACAATTTTAACTGCTACAGCGGTGCTGACATGAGTGCCAAGAACGATGAACAGCTCACGCCCCTCCAGGTCGCGACCAACTCCGGTAGCTTCGACACTATCATCGGTCTGCTCGATCGTAATCGTAACTTGAACACGAGCACGACTACGAGTGATAATCAAGACGCGGCCTCGGAGCTCCTCAAGTGGGTGGCTACGGAGAACAAAGCAAATACACTACAGGTAAGCAAATAAAAGAGATTTGTTAACAGTAGAGATGGTGAAGGACATGACGTAGCAGAGACGAAGCAGAGGAAGAATATTAAAAAGTGAAAGGAGAAATACATGTATATAGAAGAACACGAAGGTGAAGGTTACGATGATGATTGTTAAGATAATTTGTTTATTTTGCTAATGATGGTTGTGATAACGTCGTTGGTTGTGCCGATGATAACGATGTTGTTCTTGATGATGACAATAACGATGATGAAAGCACGAACGCAAATACTAAAACAAAATCAAACCCGAGGTAATTTCAATAGCCTTGTCCATCACTTTATGAACAAGACAATAACATAAATCCGAAAATAAATTATTTCAATGGGATATGCATAGGGTATGAAATTTCTCGATAGTGATTGATCTTTATGGTGGTTATGGTGATGATAATAATGTTATTCAGGTTGTCGATGGCGATGATGATGGTGATGATGATGTTGATGAAGATGAGGGTGAGGATAAAGATGACTGTGGTAACAAGGATGATTAAGGGGAATAATGATGATGATGTCGACTCTCTTCTTTTCTCTCAGCTTCTTCTTCACCACGGGGCTAAGCTCCATGGCGCCAATGATGACACAATCGCCGAATTCATTCTCGATGCCGCCAAGAAAGGACACACAGAGTAACTCATAACACTGAAATCGAAAGAATATTTATAGCATAATCTTTCTAAGAAATGATTAGTTGAACACATGAATGAAAATATACATTCGTTGCTACTAGGCCTTTGTAAGATGTGTTTGCCCATTGAGATGGTATTTATGCACTCCAATACCATCACATACAGTATCTTTAAATGGTTTACATAAACCCTATATTTTGCTGCACCTATGAATGAAGAAAGTCAATTAAAACAAGTTCATGATGGTTTTTTTCTTTTTAATCATATATACTTTTTATGCATTTTTACATTGGCTGTTATAGTCATGATTATTTCAAAGTTCACATATCTGTCTTCTACCCTGCCCACGAGAAAAATAACCACCACCAAAAATGTGACAATTTTTCAAACAAAGCCCAGAACTTTTGTGTTTTTGAGGAAATACGATTGTATACATTTATATTCATGATGTTTCATTGTGCAGAACGGTAGCGGCATTGATCCGATGGAAGAGAAGCGAAGTCGTTGATAAGTGCGATGACGTGGGTAACGCACCGCTCCACTATGCCTCCGAGGCTGGACATGACCTGACCGTTCAGGAGCTCATCAAGGCGAAGGCTAACGTCAATGATACGTAAGAAAACTGAAATCTAAAGTCTTGTTAAATAATGACGCGGTAAACCACCGCGAAAAAAGTCGCCGCGTTTTTGTTAACGTGTAATTTACGGTGACGGTGTGTCATCTTATGTGGATTCACTAAGTTCTGTGTTATGAGAGACTTACACTTTACGTCACCATAAAAAGAAAACCGACCTGCTTTTGTTGCGTCATAGCCTCATAACTGAACGAGTAGATATACAGGTAATCTCATTTTGGTCACAACAGCAAAGGGGTGTCGATTTTAGGTGGGGGAGGGCGGCAATGACTAATATTTTCCCTAATATAATTATTTTGAAATTATTTGAGAATCACAAAGAGGGAAAGATTTCCCCTACTTGTTGTTGCAAGGCGAAATGAAAAATTACTGTTTCAATGTAGGTTTACATTATCTATCTCCATGTATATGGTTTTGATCAATAATTGTTCTTTCAATTCTTCTAAAAGAAACTATGACGATGCACAAGAGCGTACTCCTTTGCACCTTGCAGCAGCCAATGGCTGGATAAGGACAGTCAAGCAACTACTCAAAGCTAAGGCACGAGTTGATGAAACAGACCTGTACGAGGTAGGTAACTCAGATCTGATATAGTTATCTTCTTGCACGTGGTGCAGATCATCTGTATATAATTATGGAGCGGTAAAAGACGATTCTGAAACAATTCAAATCCTCAATGAGCCTCTGATAATCGAGACGAATGCCAGGTACTTTAATCTGATCCTGGTTCAATTTCTGCTGCAATGAGAGGAGATATCACAACACCAACGCAGGTCTCTGGGATTCATTTAAGAGCTTCCCATGGTGTGACTGAAAATTAGAAATAACAACATGAAGTCAACGTTCATTTTTATGGCATGATATCAACGAGTGTCATTGTATAAACAATTTAGATAATGTGAATCTTACGTTACCTCAACATTGCAGTATCACTACAATCTACAATAATTAGGGCAGGTTATTACGAGTTCATGGCTAACAGGTATATAATATTCTGCTTCATTTTCCAGATAACACCTTTGCATCTAGCCTGCAAGAAAGGTCACATCGATATGGTGAAGCTCCTCGTCTATGAGGAGAAAGCCGACATCGTACTGCGTGACAAGCAGGGACTCAACTGCCTCGACTATGCCATCGACAACGGGCACGAGTAAGATCACAAAACGACACGAATCAGATTACCTGGTTCCCCTTCCTCCTCCCCATGTCTCTATGTCCATAAATACATGTATATCTTCGTATCCGGACACATACCCCTGGACATCCACCCCAGAATACCCCCCCTCCCCCTCAGTCAACTGCCCTCTAGGACGACTACCCCTCGGGACAACTACCCCCGGAAAACTACCCAAGACAACTACCCATTAGAAAAACTACCCCCTAGGACAACTAAATCCCGGACAACTACCCCCGGACAACTTCCCCCTGACAACTATCCTAGGTGGTAGTTGTCAAAGGCCGGGCAACGAGAACACAATGACATTCTTTACTTTAAGATCACATGATGAACACTATTCTAGAGGCTGACTAAGCAAATAACGACATCCAGTGACGGACAGCTTACTATTACCAGATCGAAACGAAATGTAATGTCTAGCTTTCTCTAACCTCCTCCCCCCTCTCTCTCACGATATCTCAAACCCAAACCCCCTACACGCTCCAAACTTTCGTTTCGACTTCTCTATTGATCTTTCCATGATTCGCACCATTGGAATTTCTCTCTCCCCTTGATCAATCTCGTTTTACCTACTTCTCATCTTTAGGAACATTGCCAATTTGATTTTAAGTCACGACAAATGGCGAGAAGTGATGTCTGTATCCAGTCTGGATGATGATACATATGAGAGGACTACACCCATGAGAAAACTCATCAAAAACATGCCAGGTAAATGAACAATAAATGAACGCACTGCAAGTAAAAATCTTCGAGTCGTAAATGGACTAACAAATTATGTTTGTCCTTGAGCTTGTGCTTTCAGATGATTTTGTTTTCAATATATAGATCACTTTGGAAATTTGCCCAGATATCGATAAAGTGAAACCGTTTTATCCGTCTGCTGTTCCTTTCCTCAACATTCCTTATCACAATATACATAACATTTTAGACAACATTATTCTTATATACCATGTTCTACATAAATGTAGGCTGAAGTAATTGCATTCTTCCATGTGTGTCGTAAATCAGAGTTACAACTAACTACATGTAAGAATAGACTATTCCGGCCTACATAATTATATATCCCCTAGAGTTGAGTACTTTCAGTACCTGAAGCTTCATGCGCGTACTGTATGTCATACCAAAGTATAACATCCCTAATAGACGTCCCTGTAATACCACATTGCAACTTCACAAAGCATATTTTGATACATTGGTAATTTTACAGCACTTGAGAAGCGTTGAACACCTGTATTACTGTATGTCATACCAAAGTATACCATCCCTAATAGATGTCCCTGTAATACCACATTGCAACTTCACAAAGCATATTTTGATACATTGGTAATTTTACAGCACTTGAGAAGCGTTGAACACCTGTATTACTCTCTTGCCACTTCGTGAAAATGATACAACTTCCCCTTTCTTCTTCAGATGTTGCTGAACGAGTCATGGATAAGTGTGTCAAAGTATCGCCAGACGCAGGGCCAAAGGACAGTAACTTTTGGGTTGAGTTTGACTACGAGTTCCTCGAGGATTCCTTCTCCCATTGGGATAGGCCAAAGGATTCCGATGGTCAGTAGAAGTATCAGCAGCTTCAGTATTAGTAACAGTGATGGTGGTATTGGTGGTGGTGATATTAGAAGTAGTAATTGAAGCTGACAAGGATGATACATGTTTAACGTAGCTCTTTAATGTTACAGTTGGTGGTGTGCCGAGTAGTGCAGAGAAATCTGCCAGCACCCCAGCCCTACCTTTATGCCATCCAGCTTTGCGTTCTTGTTTTTCAAGCTCCACCACAAACAGAGCAGTGGAGAACGAGAGAGCTGTTAAGGCCGTCCCGCTTACTGGAGTCTTCAAGAAGGATCAGATGTCTAGAAAATAATAATTAAACAAAAAAGAGCTACTCTTCTTTTCATTCCATCCATTGCATAATAATTGTCAATGAAAGCAACACGATACTAAACTAAAACACACAGAGAACTAATGGTATTGTTTTGTAATGATCACAAAGCACCAATGCTAGACTTTTGAATTATGCCCTATGTGAGGAGATCTTTTCGTGCTGAAGTAGGTTGTGCATCACTAAATGTTCTTGATCCCTTTACGTTTACAACTTAATATTGATTATTAATAATTGGAGACATTATGATTATCATTGCCCTTCCCTAGATGAAGATGAAGATGATGATGACGACGACGATGATGACGAGGAGGAAGAGGAAGAAGAGAAAAACGATGACGATGATGACGACAACGATGACGAGGATAAAACTAAAGAGACTTCATTCACCACTAAACCCAACGGGCAATCTGCATCTGACAGCGAGATACATATCACAGTCAAAGATAAAGCCGACAAAATGATTAACCCGAAGTCCAAGAAGATCCCTGAAACTCCGGCGGCGCCGACGGGAGACCAGTACGACGATCATGGGCATTTGATGAAGAGCGCAAGGCCGTATACGACCAGTTCAAAAGACATTGCTGCTAACCATCCTCTTAATATTATGGTAAATGCCATAGTTATCTTCTTATAATAAATAAAATGTTATTTGATATAGCGTCTTTTCCGCGCAGTTACAAAGCGCTGCACACATTGTTCTACATATTAGGGCCACTTAATAGCTTAACCAATAACATATCACTTCCAAAAAGACACATTGATAACAAGTTTTATGAAACATGGCCCAGAAATATTAGCCAGTAAAATCCAATGTCCAATATATTTGCCACGAGGATTTTCGAGAATAAGCTAAAGAGGTTCTGAAGTAATGATCAAGGCTATTTCCTGTCCTCCGTATGTGGGTACAATTTGCATGGCCCCTCTCTCTCAAACGAACAAACCCTTTGTGAAATGTTCTCGTGTGGCTAAGGCCTTTTTCCTCCTTTGCCAGGTGTTGATAAACATTGTTATTCGTTTCTCTCGATCCAAGGGTAGAAAGTAATTACCCATAAACTAGTGTGCAAGAGTTTAATGTTAATCCAAATCAAATTGGTCATGGATCATGGGTGGCATAAAGGCCTATGAGCAATTGGAACGGTAGAATCGTGAAGAAAACAAATGACAATTTCATTTTGCCTTGTAAATCTGTTAGGAAAAAGAGTGATGCAGATGTGTCCTTTTGGTATTATTTTGAAAGCATTATTACTTACTAGAGAGAAAAATAACTGTAGAAGTATCCGTATCTACAAGTACACTGTATTCAAGCACCTCGTCTGAGATGGATTATTGTATCTCTGTTTGGTGCCCGATCTTTAGTTCAGTATCCAATAAAACTCATAAAATTGATAAAATATGACGTTCCCATTTCTTAAGTATCAATAACTCTTTGAATTTCAGGTGACCTCAGAGCGTGCAGATCTCTTGGGCCATCCCCTTGTTTCCAGCCTGCTCAGTCACAAGTGGAGCCGAGTCGGACAGTACTTCTTCTTGGCCTCCCTCGGTTCGTACCTTCTCTTTGTTGCTATGCTGACTGGTTACGTCATCGTAGTCCCGCCTAGTTACTATGTGCGACAAGCCAACCAGAGTGCGGGGGTATCTTGGTTCGCCAACGGCGAACAAAAATGGACTGCAGGGTTCCATGAAGCTACGATCTTCTTCTTTGGTCGCATCGGTGATTGGATCATACTGGTTCTTTCGTTGATCAACCTGCTTCGGGAGGTACATTTCAATTTTTCAAGATTTTCCTTTGTTTTGTGTAGAATCGCATTTTGGTGGGTGGTAATAACGAGGATAGGCATGTTATTAGATGACATACATAAAATACAGGCTTGGAATAAACAGGCTTTTAATGATACCAACGATAAGTACGATAATATACTAACGAGAGGTTACCGCTAAAACTTGAATTGCATAATTTTCAAAAGGGGTATACATTTCTTTTAACACTCTTGATGACTCCGTCCAAGAACATTTTGTAAGTTTGAAAAAGAATCACTGATCGTTTTCTTTTCAATTTGTAGTTATCCCAGTTGCTTGTTCAGAGGAGGTCTTACTTCTGCTTCGGGAACCTAATCGAGTGGTCTCTGTACGTCCTGGCCATTCTCCTTGTCTTGCCACTTAGCGGGGTCCAGTACTTCATGGGGGTTAGCCTACGACTGGTAAGACCATGGTCAAGACCGAGAATGATACCTTTTCAGGTCCAGGTCCGAGACTTCAAAAACTTGGTCTAAGGCCGGGTTGGAAATGAAACTGTTAAGCGTCAATCGCGCATACAGGAGAATCTCTTATGATTTTTGTTTAAAGACTACGAGCTTATAATTATGAAATCATATAGGCGCATCTGAAATTAGCTATACAAGTATGATTATTACAGTCCATGTATTATGGCATTACGTGTATGATTGGTCTTTTCTGCTTTGAGATATTCTTTCAAATCTGGCCAACCCAATTCAATCTACACATTACTTGATATATAGTGCCTTTTCCCCGAGTTACAAAGACCTTCACAAAACGCATCAAAAAGTAGTACACACAATAATCGAAGACTTTAAGTGAAACAGCTGAGACAATACAGACGTATAGAAGCCAATGATTTCTAACAACAGATTCTGGCGTTCAAAATCTTCTTGAGGTGGTCGACAGATAAAGCAGTCTTCAGAGTGGAGGTTACTGGTTCCACAACCTTGCAGCAATTGACGGAAAAGACAATTGTCTTCATCATATTTCTTGGAGAGGGGCTGCGTCATTTAAGAGCAAGCGAGAGAAAAATAGCTAAAACGAAACGATTGATTTATATCTATACCGAGATCGACGCAGCAATTGAAAGAGCTCTCAAGAAATATGTAATTTGAAATAAAATGTCGTCACTTCTTAACTGTTCATGATAGGGTTGGCAATGGCAGTGCGGTGCAGTGGCTGTCTTCCTGGCATGGATCAATCTCATTCTCTTCATCCGTCGCTTCTCGGGGCTGGGGATTTACGTCATCATGTTCATCGGTAAGATCTATCTATCAGGGGAGGGGGTGTAGATATTTATCCACCAATTATTGAATCCCCCCTTGGGGTATCATGTGTATGAGTGTGAACAATCGAAAGAATTTCTTGGTTTTTGGAATAGATACTTCCTCCTCTGTTACTATCATGTGATTTAGTGGATACACTAAACTCATGTTGCTAGTTGAGCTGTAATTATCAGTGTGAAATTGAAAACAGAATATTGTCTACGACCCCACAAACAATATCAAATTTCGTTACGTTTCAGATATTCTACGGACATTCATGAAGTTCGTCCTCATTCTCATCCTCTTTGTCGTCGCCTTTGCGTTGGCTTTTTACACACTCCTCATGAACCAGGTAATATCAGGTCGTTTATATGGTGCGTCTTACATCTACAGGTTGGGCCTTAATTGTAAAGAGAAGGCATTCATAAGTCACCTTTAGAACCAAATCCAATACTTCTTTCGAATAAATAAACGAAAAGGAAAATTTCATGGCAGTTTTATTGTTCGAAAATCATTTTTTTTTAAATGAAATGAGTGTCTTAAATGTTCTTTACATTGCATCGTTTTTACGACTTCCTACATAGCTTATCAATTCACCATTGATGGCATACATCATGGTCAATCCTTCTTGCGATCTTTCTTTATTGGACCGTGGGAAGAGAGGAAGAGGAGTAGGAAGGGGGGGGGGTATGCCTTAGCCATTGCGAATAAAAGTCATATCATGGTGTTTAAATTTGGTTACGCTATCGTTACCCGTAGGAAGAGTCCCAAATAGGTCTACAAAAATGATTTTACTGCTGAATCATCTTATCCCTACGCATGGTGTACAATTAGAAGTAGAGGCGGTGTACTTAATGTGATTAATCATTATCATCCATACGAAATGAACATCAGCATGATAAGTGCTAAAATACAAACATTTACGGCGGACTCCTTGTCAGATATGAACACTTTCATCGTTTTCCTTTCCTTCCTGACATAGCAACCCTTTCACAGCGTGCAGTACTCTTTCGCCAAGACTTTTGTGATGATGATCGGAGAGCTAGACTTTGGGGACATCTTCCACAGTCAGAACTACCTCGCTACGGAGAACACTTTAGCTGATGGTGAAGAAGACTTCTTCCTCACTTCTGTCTTTTACGAAGGCGTCACGTATACCATCTTCCTTCTGTTCCTCATCATCATGTCCATCCTCATCATGAACCTCCTGGTACGTCTAGAGATAATCAGAAAACAAATGTGGAGGGTACGAAAGAAGAAGCAAACTAGACGAAAATGGAGAAAAGGCACGGAAAAAGAAGTAGAGAGAAGGGAGTTGCGCTAGCATGGCTAGTGTAGTACACGTAATATCGGTTGTGGTATGACTTCAAGTCACTCTAGGAATCACAAATAGAGTTTTATTATTGACAATCCAAGACTTCAAAGGAACAGGGGGTGTTTCACAAAGACTAAGATCGAATTTAAATGGACGTTACTATGGCAGGCCACTTGTTGCTCTCACCATTTTTATCTTTAGATTTGTGACCATGATTTGTACGTCCATTGAGAGACCGATGCCAGTAAACGGTGAGAACAAAAATTAGCATGAATGGCCTGCCATAGTAAAGTCGATCTTAGTCTTTGTGAAATACCCCCATGAATGTTTTTTGTTTATAGCTGCGGCAGTAGAAACTACCATTTCAACTGTCATATAGAAGTAGAAGAACACATATAATGATACAACGGATGAATATGAAACTCTGAGGAAGAAATCAGCTGTCATTGGGTTCAAAGTTACATTGTAAGATAAATTCCGTCGAATTAAACCCGTTGCCAGCTAATAATGTTTCCTTTTATTGACTAGGTTGGTCTGGCTGTTGATGACATCCATGCAATTCAAGAAAAAGCAAAGCTTCATCGTCTAGCAATGCAGGTGAGTAAGATATTATTTTCCTTGCCATCGGCCATTGTGTCTTTCACTGTACAGTTTCTTTTAACATGACAGGCATTACATCTCGTCCCTTGAGTAAGTACTCCCTCAATGAAGTACAACGACGCTGTCCAAGAGTGGACGGTGCAGAGCAGCTTGTTACTGTTGTTGTTGTTGTTGTTGTAAGTGCTTGTGACTGAAAGAATTCCTTGTGCAGCTGTGTGCAGGAGCAAGTGGCAATGTGCTGTTCATTACTATGCGTGAAAGCAGGCTAATGGGCCAACCTACTATAAGCCCTACCTTTAATGTTTTAGTGATATCACTTTGTAAGTAAGCAATCTGCCCGAGAATACGAAGCACCTAAACTGACCTGAACTTGGTAATGAAGATGAACGTGGAAGTGAAAGCCTACCACGTTAATCTCTTGCATTTTCTGCAGACCATGCGCACCAAAGACTTCTCAGGTGTTCCTTCAGATTTACCGTTACTCTAACATTTTACTTGTCGGTACCTTTTTATGTCGACAGCGGGGAAAAGGTAACCTACGGCAAATCTTGGGATATACATCACCGACCTTAATATCTTGTCTATCACCATTGCAAAGACAAAAAAATATCAACGAATGGCAACTTGAAAAGCCACAAAAAAATTCAATATTTCGAAATCCCAACATAATTTCTTTAGGTAATAACACAACGTACTATATATGCTAAATGACAGGTGGAACTGGTGATGGAGGTGCAACGTGCCCTCCCAATCTTCATTTGGCGTTCGGCTGTCATCAGGTTTAAACGCTTCAATCTTAATCGGTCGTGCTGCAAGGGACTGCAGAAGTGGTACCGTACGCTGACTGGAGACCAGAACCTCCTACGACAGGCCATTCAGGTTTGCAACAAGACTACGGCACAGGTAAGAATACTAATCCATATGAGTGCGATGTTGTATTGTGCAACCTCCTCATACGATATAAAGAAGAAGGTTAACAACCCTCCCCAGAAACTAATGGAATATTGGGATAGTTCCAGAGTAAATTATAGTCATTGGACAAAATCTTTTTAAAGTGGTTTGCTAATATGAATGATTGTGCTTAGATCTGTTTTAAAACGCTCGTAAAATTGTTTTAAACCATTATTGTCTAATAAAAGAAAACTGCGATATGTTCGACGTTACCTGTCCAAAGGAAGCAAAGCTACTTGTCCTATGGATGTTTTTAGCGTATGCAGGTCTGAAATACTGTTTCATGACTTTTAAAGCAGGACAAAAAAGTACTTTCTTTATTGGTTGGTTGCGTTGTTTGTTTTATTTGGCTGCTAAGACTGCGCATGTATATGCTTGTAAGTAAGCAACCAGAGGCCCGAAGGACTTGGTAATGGGGATGACTGCTTACCAAAGGGTACGAGCGAATCGAATTGGTTTCGAACCCGGACCTCCCGGTTACGAGACCACTGCTCTTTCAATTAGCCCACCCGCCTCACTTACTTATCAGTTGTTTTTATTTTGGATAATACCAGGGTGGATTCTTGCACGAGGAAGTCACCACCGAACAACTGTTCACCAGCCTCAAGTATCGCCTGAAGCGCATTGATACCAAAGTGGAGACAGTGAGCGAGAGGGTCGAAGAAGAGGGGCCGAAGATTGTCCAAATCGGAGGCGACATGACCCAAATCCGCGTCGAGCAGAAACAGATGAAGGATCGCTTTGACCGTCTCGAGAACAAAATTGATGCTCTCTTGAACCACAACAAAGTGAAATGGGACGAGTCAAAGATGGATTCGAAATAAATGACAATGAGCGATTTCCATTGTTCTTTAATTATTGACAACGGCCATTCAAGAAATATATATACTCATGATCTCAGTCTGTGAAATGCCGTTTAGTTTGACTTTCTTGATCAGCGATTGGGTTGTATGAAAAATGTCATTTTTACATTTTGAGAATTTGAGGTTGTATGATCCATGGATTTTGATAATAGTCACAATTGTATATCGAATTAACACTACGTTTAAAAGTGTAATATATTTCATTTAGTATTATCCCGGAAGTAGACAATCTACATCGGAATTTTACCAGGTACTACTTACTGTAATTCAACCATGCACAACATGATCACGAGATTGCATATAATTGTTATCATAAAGTATTATACAAATAATGAATGGTTATGAGTTCAGTAGTGCGATATTCGCAATATTGAACAAATGAAAAACATTCATTAATTGTTTTATACAACATCGAAGAAGATCTAATAGAACGTTAATCAACAAATTATGCTTTACTCCTTATATTAAAGATAAATTAAAGTTGGGAGTCAAGCCTTCTCGATTACATTCAGATTGCCTTCGCGTCAGATACACGCAGGGATACGCGCACTGCAGAGAGGTCGCAGTCTGCATATATAACCAAACATGCACGGCGAATATAACCAAAAATGCACGCCCGTGCAATAGAACATCTATTGAATATCATGTGACCAACAATCCTCCAATCAAATGACAAGGATACACGTAGGTGTTGTATAAATAATTTCTATTTACTCGATGAAAACTTTTGTGAAAATAGCTTAAGTATGAAATATGTACATATCATATTAATTAAATGGTGTATGATGCATGCTATTATACCACATATTAGAATCGGTTAGCGTATTTGATGCATTAGGTTTTATATTTGATGACATACATGTATGAGGAAATAAGGCATAGACTTGCACATTTATGTTGTTTAAAAATCGCACCGTTGGTAAGGACGTTTTACATGATGCACATAACATCAAGTTCTAATATATATCTATGCAAATTATCAAATTTCAACTTGTGCATACTCAATTTAACTTTACGATTATTGTCAGTATATTGTCTTAACTAAAGTGCATTAAAATATCAACTTGACTCCGATAAATTCCAATTAGATGTACTTTTAGAGAGAAAAAAAATGTGTATACAATTCTTAAACAATTACCTATACTAGGAAATTGAACACTTTTATTTGTCATTCGTGTCAGTCAGCAATCACGGTCGTTAATAAGGCGAATAGACAAGTGATACATATGAACTGTCTAGTGGTTACGTCCTGGGTTACGTCACCGTACTGTGGATCGGTTCGAGTCTCGCCCCGGCACTATTGCATTTACTATACTTATGTTTTTATATTGTTATTGTATTATGCAGGGCTTTCTTGAAAAACAGGTCCACTGGCTCTAGGTGGAACTGAATGAAACTACCCTGTTGAAAGAAATCATGACTGAATAGATAAATACATAGATTGTCAATTGGCAGAACATTAATAAAAATACGTCACATCCGATGCATTCGGGTGAGGTAAATGGGTATGTGGCAGGAACTAAATCCCTGAAATACTAGAGCGCCATAATGACAGGCATGCTAAAAGTGGGGGGAATAATAGTGGAGCACCAGTGTCGAGTCTGACAGACACCAGCGTTATACAAGAACCTACTATATTATTAATATTATTAGTATCATGCCACATTGATCAGTGAGTTAAAGATTGTTAAAAATACATTTAAAATTACATTACACATTAAAAATGACAAAAGGAAGTTTTATGCTTAAACATGAATACATTGGATTTTAAGACTAGAGACGACTTAGGTGAAGACCAGTACTGTGTTTGAAATTTAACATGTAGTTAAAAAAAGCATTTAATTATGGTTAATTATATTGATCAAATATGGTTAAGGGCTGTTTTTGAAGCGGTGGGTTTTGCATTTGAAATTATGATATGTAGAAGCCTGAATTTTTTGGGGGGAGGTAGCCAGTTCTGGCATGCTTGATGAATTGCTAAAGATTTTGCAAATTTTCTACACAGTACAAGTCTACTTTCTTCAAGTGTACTTAAATTGCATACTTGACATGCATGTGAATATGACATACAATTAGAGCCTAAAATAATTTTGGAAACCCTCCGTGTATTCGTTCAAGACTGTATTTTTGTTCAGATGTGAGACCACTATGAAACACTGGGGCGCAATTTTCTAATACTGGTCGTATATAACCTGTGTAGATTATTACTAAATCATTTAAAGGTAAAATAAATTTCCTAAGTTTCCTACAATATTTTAACTAAACTTGTTTTTGTATCAATATGTTTTTATAATAATATTTTCTATTCTTCTATCTTATATATTTTGCAATCAAATTATTGACATATTCTGAAATACAAAAGTTGTAGATCATATCGTTATCGAATCTTAACTATGGTTAATCATATAAATATTCATACGTATGCTGATGTATGCTCATGCGCATTGGTGGTGTATTGGTGATTGGGAGATTCAATAAACCACCACAGTTGTTGGCTTGATTTTCGTAATTACACATACCTTTGAGCATTCGTGTGTTTGTGCGAGGTGAGACGGTGATCCTTATATAATGTAGAACCTTCTTGTAGTAATATTACGATGATTTCTTTTTCTCTTCAAAAGACGTTAGCCATTCAATGAAAACAGACCCGCAACTATTTATAGCGCATATTTCAACGAATGGTAACAGAAATTTTTGGAAATTATTGAATTTGAATTTGTGTATAAACATTTTTGATGTGCCATACTAAGGAAATAATAGTTTCTAAAAAATTGTTTAAAATGTTTAAAATTACACAATGTTGCTTTAAATGCGATAGACTACAATATAAATTTACAAATATATATATATATATATATATATATATATATATATATATATATATATATACATATATTTGATCTTATCAGTATATTCAGTATATTCTGTGCCACGCCCCTACTGCAATCATTACAAAAGAAAAATTAGTCCTTTTTTTTTCCTTCTTCATAAAAATAAATTCCAATTTAAAATTATTGCAGCTGATATCTGCCACTGTAACGTCGAGGTACCTTTGTGGAGATTAAAAGAGTAATATGTGTCACAAGGATTGCTCTTACTCATATGGTCGTTAATCTAAAGGTGATATACATTGTCATGTAAGGTCATGCAGTTTGTGGGAATGTGTTGTTCTGGCACTATAGTGTGTTTATATGAAATTAATCATTAATTATTTTCTATTAGCTTTGATTTTTTTTCTAAAGACATCATTAGTCAAAGATAATATTTTCCCTGCAGGACAAATCTGTTTTCATTGCCATCATAATGCTCTGTTGTTTCTTTTGTATTTGTTATTGTGCAATTGCTACAATAGCGCTTCAGGCATCAACATTTTTTATTGACACATGGTCATGCCAGCAGTGCCTCTAGGAATGTTTCAAACACGCCATTAAATTCGTTCACTGCTGCTCAGATGAATTGCTACTTTGAAATTGTCAATTTCATATATTTTTTCGGTTTACCATGAACATGATTATCTATGTAATGTAACTTTGAAAACAATATCCTTCGTTGCAAAATCATAGCTTTTCAGATCAGTAACAACACGTAAAATAATATTTCTTGGAATTGCAGGACTAATTTGAAGAGCTAAGTATCATGAATTATGACTTTGAATTATAACAACTGTAACTAGTTCTTCTTTTTTTTCTTCTGCAAGATTCTACACTTCTGTTTAAAAGACAGGACATTTTGGAAGTGTCCTTGACAATTTTACTCCCATTAAAATATTATATATCTTATCAAACCAAATGTCTCATACTCGATGGCAAAATTTGAGTGCCTTTACAGGAGCATTTTTAATAGCTTCAGAGGATTTAATTTGAAAATCTGTTTTCTACTAGAAGAGGAAGTTGAAAAGGAAGCAACCAGTCCATGATACCGTCATATATGTTTAGCATTATGGTCCCTCTTGATTGGAGCTGTAAAAGGGAATTTGTATCTGTACACTGGCTGATGTTCCTTATCAAGCATAATGTTGCAAGTGATTCAGCCTCCGCGGTCTAGAATCAGAATTTAAATCGGATTGAAAAATAAATAAAGTATTATAGAATATAAATATTCTTTTAAATCCCGTCTGCACTATTTTGGCCGGGGGGGGGGTAGACCTCCCTACAAGGTCACTGGCAGGTGGTTATCTCATCAAATCAGCCCTCAATTAACATAAGAAAAAGGGGATCATGGGGGACCAACAGGCACCGATAAGCCATTGTTTGCTATAAAGAGGGCGCAAGTAGCTATAATTAGTGCAGTGGAGCTTTAAGATATTGAAACAGAAGCAGTTTTAATTAGAAAAAAAGATAAATATTACATTTGTTTGTTTTGGAGAAGAACAAAAATCATTTTATAATAATTTGTGTATGTTTTATACGACAGGTTCGGTAAGATGGGTATTAAGACCTTTTACAAGAATTATGAAAACTGTGTTTACTTAAGCAAGTTAATGATTGCTGTATGGGCATCGCAATAATGACAGAAATATAATATACTGATAAGATCAATTATGTCAACCTTTAGTACTTAACTTTATATTGACTTGAATAGATAGACAGGTGGACAACCTTAAGGATGAAAGTCCAGATGCCATGAATTAACAGTACATATTGATCCACAGCCCATTATTTTGCAATCTTAGATTTAAAACATACATATATAGTTGTTGCTCATAAAGTTGGATTTTGTTTACAACTTAACGTCCAATAAATAAGACATTACACTTTTTTAATCATATCTATGGTGTATACAACCAAAATGTTTTCTTGATCGATTCTTTCAGGTCATATTTCGGTGAATTTAAACTACAATTACCCTTTGCAAAGGGTGTATCAAGGCAAAAAAAAAGGGGGGGGGGGTATAGAAACAGCAAAACTAAGGTTTATGTTACAATCTTCAAAATTGGTCGGCACAACAGAAAACAAATGTTGACATTAATTTTATGCAATAAATGTTTTTTTTTTTTTCTTCTTTCAAATGTCAATCAGTCACTAATATAGTATCAGACCTCCCCTCACACAGGGTTCGCGTGCTCACTACCGCCCCCCTACGATACTGACTAAGTTGACAAAATAAATCGTATATTTATGTCGTCCAGGGGAAATGACCGTCTGCGAATACGCGAGTATTATAGATACATGTAGTTCATAGGACAAATATTTTAGCCTTCGACCCCAGGTTTATAATGTTAAATTTGTAGACATTTGGGACATTCGTCGGTACTTGTGGCTAGTTTTGTCGTTAATCGAATGGTCTAGCGACGCCCCAGCTCACAATGTATCACTATCACCTCTGGCTCAAAGTTGGCAACTCTAAGAACCCCCCCCCTCAAAAAAGCTTGTACGGACTTGTTCTTTGTACAACATTTATTAAAGTCTGACTGATTTAGTGATTATCTTTTTAGACATGTCTGGTCG